AGATAATCGTGTCTTGACTAGACAACCCAGTGATCAACAGCATGAACATCAACCTCCGGAATTGTGATACTATGACATGCGATAACCAAGTCAGCGAGCCTGACCACCCGATCCTGTTAGTCGCCTCTTACGACAAGCATGGGCTGCTGGTGACCAGTTCTCACCCGGATGTTCACGTGTCCTGGGCACTGTCTGTTCGTGGCATTTATGTATGCTAACGTCAACACAGCAGATACAGCAGCCAATAAGAATAGGCTTCGTTTTGTATATGACGATTCACACTTGGTCACAGTTATGTGTGACGTTAAAACCACTTTACTACTTTGACACGGAGTTTTATTCACGCATAAACAGTCTAGAGTGCTTAAGTCTCTACGCGAGGTTGAGAACAAGTGTGCTGCACCTGACATAAATTAAACTGTAGAAAGAAACTTGTTCGATAACACGTCTCTTTGTAGTAATTTAAATGTTTAGAAATATAAATTTCGTTTCGGGATATTACAACCCTTGTTCTTTCCCCAACTGATCACGTTTGTTTCAGATTGGTGTCATGTCTCATTTGTCAGCTATAATAGCATACGTGACATCGATGTTCATCATGTACACGGTTCTTAAGGTGCAGGGGCGGTGGGGTAGCCTAGTGGTTAAAGTGTTGGCTCGTCACGCCGAAGACCCGGGTTCGAATCCCCACATGGGTACTATTTGTGAAGCCCATTTCTGGTGTCCCCCGCCGTGATGTTGCTGGAATATTGCTTAAAGCGGCGTAAAACCAAATTCAGTCAGTCAGTCTTAAGGTGCACAGAGCGGTCGGATAGCCTAGTGGTTAAAGCGTTCGCTTGTCACATTAAAGATCCGGGTTCGATTCCCCACATGGGTACAATGACTGAAGACCACGCCGTGATATTGCTGAAATATTGCTAAAAGCGGTACAAAACTAAACTCACTTACTCTTAAGACGTACAAAACAGCGTACACAACTAGGGGTTTGGGATTTTTGCCCAATGATCAATTTAAATATTACGTACACGTTGCCAAATACGTCAGTCTATGGCAAATCCACTGTGCAAGATAACAGTGATTGAGTGATCAACCTGATATTGGTTAAAAATATGGTGGACGTTTTGAACATGACAGATTCACTGTAGACATGTTTAAAATAGGATATTCTTGAGATTCTTTTGAGTGGCTACCCGTGAAGGTCCGGGTTAGAATGAACCTCCAGTAACCCATGCTTGTCTACCCGTGACGATCCGGGTTAGAATGAACCTCCAGTAACCCATGCTTGTCTACCCGTGAAGGTCCGGGTTAGAATGAACCTTCAGTAACCCATGCTTGTCGTAAGAGGCGACTAACGGGATCGGGTGGTCATGCAGGCTCGTTGACTTGGTTGACACGTCATCGGTTCCCAAATGCGCGGATCGATGCACATGCTGATGATCACTGGGTTGTCTGGCCCAGACTCGATTATTTACAGACCGCCGCCATACAGCTGGAATATTGCTGAATGCGGCGTAAAACTAAACTCACTCACTTCTTTTGAGTGGTACATGTTTGTAGAAAAAATAACATAAAACATGACTTCAAAATAACCGGAACGTTTGGGGCTAACGCCAAACTGTGCATCCACGTTACCACCAGGCACAGACAGCTTGGCGCAGATATCTGAGGTTCAGAAGACAAGACGGGACAATTTACAGTTCACTGATGACTCAGTGTTTCGTCTGGACAGCACTGCTGATAGTAAAGTGTCCACAGGTGCCAAGGAGAACGTTTCAGTGGTGCTTGCCTAAACCAAGGTCGTCAGTTTGGGGCTGGAAGCGATTGTTTGATCAGCATTCTAAAGGTTGTTGGGTAAATAACTTGATTTAGAACTTGTGTAAGAATCTACATCGAAACGTCGCCCTGTGCAATCATCCAGACGCTCTTATCCATAAAGTTGTGTGCTTCCTTACAACTACGCATGGCAAGTTGAGGTGAGGTGAAATTGGGTTTTACGTCGTGCTTGAGAATATTTCGCTCATATGACGACGTGCATGCGTGTGTATGTGTATGTGCGGCTGCTTGTACTAGCCCACACTTAAGCTGGTTTTATAGTGCTAGCCCACTGAGATACCATGCTGCAGTGAAGCATGAATAACCCACTCAGACACATTATACTGACTCCGAGTCGACCAGTCCTTCCTGTACCCATTAATGCTGAGCGCCAGGCAGGGACCAACAAGTACCAAATTTTAACGTCTTTTGGTATGACGCAGTCGGGGATCGAACCCGCGACCTTCCACTCTCCGGGCGGACGCTCTAACCACTACACCACGGAGGCGGTTCATGACAAGTTGAATAGTGTATGCTACCATCATTCCAGATCACGTTTCCAACTCCGTATATATGCAATGACATCACGTTTGGCAGGATGTCGCTCCACCCCGTTCCGCTGTCGCAACAGATCTTTTCTGGAAGCGTAACACAGCAAGACCTCTCCTATTTCTCCAGACCTCTCCACAAAGATCATTTCTCTGAAAACAGATGGGTCGACGCCTACAACAGGACCAGAACCATCCGGAAGGATACCTCAGTTGTGCTATTCTTTGGCTGACATCTGGAACATTGCGCAGTTCTGTTTATCGAGTCTAGACTACACAATCCAGTGATCAACATCATGAGCATCCACCTCCGGAATTGTGATACGATGACACGTGTCAACCAAGTCAGTGAGTCTGACCACCTGATCCTCTTACGACAAGCTGGTTGCAGAAGACCAATTCTAACCCGGATCTTCACTGGTATCATTAATCCTGGGTGTCGTTCTGTGTCACCTCACATTAAATAATTATTTTATTAGCCCCAAAAGTGGGCTCTACAGATTGGACCCATGCGGGGAATCGAACCCAGGTGTTCAGTGTGACCAGCGAATGCTTTAACACTAGCCTACCTCACTGCCCCTCTCAAACAAAACAAACACAAATTAGTCTAATACTGGTCATTCCAATCTACCAAACCATTTTCACAGAGAAAACAACTAACCTGACTAACACAAATCAATGCACCTCCAGAGAGGCCACACAAGCAACAAACATCTCAATCTGTTTACATCTTTATTGGCAACAGAGCTGATATGTCAAAAACATTACTGACTTGACACCTTCTGTGATGTCTCTACCATCAGACAACCAGCCATTACAGTGACAGTCTTGTCCCAGTTATTAGCTGTGACTGAGTAAGTTGTGAATAGAACTGCTTTCACAGAGTTGCAGACTCATGTGAGAGGACTGAGTTTAGTTTTACCCCACTTTTAGCAATATTCCAGCAATATCACGGCAGGGGACACAAGACACGGGCTTCAGACATTGTACCCATGAGCGGAATCAAACCTGGGTCTTCAGTGTGACGAGCCAACGTTTTTACCACTAGCTACCCCACCGCCCCTCATGTGAGAGGAAAGCCTGAAGCGACAAAGGTGCAGACGTTTATCACTTCAGTGTAACTGCTGAGGCTGGGTGAAGTGCAGGAACACCAAGCATCAGTATCTGAGCTGTCCAATCAAGGGCAATGGCTTCACAACCATCCTTTCAACAGACGAATTCACTAACTCGGCACCTCAGACACTATGGGACAACAACATCATCTGGTTGACAAAGTGCTGTCTGATAATATATTCAACACATCAAAGACACAAAGACACTCACACAGACACCCTCAAACCATATCTACCACACTTGTCATTACCTGCACCACATATATCAAGAGTTATTTAAAATGCAAGTAAGTGAATATATTTAGACACTGTCATAAGAGTGCTAATATTCTTAAACACAGCATGTATATAGGACTCAGGAATAATCTATAAACAATCTTTACATACTGTATTAAACAGCTAGCAATTATAAACACACATTAATATTAACCATAATTTTTCATTCCAATTAAAAAATTATAACATCCATACTTCTCAGTCTGTAGGCTACAGATGAAGAAATGTCGTTCTTATCTTAATCTGCTGGCAAGATACAATACTGAACTTGTTCTTCAAACCAAAATCCAAATAACACGTAAGGTTTGTAGGATTCTACAAATTGACAACACATAGTGCATACAGACTATTATGTACATATTTACAAATCCATGTTTAAGTTACATCTGCTGAGATTCCAGAGCCTGCAGCTGGTCGATACGACATTTATAGCTACTGCATTATCCATGAATCCATGCATTCATGAAGCAATTGGCCCACTATTATCTGTCAGGTTCACACATTACATACAAACAATAAAATTAACACCATATTCATAAAACACCATATATCTTTGAAAAAAGTATATACCAGTTATACAATTTGGTATCAAAATGACTGGATATCATAAGCATCATACCAAAGTCTTTCTCCAACACTTTTGTAGACATTCCACTAGTCATGACCAAACTGCATTTAATTATATGATATTAAATTTGAAAACAAATACTTAGTTCACACTTTCTGAAAAAAAACAGTATCAGGGGTGGAAATAACTTTTAAATTGCTAGTGTACTCCCGTACAGTGGCACAAGTAAAATTACTTGCCCTGATAATTTTTCCACTATACTGGCCGATTTTCTCGTTGATTTTTTAAAATAAACAACATAATTTACACTGGAAAGTCAACTGGACACCGGTAAAGTGTGATATACAAATTTGCTTGCCCGACAGAAAAAAACACTGGACTCGGGCGTCGGGCAATGGGTTATTTCCGGCCCTGAGTATGGGATCAATAATGCTACATGTATTCTGGCAAATATTATTTATCAGACTGTAATAACAGTATTCATGATCCTTCACCTTTTGTTCAGCATAAAACCAAATTAGAACAATTTGAATGGGAGAATTTAACTATCACGTCAGACTACTCATTAATTTACAAATTAGGTCCGGAAATATCTCGACATGTCAAACAACGAATTAACATAAAGATGTTAAATGTTCAACTATAGTCATTCTAATTTCAATAAATAAATACTGACAACAATCAAATCATGAAACTATAGTGGGTAATTTATGAACAGGAAAGACATAGCCTGTAATATCATTACAAACAAAATTGTACTTGTTCTACAAGCCATAAAGGTTTCATTTCTTCAACTACACTCTCCTAATCTTTGAGTGAGTGAGTTTAGTTTAAGCCACTTTCAGCAATATTCCAGCAAATCACAGCGGGGGACACCAGAAACAGGCTTCACACATTGTACCCATGTGGGGAATCAAACCTGGGTCTTCAGTGTGATGAGCGAAAACTTTATCCACTAGGCTACTCCACTGCCACTGTAAATCTTTTTGAAAGAATATAAGCTACCAGTACTCAAAGAATTCTTGCTTCTTTCATACTGCCATAGTTAAACAATCATGGCCATGATCAATAATTTCTAGTCACAGGAAAAGATTGGGCGTTTTTCAACTTCATTTGAAAAGTAAGTGTCCAGTAGTGACCAGCTTTTAATCTTGTGGTTAAGAAATGTCCCTGTATAAGTGACAACCAGCTGGTCCCTCTATAATGTGATTAGTCAGTTACAAAGCTGCTAGGAGTGAGTGAGTATGGTTTTACGCCGCTTTTAGCAATATTCCAGCAATATCACGGCGGGGGACACCACAAATGGCCTGCTAGGAGTGGAAATATACACAGTCACAGATTTGTCTCAGTGCTCAGGAAACTATACATATTTGATTATTTTCCAGAATATTCAGAAATGTTCAACATTAGATCCTACCCCAGTTAACACCTGACATTTTCATTTCACAGATCACAAAGGTTGTGAATTTGTCAATATTATCAAAAAGGACACATTTCGCAAAAACATCAATACAAGATTTGTGAAACAAGCTTCAACATGTCAGTGTATTTAATTCTATACATTGATTATCTGTTTACTCACATAAAATTGTTCATTCTCTGTCTAACCAGAAATATGGTTTAACATTGCATGTATATCTCCAACATTATCACACAATCAATTGATCTGTTATAAATCCACACAGGTAGTAGTCTAGTACCAACTGAGACAGCTCTAACATTAAAACAACTGCAGCATGTATAGTTTGCTATGTGCACACGACAGACAGCTGCCATGAAGCAAACAACTGTGTCCATTACTGGGGCAAACTCCAAGTGTGAAATACGTCTACTGCTGGCTCTCCTGCTCCAAGCACCGAGCTATTGTGTTCAGCTGGATGTTGCTTGTTCCCTCATAAATACAACCTGAAAGAATATGTAATTTTTAAAGTAAAATTGATATTTTATACTTATCCTGACTTAGTCGTAAGTTAATGTTAATGTATGGCACTTACGACTGTCTTAGCGCTAAGAGAGCTTCGAAAATCTAGGCCCAGGTCTTTATGAGTGATTGAATGAGTTTGGTTTTACGCCGCTTTTAGCAATATTCCAGCAATATCACAGCAGGGGACACCAAAAATGAGGTCTTTATGGGACTGCATCAAACAAACCATTCCTGAAACAGCTAACCATCATGAAACAAGGGAGGTAACTCACCTATCTTGCAGTCCCTGTAGTACTTCTCTATGGGGTAGTCCTTGGTGAAACCTACTCCACCCATCCACTCCATGCACTTGGATGTAGTCAGTGTCGCCACCTGTCAGTGAGTGGGTGAGAGAATATATGAGAGAGGGAGGGAGTGTGTGCCACTTTTAACAATATTCCAGCAATATCACAGCAGAGGACACCAGAACTGGGCCTCACGCATTGTACCCATGTGGGGAATCAAACCTGGTTGCACAATAAACAAACTACCATACTACAAGGGGAGTTGGGTTCATGCGGATTTGAAAAGTATTCAAGTAATATCACCTCATGTCAGCAATCCTCCAGTGTTACCACCTCAAGCACTGGAAAGGTGAACTATGATTCCACCCAAAAGCGTGCTCAAGGGACTCAAACTCTACACAGTGTATTACATAAGTTTGGCCACCTGGGCTCCTGCTTAATATGAAGAATGAGTGAGTTGAGGTGAGGTGAAATTGGGTTTAACGTCGTGCTTGAGAATATTTCGCTCATATGACGATGTGCATGCATGTGTATGTGTATGTGCGGCTGCTTGTACTAGCCCACACTTAAGCTGGTTTTATAGTGCTAGCCCACTGAGATACCATGCCGCAGTGAAGCATGAATACCCTACTCAGACACATTATACTGACTCCAAGCCGACCAGTCCTTGATCTTTCCATTAATGCTGAGCACCAGGCAGGGACCAACAAGTACCATATTTAACGCATCTTTTGGTATGGCGCTGTCGGGATCGACGAACATTGCCCGCGACCTCATGCTCAAACCACTACACCTCGGAGGTGGTGAGTCAGGATTTATGCTACTGTTAGCAATACACTAGCAATATCACAGCCGGGGACATCTCAGGGCTTGACATTCACCCAAATTCTCGAACAAGACCACAGGACCAGTAACTTTTAAAAATCACTGGTCCTTACTGATTGTTACTGGTCCTGCTAAGGGACTCTTATTGACAGCCTGAAATATCTACTAGACCGTCGGGATGGCACTTATCAAAGTTGCACTGGTCCTGTCAACATTTTACTAGACACGTCCAGTGGGAACGCATGAATGTCGAGCCCTGCATCTCTTTCACACATTTTACTCATGTCAGGAATTGAATACAGGTCGAGCAAACACTTTAACCACTAAGCTACCCCATACTATGGGGAGCAAAGGGAGGCCGTTCTATTCAACCTATCAACACTTACAGAACAAAAGGGATATTTAACCTTCAAAGGCCAACACAGAAACAGAAAGAAAGGAAATAAATGATTGGGAAACTAAAATGATTTTTATAGATCAGCCAAAGTCAGCGACCTTTATTTGTAGAATGAAAAGTATGCCTGGTGTCACTTCTGATAATCTGGTGTCTCAGAATCAAAAATATATTGGAGACCAAATTTGTATTTCAAATCTTTTGCACAAGAATTGAACATATCAACTGTCAATTAATCTTTGATACATAACATACTTGTTAATGTGTATCCAGTGAGTACTTTGATAAACATTTACAAATACATGTATATCAGCAAATTCATGTGAAGATTATTCCTGAGCACAGTACCTCTGAGGTGAAGTATTTGGCCATGGCTCCTTCCTTCACGATGGGCAGTCCTGCCTCCTTGCGGCGAGCAGCGTTGTAGATCATCATCCGGGCAGCCTCGATCTGGGTGGCCACGTGGGAAATCTGGTGCTGCATGGCCTGATGGGACATCAGAAACATTGTACTACTACAGCTACTACAACTACTACAGCTACTACAGCTACTACAACTACTACAACAACTACAACAACAATAAATTCAGTGAGTTTAGTTGTACGCCGCTTTAAGCAATATTCCATCAATATCACGGCGGGGGACACCAGAAATGGACTTCATACATTGTACCTATGTGGAGAATTGAACCTGAGCCCTTGGCATGACAAGCGATTGCTTTAAGCACTAGGCTACCCCACAACAAATACAAGTTTGACTAAGTCAGTGAAAGTGCTTCACACTATGGCCATCTATATTATAGTGAAACACCACTGTGTAAAGTTGAAGGGATCATCGCCAATACTTCCAGTTATCCCAGGTCCTACACAAAATGATGACTAGACAAAGAATACGCAATAACCAAGTCTTCAAGACAACCATTAAGTTGACCCGTCCATTTTCAACACAACAGCCTTGGAATGTAGATCAATATCCATACAGAAACCATGTAACCAGTGACACTAGTATGAGAAAGGTGCCGTGTTACAGTGGCCCATGGTCAGGTTTACACAGATAGTTGGTCATGTCACCTCTCCCAGTACCACTATGTCCAGCAGACACATGGTTCTCTATAATCATGGAGTAAACTTCATGAGCAGATTGGATGTCATTATTATCTTTACTTGTTAGACTGACTGACTGAGTTTGGTTTTACGCTGCTTTAAGCAATATTTCAGCAACATCACGGCAGGGGACACCAGAAATGAGCTTCACACATTGTACCCATGTGTGGATTCGAACCCGGGTATTCGGCGTGACGAGCCAACGCTTTGACCACTAGGCTACCCCACCGGCCCGACACTAGTATGAGAAAGGTGCCGTGTTACAGTGGCCCATGGTCAGGTTTACAAAGACAGTTGGTCATGTCACCTCTCCCAGTACCACTATGTCCAGCAGACACATGGTTCTCTATAATCAAGGAGTAAACTTCATGAGCAGATTGGATGTCATTATTATCTTTACTTGTTAGACTGACTGACTGAGTTTGGTTTTACGCTGCTTTAAGCAATATTTCAGCAACATCACGGCGGGGGATGCCAGAAATGGGCTTCACACATTTTACCCATGTGGGGAATCAAACCCGGGTCTTCGGCGTGTGAGCCAACGCTTTAACCATTAGGCTACCCCACTGCCCCCTTTACTTGTTAGACAATCTAGATGGTGGTGTGTGGTCCTGTGCATAGAACTCAGGTCACAAATCAGTTGAAGTTAAGCAACGTTGAGCGTGGAGAGTGCTTGGATGGGTGACCGTGTTTGGCAGCTTGACTCCAGAGAGCGTCTAGGACTTCAGTCCTGTCCCACAACAAAGACAATGTGATACATGTGGTTCACCTTAGGCAAGTGAGTTTGTTCAAAATTGCCTCTGTTCACCCAGCAGAAAATGGGTACCCGGTGGGATAAGTCATGTAACCATTAACTTTCTAGTGCCTCACAGGCAACTTGGGTTATCCGAGGTAATAATAATCAGTGTGTGGGCTTGACAAATGGTTCCCTAATTTGAGTTATTAAAACATGGAGAAAACTCCATCAACAGCATTGGATGCCATTTACCTTTACTTGCTAACCAATCTAGGAAACAGAGTTCCAGTCTCTGTATTATTAAAAATTCATACAAGTCACCTGGCTGGATTGTACAGCTACAAGATGCCTGTATATTTTTCTGGTGACACATGTAACTCATACAATGTGTTTAATCCCACCTGGAAATCACAAATCCTTCGGCCAAACTGTTTACGTTCCCTGGTGTAGGCAACTGCATGGTCGAAACACCCCTGTGACAGACCCAGCATCTGTAACATGACAACAACATCATCGTGTGTAATATGATGTACAACACACTACAACATTGTTTACAACATACAATTGTAACAGTGTGTAAATAAAAGTGTTTCATTTTAATGTGTTAAACTTCATTATTTTAAAACTTAGGTATAAAACTTTATCATTACCAAACTGGGTCATAACACTAACACTTGCACTGTTTAACTAACTCACTGGTAAGCTAGCTTGGGGTCTATTGTTAAGGGTAAGTGATCTGTGTCAGGTTCAATCTCTGCATTGGCCTGTTGTCAAGGTTCCTATTGTTTCATAGATTTCACCTTCTCGTCATATTTAAAGCTTTCTACTGCCTTTCATTTGTGGCAGTCTACATCTTTCTCCTTGAGAGCACAATCACAGCACAACACCAGGACATTATGGGGTAAGTTAAGTTAGATCTTGTAGTATTATATGTATAGTAGGGCTATTAGGATTTAGTGTGTTAGATTACATGTTTTAAGGAATAGTGTTTTATCATATTTAGTGTAGGTTAGGTGTTTGTGTATGAATATATGCATGCTAAGTATTTTAGACAAATATATGATGTATTGTGTACCAGTACACTAGTATACTGGCGTGAGTTTATTTGAACAGTAGTGTATCATGTATATGTAGTATGTATATGTATATTAGCTATTTTATGATTGGCATGATACAGTAATGTGTATCATGCAAGTTTATTATAAGGTTTAGTTTCTATATGCATATTTATTTATGTATTAGGGTCAATAAGATAAGTATTTATGTGTACGCTAATGCCATTTATGATGTATATCTGTATATACTAGCAGTATACTTAGGCAATATTTTGTTTATTTAGGTTCACTAAGAATCAGATGTTTAATTAGCTGTTGGACTATTCTGCCTACGTCCCTGAGACGAGGTGAGGTATTGTTTTCAGAATGTGATTGTAAATATTAGTAATTATAGTTGTCATATATGTGAGTAATAATCAGAGTACATGTCTTTGCTTAAATCTGGATGATTGACAGTTATCAGATGCATTAATAGTATACTGGTAACCATATTAAACGTATAACATGATACGTATATGAGAGACATGTATTAATTGATGTATATTTTATTGACCACGGCATTTTGTTAGTTCAGTTACATGGACTGAGAACCAACTGGGGATCTCCATATCCCACACTACCAGCGCTGGAATAAATCCCTGAAAACCTACACAAGTGTTCGTCTTCATTAAACTACCATATACGAATACCTCTGTTACACAATCACATCATAATAACAAGTTGACACTTGTGGGGAAGAATTATATCCTCACTGAACTGTTTTGTTGGTCTTACACATAGCAAGGTAAATGATAATTAAACTAAGATATAAGTGATTAAGGGACCGTTCATAACTAATTGGGGGAGGGAAGGGGGATGATGACCTTATGGAGAAGCATGTACAATGTGAATGACTCCCCTAAAATTTATGTACAAAGTGCCCCCAATCCCATTTAATGTACTTAATTGCTGCACCCACCCCCACCCCAAAATTACAATTTTTTAAAATCATCATCCCCCTATCCATAAATAATAATGAACGGTCCCTAACTGGTTTACTGTCTCTTCAAACATTATTCCAGTTGTGTCAGCTTAACTTAACTTAATGTGGGAGGATAATCTGAATTAATCCACTTCTAGACATAGACATCAGTGAACCAAAATAGACAAAACAAGACATCCTAGAAACATCCTCAGGGTAACTAGGATTCTAACTTGCAACAACAGACCTCTTAAATCTTGTGAAACAGGACCACATACCTGTGATGCAATTCCAATCCTTCCTTCATTCAACACACCAATGGCGTACTTGTAGCCATGACCAAACTGGCCCAGGATATTCTCTTCAGGCACCTGAAGAAACATGATTAACATAGACATGAACTCATGAATACCTGCTAATTGTATACTACACCTTTCACACTAAACTGGTTGATGCTCAGGAACCTGATCCCCCTCCTAAAGATAAAACTACTTATAAACCAAATCAAAAGGCTGATTGAATTACTGTTTAACTGGAAAATTATCTCCAGGCAAACAGCATCATACTAAATCTTTAGGAATTAGAGGTAATAAAATCTAGCATGATTCTATGGATTTTCCAACTCTGACATCAACATATATATATATTATATCATCTTCCAACATTCGACCAAACACCAGAACAGCTCCAATGTTTGATGACAGAGTCTCACCTGGACATTTTCAAAATGCACGGAGCATGTCTCTCGGACGCCCTGATGCCAATCTTGTTCTCCTTCTTTCCGATGGTGATGCCCTCCGAGTCTGCATCCACGATGAAACATGTGATGCCCTTGTAGCCCTATGTCAAACAATGCACCAGCTCATGTTCTAGCCGTCCAGTATGACAAGACTTGCATACTATGTAACAACTGAATACTGCTTTAGTGGAATACATCTACATCATGTCAGTTATAGGCTCACTAGTGTTTCTGTTATCCTATGGTTTACTGTGTAATGAATGACAGAAGCAGATATCCTACATGACAAAACAAGGAGGATAACAACAAACCTCTACGCCATTTAGAACATGGTTCAATGTAACACGTTATAATTGGGATTACACTTTCTCAGTAAAGTACAGATTGTAATACTTTCATACGGTTAAGTCCCATCCGGGATTTGAACCGACATTCTCAAGGTCAGGCACCTAAGCTTAAGATGATAATCCTGAATTGGAACCCACCCTCTCAAAGTCAGGCACCTAATCTTAAGATGATAATCCTGAATTAGAACCGACCCTCTCAAAGTCAGGTACCTAATCTTAAGATGATATTCCTGAATTGGAACCCACGCTCTCAAAGTCAAGCATCTAATCTAAGATGATAATCCAGAACTGGAACCCACACTATCAAAGCCTGGCACCTAATCTTAAGATGATAATCCTGAATTGGAACCCACGCTCTCAAGGTCAGGCACCTAATCTTAAGATGATAATCCTGAATTAGAACCGACCCTCTCAAAGTCAGGTACCTAATCTTAAGATGATATTCCTGAATTGGAACCCACGCTCTCAAAGTCAAGCATCTAATCTAAGATGATAATCCAGAACTGGAACCCACACTATCAAAGCCTGGCACCTAAGCTTAAGATGATAATCCTGAATTGGAACCCACCCTCTCAAGGTCAGGCACCTAATCTTAAGATGATAATCCTGAATTGGAACCCACGCTCTCAAGGTCAGGCACCTAATCTAAGATGATAATCCTGAATTGGAACGCACCCTCTCAAGGTCAGGCACCTAATCTAAGATGATAATCCTGAATTGGAACCCACGCTCTCAAGGTCAGGCACCTAATCTAAGATGATAATCCTGAATTGGAACCCACTCTCTCAAGGTCAGGCACCTAATCTTAAGATGATAATCCTGAATTGGAATCCACGCTCTCAAGGTCAGGTACCTAATCTTAAGATGATAATCCTGAATTGGAACCCACCCTCTCAAGGTCAGGCACCTAATCTTAAGATGATAATCCTGAATTGGAACCCACGCTCTCAAGGTCAGGCACCTAATCTAAGATGATAATCCTGAATTGGAACCCACACTCTCAAGGTCAGGCACCTAATCTTAAGATGATAATCCTGAATTGGAACCCCACTCTCAAGGTCAGGCACCTAATCTTAAGATGATAATCCTGAATAGGAATCCACACTCTCAAGGTCAGGCACCTAATATTAAGATGATAATCCTGAATAGGAACCCACACTCTCAAGGTCAGGCACCTAATATTAAGATGATAATCCTGAATAGGAACCCACACTCTCAAGGTCAGGCACCTAATATTAAGATGATAATCCTGAATTGGAACCCACACTCTCAAGGTCAGGCACCTAATATTAAGATGATAATCCTGAATTGGAACCCACACTCTCAAGGTCAGGCACCTAATATTAAGATGATAATCCTGAATAGGAACCCACACTCTCAAGGTCAGGCACCTAATATTAAGATGATAATCCTGAATAGGAACCCACACTCTCAAGGTCAGGCACCTAATATTAAGATGATAATCCTGAATTGGAACCCACACTCTCAAGGTCAGGCACCTAATCTTAAGATGATAATCCTGAATTGGAACCCACGCTCTCAAGGTCAGGCACCTAATATTAAGATGATAATTCCTGAATAGGAACCCACACTCTCAAGGTCAGGCACCTAATATTAAGATGATAATCCTGAATTGGAATCCACGCTCTCAAGGTCAGGCACCTAATATTAAGATGATAATCCTGAATTAGGAACCCACACTCTCAAGGTCAGGCACCTAATATTAAGATGATAATCCTGAATAGGAACCCACACTCTCAAGGTCAGGCACCTAATATTAAGATGATAATACTGAATAGGAACCCACACTCTCAAGGTCAGGCACCTAATATTAAGATGATAATACTGAATTAGGAACCCACACTCTCAAGGTCAGGCACCTAATATTAAGATGATAATCCTGAATAGGAATCCACACTCTCAAGGTCAGGCACCTAATCTTTAAGATGATAATCCTGAATTGGAACCCACACTCTCAAGGTCAGGCACCTAATCTTAAGATGATAATCCTGAATTGAAACCCACCCTCTCAAGGTCAGGCACCTAATCTTAAGATGATAATCCTGAATAGGAACCCACCCTCTCAAGGTCAGGCACCTAATCTAAGATGATAATCCTGAATTGGAACCCACCCTCTCAAGGTCAGGCACCTAATCTAAGATGATAATCCTGAATTGGAACCCACTCTCTCAAGGTCAGGCACCTAATCTAAGATGATAATCCTGAATTGGAACCCACCCTCTCAAGGTCAGGCACCTAATCTTAAGATGATAATCCTGAATTGGAACCCACGCTCTCAAGGTCAGGCACCTAATCTAAGATGATAATCCTGAATTGGAACGCACGCTCTCAAGGTCAGGCACCTAATCTAAGATGATAATCCTGAATTGGAACCCACCCTCTCAAGGTCAGGCACCTAATCTAAGATGATAATCCTGAATTGGAACCCACGCTCTCAAGGTCAGGCACCTAATCTTAAGATGATAATCCTGAATTTGAATCCATGCTCTCAAGGTCAGGCACCTAATCTTAAGATGATAATACTGAATTGGAACCCACTCTCAAGGTCAGGCACCTAATCTTAAGATGATAATCCTGAATTTGAATCCACGCTCTCAAGGTCAGGCACCTAATCTTAAGATGATAATACTGAATTGGAACCCACTCTCTCAAGGTCAGGCACCTAATCTTAAGATGATAATCCTGAATTTGAATCCATGCTCTCAAGGTCAGGCACCTAATCTTAAGATGATAATACTGAATTGGAACCCACGCTCTCAAGGTCAGGCACCTAATCTTCAGATGATAATACTGAATTGGAACGCACGCTCTCAAGGTCAGGCACCTAATCTTCAGATGATAATACTGAATTGGAACGCACGCTCTCAAGGTCAGGCACCTAATCTTCAGATGATAATACTGAATTGGAACGCACGCTCTCAAGGTCAGGCACCTAATCTTCAGATGATAATACTGAATTGGAACGCACGCTCTCAAGGTCAGGCACCTAATCTTAAGATGATAATACTGAATTGGAATCCACGCTCTCAAGGTCAGGCACCTAATCTTAAGATGATAATCCTGAATTGGAACCCACGCTCTCAAGGTCAGGCACCTAATCTTAAGATGATATTCCTGAATTGAAACCCACCCTCTCAAGGTCAGGCACCTAATCTTAAGATGATAATCCTGAATTGGAACCCACCCTCTCAAGGTCAGGCACCTAATCTAAGATGATAATCCTGAATTGGAACCCACCCTCTCAAGGTCAGGCACCTAATCTAAGATGATAATCCTGAATTGGAACCCACCCTCTCAAGGTCAGGCACCTAATCTTCAGATGATAATACTGAATTGGAACGCACGCTCTCAAGGTCAGGCACCTAATCTTCAGATGATAATACTGAATTGGAACGCACGCTCTCAAGGTCAGGCACCTAATCTTCAGATGATAATACTGAATTGGAACGCACGCTCTCAAGGTCAGGCACCTAATCTTAAGATGATAATACTGAATTGGAATCCACGCTCTCAAGGTCAGGCACCTAATCTTAAGATGATAATCCTGAATTGGAACCCACGCTCTCAAGGTCAGGCACCTAATCTTAAGATGATATTCCTGAATTGAAACCCACCCTCTCAAGGTCAGGCACCTAATCTTAAGATGATAATCCTGAATTGGAACCCACCCTCTCAAGGTCAGGCACCTAATCTAAGATGATAATCCTGAATTGGAACCCACCTCTCAAGGTCAGGCACCTAATCTAAGATGATAATCCTGAATTGGAACCCACTCTCTCAAGGTCAGGCACCTAATCTAAGATGATAATCCTGAATTGGAACCCACCCCTCTCAAGGTCAGGCACCTAATCTTAAGATGATAATCCTGAATTGGAACGACGCTCTTCAAGGTCAGGCACCTAATCTAAGATGATAATCCTGAATTGGAACGCACGCTCTCAAGGTCAGGCACCTAATCTAAGATGATAATCCTGAATTGGAACCCACCCTCTCAAGGTCAGGCACCTAATCTAAGATGATAATCCTGAATTGGAACCCACGCTCTCAAGGTCAGGCACCTAATCTTAAGATGATAATCCTGAATTTGAATCCATGCTCTCAAGGTCAGGCACCTAATCTTAAGATGATAATACTGAATTGGAACCCACTCTCTCAAGGTCAGGCACCTAATCTTAAGATGATATTCCTGAATTGGAACCCACCCTCTCAAGGTCAGGCACCTAATCTTAAGATGATAATCCTGAATTGGAATCCACGCTCTCAAGGTCAGGCACCTAATCTAAGATGATAATCCTGAATTGGAACCCACCCTCTCAAGGTCAGGCACCTAATCTAAGATGATAATCCTGAATTGGAACCCACGCTCTCAAGGTCAGGCACCTAATCTTAAGATGATAATCCTGAATTTGAATCCATGCTCTCAAGGTCAGGCACCTAATCTAAGATGATAATCCTGAATTGGAACCCACCCTCTCAAGGTCAGGCACCTAATCTAAGATGATAATCCTGAATTGGAACCCACGCTCTCAAGGTCAGGCACCTAATCTTAAGATGATAATCCTGAATTTGAATCCATGCTCTCAAGGTCAGGCACCTAATCTTAAGATGATAATCCTGAATTGGAACCCACGCTCTCAAGGTCAGGCACCTAATCTTAAGATGATATTCCTGAATTGGAACCCACCCTCTCAAGGTCAGGCACCTAATCTTAAGATGATAATCCTGAATTGGATTCCACGCTCTCAAGGTCAGGCACCTAATCTTAAGATGATAATCCTGAATTGGAACCCACGCTCTCAAGGTCAGGCACCTAATCTTAAGATGATATTCCTGAATTGAAACCCACCCTCTCAAGGTCAGGCACCTAATCTTAAGATGATAATCCTGAATTGGAACCCACCCTCTCAAGGTCAGGCACCTAATCTTAAGATGATAATACTGAATTGGAACGCACGCTCTCAAGGTCAGGCACCTAATCTTCAGATGATAATACTGAATTGGAACGCACGCTCTCAAGGTCAGGCACCTAATCTTCAGATGATAATACTGAATTGGAGCGCGACGCTTCTCAAGGTCAGGCACCTAATCTTCAGATGATAATACTGAATTGAACGCATCGCTCTCTCAAGGTCAGGCACCCTAATCTTCAGATGATAATACTGAATTGAACGCACGCTCTCAAGGTCAGGCACCTAATCTTAAGATGATAATACTGAATTGGAATCCACGCTCTCAAGGTCAGGCACCTAATCTTAAGATGATAATCCTGAATTGGAACCCACGCTCTCAAGGTCAGGCACCTAATCTTAAGATGATATTCCTGAATTGAAACCCACCCTCTCAAGGTCAGGCACCTAATCTTAAGATGATAATCCTGAATTGGAACCCACCCTCTCAAGGTCAGGCACCTAATCTAAGATGATAATCCTGAATTGGAACCCACCCTCTCAAGGTCAGGCACCTAATCTAAGATGATAATCCTGAATTGGAACCCACTCTCTCAAGGTCAGGCACCTAATCTAAGATGATAATCCTGAATTGGAACCCACCCTCTCAAGGTCAGGCACCTAATCTTAAGATGATAATCCTGAATTGGAACGCACGCTCTCAAGGTCAGGCACCTAATCTAAGATGATAATCCTGAATTGGAACGCGACAGCTCTCAAGGTCAGGCACCTAATCTAAGATGATAATCCTGAATTGGAACCCACCCTCTCAAGGTCAGGCACCTAATCTAAGATGATAATCCTGAATTGGAACCCACGCTCTCAAGGTCAGGCACCTAATCTTAAGATGATAATCCTGAATTTGAATCCATGCTCTCAAGGTCAGGCACCTAATCTTAAGATGATAATACTGAATTGGAACCCACTCTCTCAAGGTCAGGCACCTAATCTTAAGATGATAATCCTGAATTTGAATCCACGCTCTCAAGGTCAGGCACCTAATCTTAAGATGATAATACTGAATTGGAACCCACTCTCTCAAGGTCAGGCACCTAATCTTAAGATGATAATCCTGAATTTGAATCCATGCTCTCAAGGTCAGGCACCTAATCTTAAGATGATAATACTGAATTGGAACCCACTCTCTCAAGGTCAGGCACCTAATCTTAAGATGATAATCCTGAATTTGAATCCATGATCAGCTGACACAAGAACAATCAGGGGAAACAAGTATGCCCAGCTATTTGCTGCTTGGCCACCCATGTCTAACATATCAGTGGGTTTAGCATTGGCAAAAGGAATGAGGGTATTATACGTAATACCTCACATAAGTGGGTTTAATATTGGCTACTGTATGGGAATGTAAGGGACCGTTCATTATTTATGGCTAGGGGGTGTGATGATGATTTTTATGGAGAAGCATGTACAATGTGACTGACCGCCCTAAAATTTATGTACAAAGTAAGTGAACCCCCTGCATGTCATGCACAAAATCAATGACCCCCCCTCACCCTTCGCAGATATTTTTTAAGCATAATTTTAAAATGTGTACAAATTGATGGAACACCCCCCCCCGAACAAAATGGGTCACCCCACCTTAAAATCATCATCGCCCCCTCTTGCCATGAATTATGAACGGTCCCTAATTCTATAGACTATGATACATATCAGAAGGTTTAGCACTGAAACAAAGAGGAAGTAAGGTGTTACAGATAATGCCTCACATCTGTGGGTTTGGCATTGGCAAATACAAGGAAGACGCCAGCAAAGGAGGAGTGGGATATCCAGATTTTCTCGCCATTGAGAATATAGTGGTTGCCCTGCTTCACAGCTGAAGTCTTCATCGCGAAGGCATCGGACCCTGACTCAGCCTCGGACAGACAGAAACTGCCCACCTGTAAACATATCAGTCACAATTCATGAGGCACAACAACACAATGTTTGGAGCATTTTAGAAGATATTTAGATTGTAGGTAATAAAATGTATGCAGCCAAATAATAGCAAGCAAATAGTATAATAAGGAAAAATATTCTATTACTAACAAATCCCTCTCCAAAAGTGTTACTCATGACAATGATATTCATCACCAAAACATCACAAAGAGCTCTATGGTGTAACTTTAAAAACTTCCAATTTCTGTAAGAACAATTTTAACTGACTCAAACTAAAGGCAACAATTTTCTCTTCATTGCTTTCTGTACATATCACTTCAGAACATCTTGAATATAACAACACATTCTCACCGTGTCTGTTGCAAGTTTTGTCAAATATTTTTCTTTTTGTTCCTTGGTTCCGTACTCATCGATGAGACGGTTGATGAGCGTGTTCTGGATGTCTATTACAAGGGACACTGCTGGGTCCACCTTGGCGATCTCCTCTATGACGAGATTGGCCACGAAGAACGTGGAGTCTGTTCCACCATACTGGCTTGGTATCTCAATCCCCATCAACTGTAGAGGGAAAGACAGGTTAATGCTGGTGGCACAAGTTTGTTTAATTGTTGATTGTTTTACGCCGCACTCAGCAATATTCCAGTTTATACGGTGGTCTGTAAATAATCAGGTCTGGACCAGATAATCCAGTGATTGCAGGGCTCCAGATAAGGGCCATATCGACATATGTACGGATGAAAAATATGCATGATACGATAGGAAATAATTTTGAAAACGTAGCAGGTACGCACCACAGCTATGGTGTACGAATCATTTACAGACATATTTATATGAAAAAGTATTGTTTTATTGTTTATTGACCTGTTTACACAAGAGTAGCAATGTTGTGGTACATATACCAAAAGAAACACAAGAATACTGATTACTAATTTCCATTCAGTACTCTAAATGTACTCTTAAGTTTTTCCAGTACTCCTATATTGAAAAAATAAGGAGTACGTACTCCTGAATGCTGATGTTGAAAAATTATCTGGAGCCCTGGATTGTCATCAGTATGGATCTACACAGTTGGGCTATGATGACATGCATTAACCAAGTCAGCGAATCTGACCACCAGATCCCATTAGTCATGGGTTGCTGAACATCAGGGAATGTTGTGATCACGTGGCTTCCTATTTATATATTGCCTGTCACTAGCAGATGACTGATCTTACTGAAATTTGGCTTGATATTTTTGTTATATAGGCAATTGATTTTGCATCTGAAGTGGTATTAACGATCTCAGGTAAATAATATTGATGTTTGTTTGCTTTTTATATAACTCAACTTTCGGATTTCAATTGTCAATAAAACGCCTCATGACAGCGATTGGGCACCCGCCCTACCGATGAAACTGCTTGTGCCCTCCAATCGCGCACATACTCCCCCGATATAGCGCGATCAATGCAATTGTCAAAATCACCAGAACATCGAATTCAGCTCACTTTGGGATATTTACTTGCCATCCACAACATCATAATAAAAATATTCTATTACTAACTGCCACTTACTCAGGACACATGCAAGGATATCCATTTTATTACAAACATGTTCATCTTGGAAAGTCAAACATGGTGATAATACTGAAATTAGTTACAACTAACCCCATTCTCGAACAGCCCAGCAACAAGGGATCGATCGAACACACCATGCTCGTCCATTTCTTTTACCAGAGGTTGAATTTTCTCAGCAGCAAACCGTGCAACTACAAAAAATAATTCAAATTTGCATATCATTTGTCAGAAATTCACTATTCACCTTATAACAGATAGATGGAGTTTGATCAGGGTGAGTGAGTGAATTGGGGTTTAAATCTGCTTTAAAATGATATTTCTGTCTCAGATCAAAGCAGTCATTTCCGATATAAGACGAAGGGATAAATGAGGTTCTAAACACTGACTGAAAACATGAGCAGTGATCTCTATATTTAAGGAAAGTTTTGAAAAATATAACTCTCTTTAAAATAGGGATGCCACGATATATCGATACTTTTTCTAAGACGATACAATTATCGATACATTCAAAACTGTATCAATATTTACTTTTGGAAAGATCGGTTTAAATATGTTTATGTATCGTTTACATTTTGTAACTGTATCATGTTTCTTGATGTTATGAGAATTATAAATGATTATTTTTCATGCACAAAGATGGGAAATTAGAACTTTTTTATCTCTGAGAATAAAAAATGTTGATCTTTTCATGGACAATTTTACAATATGTAACATTAATGTTCAAATTGTAACTAAATTTATGCAATAATTCTGCGAAAATAGGTATCTTGATACATATCGAATCGTGACATGGGTATTGTGATAGGTATCGATTCATGAAATCCCTAGTAAAACACAATTCTGAGCATACCAGATATCTGCCTGGGGTCCCGATAGCAACAGTTTTTGTGATAGAAACAAACTTATGAATTACCGGGACAGATATTATTTGTTACTGACAATAATGTGGATGGTATTTTGATTTTTTAACTTTGTTGATTTGGTATTGACTGTTTACCAGTTTCCTTCATCATGCGTTCTTCATCACTGAGTATTGTAAGGGGTGCTGCCCGGAAACCCTCCTGCAAAGGGGAGAGGTCTGTTGCGGACATAGATCGCAAGTGAGATCCAGGTGAAATCCATCTTTTGTGTGTTTGGGCAAGACTTCGAAATGAAGCTGACCGAAGAACCTAGTCGTAAAACATCATAATGACTATACACAGTATACAAGTCAATATTGCATGCTTAACATCGTAATAAATCGGGGCTGCGTAAAACCAAACTCAGTCAGTCAGTCAGTCAGTCAGTCGTAATAAATCAGTCAAAATGTGCACTGCCACCTCAAATTCTGATCAGCAACAGTTCTACAATAGCAAATGGTTCTAGCCAATTTCCACATAAACTCATTTATTTGTTGTTTGTTGTTTAATGCGGCAATCAGCAATATTCCAGCTAAATGATGATGGTCTGTTGGGATATCATGACATGTGTCAACCAAATCAGCGAGACACCATTGGATCCCCTTAGTCGACCATTATGACAAATATGGGTTGTTGAAGACCAATTCTAACCCAGATCATCACAGGTATCCACATAAAATCAAAGAGAAGAGGTAAGTGTTCTTCTTCTACAATGACCTGTATCAAACAAGTCAGTGAGCCTGGCTACCCCATTCCTGGTAGTCGCCTCTTTATGACCAGCATGGGTTGTTGAAGACAAACACAGATCTTCAAGGGTCATCGGCAATGTAATATAGTCTATAACCAATATCATCCATAGGATGTCTTTTGAAAGCCTCTACAGAAATGTTTACCATATGTTACTGCTCTTGGCAATATGATCTATCATTGTAAAGCAAAAGTCACTGTGTTCTTTAATCTGATTGGTTGAAAAACATGATCGAATGGTATTTGATTCCCAGAAATTGCAAGACTATTCATTGTGTATTGACAACTACAAATATTGCACACAATTGTATTGTTGCGTCGTCAGCAGTGGTGATGTCATTCAAATCATATTGTGACGTAAAGACGGAATGAATGACGTCACAAATGAGCAGTTAAAGATGCTACCATGGGAACCAGCTGAAACGGCCAGCTGATGACACTTCACTGCTGTACCAGTATGAGTTCAGACTGTAAAACCCATGTGGGCCTTTTGGTTTACTTTTGTGTTTACAATGTCGATAATCATCATGTGTTGGCCAATTTCCGGGTGTTATTGAGTATTTGAAGCACAGGAATATTTCATTTGAAACCCGCGCTAACGCCGTCGGTTCCAAACGAATTCCCAGGCTTCAAATACTCAATAACACCCGGAAATTGGCCAATACATGATGTTTATCTCCTAATTAGATTATATCTGTTGTGGGTTTTTACATCATACATTTGATGACAGCAGTGTTCTGTCATATAGACATTGTAAAATCTCGGATGATGGCTCGTTTATGAGGTAAAGCTGCCTTTGATAAGTAAGTGGGATTTTTGCAGTTGTTCATGTGATTAGAGAGAATACAACACATGAACAATGATGAAGCATCTTAAGAAATCTGTCGGTCCATGGGTAACTGACATTATTGGCACAACAGGCAGGTTAATAGTAAACACATCTTGCATGCCTGTCCTGTGTCTTCTGGTTCTCTTAACATAACTCTCAGTGCAACCATAGCACCATAAATTTACACTTATCATTTTTATTTCCCGAGGCACTTGGCTTCAATATCACATCATGTGCAGTGTCAAACAATTTCTGGGGCGGTGGGGTAGCCTAGTGGTTAAAGCGTTGGCTCGTCACGCCGAAGACCCGGGTTCGATTCCCCACATGGGCACAATGTGTTAAGCCCATTTCTGGTGTCCCCCGCCGTGATATTGCTGGAATATTGCTAAAAGCGGCGTAAAACTAAACTCAGTCAGTCAGTCAGTCAGTCAGTCAAACAATTTCTACAATGGTTTGATTCGTTTGATTTGAAATGTACGGAAGATGCGTCAGAAACATTCAAAAACAAGGATTTCCGACATTAGTTATTCAGATTTGTGGCTGAGAAATATTTAAAAATCGTAAAATCGCTACATATGACAATACAGTCTGTTTTATTTCGATATTTATCGCTTGCATTTAATGTCCCCCTGTATTCAAACGATTACGTTTGACTTGTTCATCACGTCGGGAAAAGATGCCTGCAAATTCAGAGGTCACATCTGTCCATATACCGAGCACACCCACAGTTACATCCAATCACCTTAGGTCTGGAATCGATGTTTGTGTATGCTAACTGACAATGTGAAGGTCGACTTTTGAGTCCAACCATTTCATTCCAAGTGACAGCTGTGTCAGCCATCAAGTTCGATGTAGGCATTTGTATTTTTGTTGATTACAAAACTTCACATTTGTTCAGCTCACACTCGTTTCTTATAAAGAAATAATGCGCAATTATGTATACCTTGACCACAGCGCTGCTTATGGTGGCTGCCATTTTGGAACCTGGAGTCTAGTATTTACCGCGAGAGAAATAATATTCACCCAACCAGGCTGTATTCGAACAAGTAGAAACCACTGCGTCATCATGTTAATTTTCGTAATTCTTTAAGGTCCAATACCAGACGAGACGAAAGGCTACATAGTATTAAAAAGAATATTTTCCCGAATTAAAGGATCACTTTTTAGGGTCAGCTGGGGAGAGATACAGCTGAGGACGGAAAGATTTAGAAATAACTGCAAGTTTTCTCACCTAAGCAGACGCTTCAAAGAGAAGTTTAACAGAGCGTAGCAGGGTTGTGTTTTGGCGAGTTATGTTCAACACAGCTACTGTACGGGTGTAAATTCTCTTTACTGGTTTTATTAGTTTGTAACACCACACATAACATCACTCAATTAGGATACAGTGCCTTACACTATAAGACATAGCATATAAAAAGAGCATCAATACTTCTGCAAATAAAAATATACAGGTCACTTAAATCATACATTTACTTAAGAGATGATAAGATTGAGAGATCAAGTGTCGTAATCTGAGGGGCATCAATCCTCAGGAAATGAGATCTGATCTTTTAAATGCGTCACTGCTGTGTGATCCCCATGACGATGTTAAAGAACTGACTCAGCTTTACAGCAAGACTCTCAGTGACGTACTCGAGAAACATGCTCCTCTCATTTCCAAGAAAGTGAGTAAAAGACCTGTCACTGACTGGTATGACCAGCGCATACTCATTGCCAAGCGTAAATGTAGATCAACTGAACGTCAGTGGCGCAAGACTCGTCTGGAGGTGGACAGAAGTATTAACATGGGAGAAACGCACAATGTTTTAACGTATTTTATGACAGTATACGTTTTTGAAATATGGAAATGTTACAGACTAACTGAACACGTTTCACAATCTGCAAGCTGCCAAGGGTCACATTGATAACGAACGTCCGAGACCAGTATCTTTATGTGTCGGCAGATAGAGATAGGCTAATTAAATTCAGTGTGAACTTCACTCATCAACACCGACGTTTATCAAAATCATTAGACAACCCTGCCAAGATAGAGTTCTTAAATGCGCAGTAGGCACCTTATCGTCAGTCGAGTTAGGCAATAGGATTAAGATTCAGCAACTGAAGTTCACAACAACAACTTTATCGTCATCTTTATCAGTAAATGGGATTATCTATGATAACTGGAATAGGTATAAAACAGGGACGACACACAGTCACAAATCATCCTGTGACTGCTGTGTAATAAACTCCTTGTTTATATTCAGGTGTTGTGTTGTGTATGGGTTGGTATAGTCATACCTCTTGCCAAGCGAGCTAATTCCCCAACACTCGCGTTTTAACAGAAGTATTTATTGTGCAGCTAGGCATGAACTCCACATGGTGCTGCGCCGTGTTAAGTCAGAGTCCTGTAAATCCAAGATAGATGACATGTCTCAGAACCCAAGAAGATTCCACAGCTTCATGAAGACACTTCTTGGCAGGCAGAAAAGTTGCCTAAACATGACAATAAGAGGACCCTAGCTGACTCATTTTCTTCTTACTTTGTCAACAAAATTGAGGCAATCGTGGATAGTCTCCCCACAGTCCAAGCCCCTCACTCGCATGCGTGTCACTCGCCTCTGCACTGTGATCCATTAACTTTACTTGAACCTTTCAGTGACAGTGAAACTGAAAAGGTTATATAATCATCCAAGAGAACTACATGCTCTGAGGATCCAATTCCCACCACTCTTTTGTTCGAATACTTTGACATTTTGTTACCAGTCATATCAATGATTGTGAACTTATGTTTACAGCAAGGCACTTTTCCTGATGTCTTGAAGAAGGCTGTTATCCGACTACTCCTAAAGAAAACTACCCTAGATCCGGATAATCAGAAAAACTACCGACCAGTCTCAAACCTTTCCTTCCTTTCCAAAATTGTTGAAAAAGCTGCCAACATAAGATTGAAATCACACCTATCTGACAATAGTTTAGTGGATGACTTTCAGTCAGCGTACCGGGCACGTCATAGCACGGAGACAGCTCTGCTGCGAGTCGTGAATGAGTTACGGTCTCAGGTAGACAGAGGACACATGTCATCGTTGATTCTTCTTGACCTGTCCGCGGCTTTCGATACTATTAATCACATGCAGCTCATCAACACCCTTGCGGCTGATATGAAGATAGAAGGGACTGCTCTTCAGTTCTTTCAGTCGTACCTCAAGGGAAGGCAACAGGTCATCAAAATCGAGGGAGAGCAATCAGATTCTGTCGGACTAACCTCTGGTGTTCCACAAGGCTCTGTCCTCGGCCCTGTGCTGTTTGTCATCTACACAAACAATCTTGCTCATATCACGGATCACCATGGGATGAAACACCAGTCTTTTGCTGATGAGGCCCAGCTCATTGATAGTTTTCACCCAAGCAACATAAGTCAAGCTTTGGATCACACAACAGCATGTACATCGGATATTAAGGCTTGGATGACTGGTAGGAAACTCAAACTTAATGACGACAAGACCGAGGCTATACTGATAGGGTCTAAGCGTCAACTTCAGTCAGTGGATGAGGCTTATGTTAGTATTGGACAAGCTGAAATCTATTTCTCGGACGAAGTGAAGAGTCTTGGTGTCTATTTAGACTCACAGCTCACCATGGAGAAGCAGGTAGACAGTCTCTGCAGGACATGCTACTTTCACTTGAGATGCATCGGCCAGATCCGTCATCTTCTAACCACTGAAGCCACAAAACCTTGGTCCAATCCCTTGTCCTTTCACGGCTAGACTATGCCAATAGCCTCCTCTTTGGAATCAAGAAATCATTACTACAAAGGCTCCAGAAAGTACAGAACACTGCAGCACTGATGGTGTCAAGAGTGACCAAATTCTCCCCAATTACGCCAGTTCTTCAATCACTACACTGGCTTTCTGTAGAAGCCAGACTGAAATTCAGAGTTCTGTGCCTGACGTTCATGTGCTACCATGGATTGGCTCCATCATACCTATCCTGTCTACTCAATCACGTGCACCAGTCCCAACGTTCACTGCGCTCAGACAACCTCCACCTTCTGTCTATTCCTCAGTACAACTTCACAAGCTTTGGTGATAAGTCATTCTGTGTTCATGCCCCAAGACTCTGGAACACACTGCCTCTAAACATTAAACTCTCTCCTTCATTTGACTCTTTCAGATCCCGACTAAAGACCTTCCTATTCCGTGAACACTATGACCTTTGAACTATGTGCCGCTTTGAGCATACTCGAGAGTATGGAATCTAGCGGGATACAAAACCATATTATTATTATTATTATTATTATTATTATTATTATTATTATTATTATTATTAAGGCTAAACATATGTACAAAACTGACTGCCGTATGTATATTGTCGTGAGCTTACTACATAGGCATATTGTATTCTCGAAAACCATCAATGGTGGTACATGAGACAATACAAAATTGACAACAATAGATATACCTGTCAGGAAGAACGAGATGGAGGGAAGTTACATTGGTTGCGCTATCTTTAGTTCTTGAATGAAATAATTTGGCCATCTTTAGTGGATTGAGCCATTGCACATATTTATAAATACTAAGTTGAGATCGATCTAGCTAGCGTAAAACCTTCCCATTTAAACAAAAAATGAGTCTTATCGGAAATTGCCAGAGAACTGCATAATGGACAAATTCTTTCTTATCTGGGTACACCACTCCAGTGGCCGGTTTCAGTCGGAAGGTTATGATTTGAGGTTCTGAATTTTAAAATCGGAACAGATATGCTTTTAAAAAATGATAGGTTTCAAACTTTGGTAAAAGAAAGTGGTAAAAATGGCGATTCGGACTTGATGAAATATTCTGCCTCCAATATTGAAGGAACTGGTCTTTTAGAATTCTATCAACATATGAGACTAAACATGGGCTGGTGTATTCAGACGGATTTTTAAAAACATAAAGCTTAAACCAACAGTTTGTATATTATATTTTTAATAAAATTTACCCGTTACTTTCAGAGTGCATAGTTCTTTTTCACCCGTTTTTCGAGAGTTTCAATGGTCATTTAATAAACTTTAAGGACAAAAGGGGGGCTCTCTGCTTCTTTTCTCTCCCCCACCCCTCTCCCTGGATCCGCCTATGTAAGTTGAGAAAGTTTCAGAAGTTGTAGAAGATTTTACGCAGGCCATATCACGTGTAAGCAATAGGTAAACACAATAACATCTCTTTGCATGTGGAGATGAAGCAACATACCCGAAGTAATACTACTAGGCGCAGATGATGCCTGCCATGTCTAATATGTCAGTCTAAGATCAGCGCATCATCATAATGCCTACCAATATGAACATAGTACTGAGTTTACAATAACCCTAACTTCTCTACACATTGCTTTTGCGTATGAGAAGTATCTATATCACCACATCGTTGATGCATTCAATACATATCTACACATCTGAAGATAATGCAGTCATAAGACACGGTGCAATACTAAACATGCATACTAGAACTACCAGAAATGTCCACACACTTGTAATATATATTTACAATACGTAGTACATTTACAATATGTATGGAAATGGTTTCAGAAAACAGGTTTAAATCACGGCCCAACACACCCAGACATTCAGTGTCTCTCACACTACATGGAAAATATGTTGTTTACCTTACACCCATACTATATTTTATATGGTCCAAATTATGAAACCGTGATATTTAAGTACATACCTTTGCATGTGAAAATGTATTCAAAATGCCTCCACTTGCTGTCAACAGACATGACTAGTCAATTTTGTGCCTGAAGTACAAGTGACACGGGTTCAGAAGGGCGTGTTCATTCGAGAGGAACATCTGACCCCAGTCAAACAATAACGACTGTGAGGATGGGGACGGTGGTTTCCCTCTATGGCCCTTAAAATTGCGTCTGTCACACATCACTGATTACAAGTGCCACACAGGGAACCTGTGTGGAGGGCATGTGCCAGACAGGGACAGCTCATCCACTCTATCCTTTTTTTCCATCAACAATTAAACTGTGGATAACATACCCTTAGCTATCAGAAACTGTAAATCTGTTGTGTCTTTTAAAACTGCAGTTCATGTGAAACAAAAATGTGCACCCGTATATTTCTCATATGGGGAAAGGAAACTAAATGTTTTGCATACAAGATTAAGATATATGACAAGTAAAATTAATTATGATTTATTCAGAATTAATGTTAGAAATGATGCACTTTGTCAGTGTGGCCATAATTGTGAAAATGCTTTTCATTATTTCTTGAATGTCCATTATATATAATTCAAAGAGAACAAATGTTAACCTCTTTAGAAAATATAGTGAATAATAGAGCATGTATTGATATTAATCTCATCTTAAATGGCAATGCAGGTCTCTCGCTTGGTGAAATCAGAATGTTTTTAGATCTGTACATATCTACATCCATAACACTAAACGATTCAAATAACTCTGTCTGTACATATCTATACCCTTTGTCTGCCTCTTGTTGAATTTTTTTTGTAATATACACTTGTAACTATGTGGAGAGGGCTTATTTAAGTTGGATAACTTGCGCCCAATCCGTTTCTTAATTGAACAAAAATATGTTTCAGTCAATCAAATCACCCCTTCAGTTAATGCAGGCCCCAGCAAAAAACTGACTAAAATATTAACACTACTAGTCTATAACCTATTCATTAAAATGCTTAAAATATATTCTACAAACTAATACTGATAACTAATTGCTACTAGCAATAGTTATACTAATACGGGGCGGTGGGGTAGCCTAGTGGTTAAAGTGTTCGCTCGTCACGCCGAGGACCCGGGTTCGATTCCCCACATGGGTGCAATGGGTGATATTTCTGGAATATTGCCAAAAGACGTAAAATTAAACTCACTCACTTATAATAATACTAGAATTAATACTAAAACTAACTACACTATAACCTAACAGCTCTATGCAAATATTAATACTAATACCATCAACTAAATGTTAATATGAATATTGATACGAACCATCACTGTATGCATCCACCGAGTTAAAGCGACACAGTCACACAAAACCTGACTGCCACAAGATGATACGAAGTTGTCAATTCTTGAAGATATGTAGGATTATTCTAACTTACTGACCGATCTGTAAACGACAGAATCTTGAAGTCCGTTATGCACGTGCAAACTATGAAGTTACTAAAAAACACAGATAAATATGCAATAGCTTTTCAGTCTTGGAAACAAAACATGCGACCGTATTTTGAATTTCATCAGTTTATCACAAGAGCTGTTTGTCGGCAAGCTGATACAGCAATCCACACGAGAAACACATACGTCATGAATATCTCTGTGGATAAATTTTAAATGAAGATTGGTCGCACATATTATCTCCCAAAGTATTAATGATCCCTAACTTTTTGGGTTGTTTGATAATAAACCACAACAAATGCGAAATAAATTGATGATTATGTGTTTAACTTCATCAGTCGATTATTAAACAGTTCACACACACACCCCACCCCCGCCTTTACCCCGATTTCTCAAAAAGCTGTATCCGCCCCTGTAGCGTAGAAAGCACAGAATGTAAATAAAGAGAGTCCCAACACCACTTGCGTCTTTTTTGTTTTTGTATGTTCCAGTGTCTAATAAACAAAGTAATAGTTAAGATCACAATGCTCATTTTACTATTCTGAAATCAGAAATTCGACTAATTGGTATGCGGCCGAGGAGGAGAGAGCAGGCTGTCATACACAAACGTGAAGGTTACTCTCGTTATTGACCTTAAATCATGTAAGGCACGCAAAATGACATTTGAACGGTCACATTCACCAATAAATTCAACATAAACATTCTAGGTCCATACTTGTACAGACATAGTTTTGTACGAAAATCAGTGTTTCGTTTTAAAATGAGCAATTATCATCATAAAATCAACATGGATTCCAATATTTTTGTCGTTTTTTTATGAGTCAAAGGACCACGCGTGTCAGAAAAACTGACGTTTTTCCATCGTGGTCACCACGAGAAGTTAAGAAATACAGGGGGTGCTTAATTAAGTTCTTTGTGTATATTACCAAATGTGCACACATGCCACACAAAGTGCTTAATATACATAGGTGAAATATATTTTAAATATTATACTTTTTACCGTATATAAAAGTCAGATACACGGCCTTTCAAACACGTTGTACTGTCCCGGAATAACTATCTTTTCTCGTATTATTTAAATGGTGTCCTCCCATGACGCAGAGGCAGTTCGCAGACGCCTTAAAGCAACATTTCGGTTCCATGAACAGATTAGCTACTACCTGGTACCTACACATTATAATGGAATAGTCCAAATAAAAACACAGGAAAAACCTGAAGTTATATTATTTACTTGAAAGATGGTTGAAAATTGAATTTTATTGGTGCAATATATAAAACAGTTGATTTTCATAAACATTTCGGTTTAACCTTCTCGTCTAACGGGAGTTGGCATCATCATAGTGAAACGATTGGAGCATGTCCTACTAAATAGAACAACACCAGTTTTTCTTCAGGATTTACCCCCACCTGTAGTAGGCAATCGGACAAGTTATGAGTTAAGAAACTCTGATAATCTTAGCCAACCATGTACAAAACTGAGGCACTCAACATCATCTTTTATTCCATCAGCAGTTAAAATGTGGAATAGTATTCCCTTAGCTATTAGAAATTGCGACTCTGTAGAATCATTTAAATCTTATATCCACGTGAAAGACAAGCGTGCACCTAAATCTTACTCATATGGAATAAAGACGTTAAATGTTTTGCACACAAGATTAAGATATATGACGAGTACACATAAATTTATTTAGAATGAATATTTAAATAATGACGAATCATGTCAATGTGGCCATGGATATGACAATGTTTTTCATTACTTCCTTGAAGACCATTGTATACTATTCAAAGACATAAACTGTTACATCTTTAGAAAGTATTGTTAAAATTAGAACACTGATTGGTATTAATCTTATCTTACATGGCAATGCAGGTGTCTCATTAACTGAAAATCAATGTTTTCAAATATGTACATGTCTATATCTCTCAAACAAAACGTTTTCTCGGTTAACTTTTGTTGTACATATCCTATCATTGGGAGAGGGCTTTTCTATCAATAAACACAATCAAACCCCTCAGTGACAAACCTGTTTTTATATTCGACAGTAATTGATAGTATAAACAATTTTGAGAAGAGAAATCATTTATCATTTAATCATAACAAAGTTCTATTTACACACAATCAAACTTCTCTGTAACCTGTTTCCGGCTCAGCCTTCTCTCCTCACTAGACAGTGGACTGTTCCATTAAACCCGTAGGTGTTACCCTAATTAACCTTCTAGTTCAGTGTCTGTCTATTGGGTGTCTGTCAAATGGGTGTCTGTCAACTGGGAGATAACCGTTTAAATCACAATAACGCAATACGTATGTTTTATCCTTATAAAACCAAAAACCACATAAACATTTGGAGGCTATGAGAGAATGGTGCCGTGTTACATATCGATAAACAAGTCGGTCATAGCTGGGACCAATGCAAAACATTATATATGTGGTTGTAAACTTGATATATCTCTTCGCTCGTTTGCTCAGCTCCACCCAAATGTACTTCCCTTCATCTATCGCGTCGATCCCGGTTAGAATAAACCCCAGCTTCCTATGCCTGTCGTACAAGGTGATTTGCTGGATTGGATGGTCAGGTCAGGTTGGTTGTGTTCAGCATGTGTATTTTCTGACCCAGACTCAATTATATACAGGCTTCTGACGTTCCGTTATGTGTTCTGAAATATTGATGAGATAAACCTCCTATATTCAAAATTTTGACAAAGCTCCCTTTGAAATTATAGATTACAAATAATGTTATGTGTAGATTGTCTTAAAAACCCGCACAAAACATTTATTTCCAAGATATATAAACGTCATCTGTTAATGGGTTTCGAACACATATATTCCAGATTGCCTGTCTTCTAACGTTTCGTGCCTGGGAATTACCTCCCCTTGTAATAAAATGGATTGTAAAGTCGTTTATCCAGCCGATAGCGTTTACTACTTTACTACAGTTGATGTTTATTCGAGGTTTGTTTGGAACATGGCGGTACGCGAGCCTAGTCTTGCACCTTGGTTACATTTCTTTATACGTATTCATGAAACTTGAAATATTATCGTGTTATGGATAGACGAGATTTTAAGAAGGTTGCCAGCGAAAACGGACTATCAAATGCAGTGATGAAAGCAGAACGATATTCTGCACAAGGTCAAAATGCCGACCGCGTCCAGGCGAAGCGGGCAATTTTGCAAGAACTTGGCGCAGATCTGTCAATACGTGCGGAGAGAATGCGATTAAAGACACGAATTCTGAGCGATGGTTCTGCAAGACATGACAAGCGGTGCTCTGGACGTTGGAACTGAAAACACCAATGCAAAAACGTATGCACTGTTTATGTGTTTGCAAAAGTTAACATGGTTAGCTAAGTTCAGCAGTTTTGATGTTTGATACACCTCTGTAAAGTTGGGAAGTGAAATGACAGATTAAACGGGAGCATATTCAAAGGATTTCATTTGAAATCTAAATTGGACATACCAATAGTATTCTCTTCCATCTTTACAGAACTCATTTGATTGTTTTTTGTCAATATTCCATATCACTGAAACACAAACTTTTCCAAACAGTGGCCTCATTATAATAACAATGTGGATTTCTGTCATTTCAAAACTAGTAAACAGGAATGTCTTAAAAACACCTTTTTTCGATGTATTTACTGTTGACTCATTTATATTTATAGAATATTGCATTCTGTGATTTGAGCCACCTCACCAAAGCCCAAGTGTAATAAAATATTTGGCCTAGTGTGTGATGTAACGTTTAAGTAAATAATAACTCTTCACACAAAGATCTACTGAAAATGATGTACACAGACAGATTCACGCTTGTAGACATAACAGTTTGACCATATCTGATATACCAGGAACCTAATGTACATGACACATAAATATGACTATGTGGTCAGTTTACAGACCTACACAAGTAGTACCAGGTGTCCAGGGCCTCAGGGATGTGGTCAACAGTCCGACCAGGATCCCAGTGTCACAAGCCAGGCAGAGAAGGCGGGATAAGGAGAGAGGCTTGAACAAGCAGCCCAAATCAAACATCAACATACAGAACTACAGGCCTGATTATACATGGAACAGAGGAGGACGTGTGAAAGAACTGAGAATAAGGTATTGGATTAGCCTGTTCAATTCATGATGGGGCTTTCTTGACATTGACCCCACAGACTGTGGGACATGTGTGATTTGATACCTGGTCCTATCATACTGAGAAATGTTAAAAGATGGTACTTGTTGTTATCCTGCCATGTGTTTGACAGAGAAAGGATCAAACAAGGACTGGTTGGCTTGGAGTATGTATATCTGAGTAGGGTATCCAGGTTACACTGCAGTATGGTATCTTACGGTGCTACCATTAAACCAGCATTAATCAGAACCAGTGCCAGACAAACAAAAGCATGCAAGTGCAATAATTCTGAATGCAAAATTTCACCTAATCTTGTCTATGATGGTGTAGAAAAATGTACTCAATGATAAAGCAGCAATATTCACTGTTTGATTTTTTTCAGATGCATTGCAAGAAAGTTCCTACATTTGTGGATTATAAATGTATTTGGAAGAGTAACTCTCTCCAAAGCAAGGTGAGTAGCAATAGGAATTTGAACAAGGGCTGTGGGGACTAATTGCCAGTGTGTAAGTATTCAAGCTTCACTGAAGTTTACTTAGCCCAGCATAAGGCACAGCAAATCCCTGTGCTGGGGTGCATCTGTTTGGCATGTCAAACCCATGATTGTGGGTTCAAATCATGGTTAGTCCTTATTATTTGTCTAGGTCATCACAGTAACAAGGTTTCACCAAACTAGTAAACATCCAGACAAGCATCACTTCAGGCTTTCCTCCATCATTAGGCTGACAAAGCTTGATATACCTGAAATACTGTTCTAAAACAGTGGCATTATACCTAGCTCAGTCAGTTATGGTACAGGGACTCACAAGTCACATGAATGTTTCTTTTAAAAGATGTCAGTTTTTTCAAGGCTTCATTTTTAGAAATTTTAATGAGTGGCACTATTCAAATATTGATCCCAACTAAATCTTTTGTATTAGGTCTCTGAATTTTGACTTGCCAAATACGATCAACTCTATTTTCGAACTCTGGTTTTTGGTTATATTATGTAATATAATTTCTTTGCCTATTACAAACGGAAGTGATGTAAATACACATGTTTTAGAAATCATCAAGTTGTGAAAACAATATTGTTAATATGATAAATAAGCCTGTACTTATGTTATAAGCAAAGGGTTGAAATGAAGACTGCTATGTTCCAGAGCCCATTTCAACAATCGCCTGCTGAAGATGACGTTTGGTGTGTGGTATGACATGTGGTGGGAACTGAGGAAAGAATGGAGACTGCAGGTTCGGGCAGAGTGTCATCACAGGTACTTCAAATCATACAGGTTTTCGTACAGGCAACATTACCTTGCGATATATTTTCACACAATGTTGGAAAATAAAAGTGAAAAATAAAACGATTATGGTATTTGGATGATAACCAGTGTGTAACCACGTTTAAGGCTTATTTGTGCATTCTTATTTGTTTCTGCTAAGAATTTAAACATTGCTTAAACTTGTTCCATTAGTATATTCAGAAAGGAATTCAATCTCTTTCCTTATTGTTGCCTTTAAAATACTCTTTGTGTTAAGCCTTGATATCTGTAATTAGCCATTAGTGTTGACAATTGGGGGTCACTAGGGTAGTTTGGGACTTGGGCTAAATTAATAGTTTATAATACAATGTATTATGGTTATGTCAAGTGTCCCTTCACTTTGGTCCACTTTTTCTTGTAATCACACCAAATTCCCAGTTGTTTGCATTAGCTGATCACTGTCATTGCCAACTATAGCTTCCATTAGTAACATAGTTATCAGTGGTGTGACGATTCATCGACACGCATCGATGCATCGATCCATCGATCCATGGGGCGCCGATACAGTGAATTGATACAAAGTTTACATTGTCGTATATCCCGATACGATACTTCAAAAGGGCCATGATGCATCGATTTTTAACTTTGAATATTGCCGAATGGCAATATCTGTCAAGAAAAAAAACTTACATTTTTAAACTTATCCTATCTCACGGTATGCACCATCTCTCTCTTCTACGACCATGCTGTCAGCTAAGTTGAGTCAAATCTAACTGGCCTCTGACCCGCCCTGACCTCTGCCCTCACCCCGACATCAACGCCTGTCAATCATCCACCAAAGCGTGCGGCTCGCCTAAACGATCACATGACCACCTCTACTTGTCATTCTCTTTCTTGTCTCCACGCTGTGTGGACGTGTGTTGTGGTTAAGAGAGTTTTTGTTTGTGTTTCTACTATGGGAAAATCAAATCGTCACGCTTCAAAGAAACGCAAACATTGTGAAAGATGCAATAGTAACTTTCGGCAGCGGACCCTCATAACTCTTGTGTGGATTGCCTTGGACGATGCGGTTGGTCTAAACGTTGTACTTTATGTGCTAACCTGGACGACGATGCATTCTCAGAGTATTGTCGGGTAGCTAGCAGGCGCAAGGCAGATAGAGATCAGAGGAATCCATCGGAAGGTCCATCAGAGCTGAAACGTTCTAAATTAGATCGCCGAGTAAAATCTGCAATACGTTCAAAATCCAAGTCTCCTAAAGAAGATTTTCTGGACGAGGCATCGGACTCTTATCTTAGTGAGAATGTGCGTCAACTGTTCCGACCCCATTCATCTAGTCCTATTACTTTGGAAGATTCGTCACCTCCATGTATTGTTGTTTTGTCTACATCTGACATTCAATCACGGCCATCCTTGTTGGTAAATGTGACTCAGCGCCCTAATGGGTCGGAGGTGGCGACTACTCATACTATTACATCACAAGTGACGGTTACAGGCAGTGCAGCGCTTTCAACCAGAGCGGCGCTTACCTCGGGAGTGACACTCTCATTAGGAGAGTTATATACGGGCAGAGCGCCGCTTGTCACGGTTACTCACTTTGGATGGATTCAGCACTTACTACCAGTTCGGCGCTTCCTCCCGGTGTGACGCTTACCCCTGGTATTCCCGGTTCGGCGCTTCCTCCCGGTTCGGCGCTTAACCCTGGTATTCCTGGTTTGGCGTTAATCCAGGTTCGGCGCTTCATGGTTTTGCATTTCCTCCCAGTGGTCCTGGTTCGAGGCTTGCGTCTGTTTCGACGCTTCCTTATGGTGCACCCAGTTCACTGATTCTTCCCAGTATTCCCGGTATGGCACTCACTCATGTTGGACTTGGCTCGGCGCTTGCTCATAGTGTTCCCGGTTCGGCACTTCCTCCTAGGACTCCCGGTGCGGCACTCACTCATGTTGGACTTGGTTCAGCGCTTGCTCATAGTGTTCCCGGTTCGGCGCTTCCTCCCGGTCCGGTGTTTCCTCCTGGTTCAGCGCTTGCTCATAGTGTTCCCGGTTCGGCGCTTCCTCCCGGTCCAGTGTTTCCTCCTGGTTCAGCGCTTGCTCATAGTGTTCCCGGTTCGGCGCTTCCTCCCAGTCTGATGTTTCCTCCTGGTTCAGCGCTTCCTTCCGATTCGACGCTTCATCCTGGTTCGGCGCTTCCACCCGGTTCGACGCTTGCTCCTGGTGTTCACGGTTCGACGCTTCCTCCTGGTTCGGCGTTTGCTTCAGGTGTTTCCGCTCCGATGCTCCCTACTAGTTCGACGCTTCATCATGCTGCTTTTAATTCAGCGCTCGCTCACAGCCTTCCTGGTTCGGCGCTTACTTATAATGTTATTGGATCAACGCTCACTCCTGGGATTCCTGGTGCGACACTTACTCATGGGGCACCTGTCTCAACGCTTACTTATGGTGTTCCTGGTGCGGTACAGTCTCAAGCTACTGGAGTGGTTCATGGTTCAACGCTTCCTCAGGTTTCAGCGTTTACTACTCAAGTGCCATCATCTCATGTGGGCGTGACTCAATCAGCTGTATGTTCATCCTTTCTGTACGTGACATACCTCATCATCCCTCTGGGGCTACTACGATTTCATCAGTTCCTTCTGCTACAGTTTCGACGGCGAGATCTGTTTTGCCGGTTTCCTGGAATCCGGTGTCTGAGGGGGCAACGTCTCAACCTATGGACTTTGATGCCTTTGTGTTGGCGGTAGCATCAGCTATACGGCATCAGGAGCCAGTGTCATCTCCTGTTACTCAGTCATCAGGGATTTCGACTACGCACGCGGTGCCTGTGCAAGAGATTCTACGTTCAACAACGCTGTCTATGTCTTCAGGAAGTACGTCCCCTTCGGATGTGAGTGTGGATGCTGTTGACTCACCTTAGCTACTTATCTGGATTGCTGATAAACTCAAGTAACAGCGTAGTACTTCGAAGGATGACATTTTATCCAGTTTTGATATGAAGACTGGAGACTTTGGTTCCATCACGTTCCCTCCCCGACCGTGCATCACTCAGTTGACTGCGTCCCCGGATGAGGCTAGTTTGAGAAAAATTAAAGATGGTTTTGCTACGCCTCGCTTCAACTTGACATCGGCTCATGTACATGGATTGTCATCTATGATTGCCTCTCCTCCAGTAGATGATGATATCACTTTGTTGGGGACGAAACAGAGAACTTATTTGCCCTTCCTTGTCGAAGACCGTGAACTGATACATTTAGATGCGTCCATAAGGAAGATTATGGCTCCATTAAACTAAGTGTTGACAACTACTGAAGCGGTGGCCATATCTGTCGCACATGCTACAACCCATCAGCAAGCATACATCCGAGCGGCTATGGTGTTATTGCAGGAACAATTCCAAACCATCCTAGATCTATTGGCTCATTTTTTCTCCTATGTCATGGCTATGAGGCGTAGAGGACCGTTACAATTATCATCCTGGGAAGACAGATTCAGGACAGACCTGTTTCGCCAACCCTGGTCGGGCAATTCTCTGTTCAACGGGGCGATTAGGCAAGTCGCCGAAAGAGTAGGGCAGGATACCCATCTACAAGTCTCGGTCGAATTGTTGAGGTTCCAGCGACTACAAGTGGAGCAATCAATGACACAGCGACGACCAGCTCACTATGTCCCTACTAATCCGGACCTTTCCTCGGGTTCTACGGCTTCTTTTCCTATGGAAGAGGAGATCGAGTCGCCAACGGAGAACTTCCACTGCTCCACGATCAACTTCCACTACTGACCAGCCCACCTCACAGAGACGTGATAGGCAATGACTTGTTGACATTGAAAGGCGACTGGGAACTTCCACCTCAAGTCGTACCCATTCAGATTTCCTCAGTAGGAGGCCGACTTGGGACCTATGTTCCCAACTGGACAAGTTTTTTGGAGACCCTTACGTCCTGTCCATGTTAACCAAGGGATTCCAGTTACCAGTCATCGGGAAACCTCCGCTCACAATACTTCCGGATTGCAGAACGTATGCCACACAACAATTGGCTGCTCTGCGATCAACGATAGACACTTTACTCAAGAAACTTGCGATCGAATCCCTGGGTCCGGCCCCGACCAGTCCAGGGTTCTATTCTCCCAATCTTTCTGGTGCCCAAGAAGGATTCGGACAAACTGAGGTTAATCTTAAACATGAAGATTTTCAACGAGAAATTTCTGCAGCCCCCGCCTCATTTTCGCATGATATCGGTGGCACTTCTCAAGACAATTATCAAGCCGGGAGACTACATGGTCAGTTTACACGGGTAACGAAGCCTATCTCCAGTTTTCGTCATCGCAAGAGGATAGTGTTTGAAGCCTCAATTGACGACTGCATTCAGGCACAGAACGATCATGCCCTTCTGCTTCGTCACATGCAGTTTGCATTACAGCATCTTCGCCAATTAGGATGGTTAATCAATCTTCAGAAATCGGAACTAGTCCCAACGCACCGACTTCAATTCATCGGGAGCAGTTTTCGACACAGAGGTCAACAGACTGTTTGTCCCGAGGGATCGTTTCTGCAAGATACAGCAGTTGGTTTCCCTAGCTCTAGCCCAACCTAGGACGCTCCGTCAATGGCAGGAACGCCTAGGCCTCTTGACGTCGGCTCAGGCGTTGACACTCAGGGGTCATCTACAACTTCGTCCGTTACAGCTATTTCTAGCACCTTACATCAGAGTGGGAAATCCCGGTGCTTTGATCACTCTACCTCTGGAGCTTCGTCCTTATCTACAGTGGTGGATGATAAAATTGAATGTCTGCGACGGAGTCTGTTTAGAGCCGTTTGTTCCGTCTCACTACCTGTATGTGGATGCGTCTCTACACTGGTGGGGAGCTCACCTTCTCAATCTACAAGTGCCATGGCTGTGGTCTACCACAGATCTCACTTCTCACATCAATATTCTGGAGTTCAGGGCAGTGATTATAGCAATCAGTCACTGGCAGGATGTTCTACGATCAACTTCTGTCATGGTCAGATCGGACAACACAGCGGTGGTGTGGCATATCAACAGAATGGGGTCAACAGGGTCTCCACAGCTTCTACAGTGGACACAACGGTTCTTCAACCTGGTGGATTCTCTCAACATCTTGGTGCGGGCCAACCACATTCCGGGGGTGAAGAATGTCATCGCAGATGCTCTGTCTCGAACAAGTCATCCCTCTCCAACGGAATGGAAATTAAATCCCCAGGTGTTTCAGACTCTTTGCCTTCCAATAACGTTTCCAACAGTAGATCCCTTCGCCACGAGGTTCAATCATTAGCTACCTCGGTTTGTGTCACCAATACCGGACCTTCTAGCTTGGGACCTGGATGCTCTGGCCATTCCATGGGAAGATCTGAACACTCATGCGTTTCCGCCAGTGGCCCTTCTTCCTCGCATTCTGGTGAAATTGCGTGCAACTTGAAGGATAACTCTGCTTTTGGTCGCGCCCCACTGGCCGGCCAGAAGTTGGTTCGTAAATCTTCGAGACTTAGCCGAACCAGATCCCATGCCGCTTCCCGAGCGACCCGATCTATTGGTTCATCCACACTCCAATCAACTCCATTGGTCTCCGCTGACGCCTGGCGCATCTACATCGATCATTAACGGCTAAGGGTTATTCTTTATGTGTTGCCACTGCCATCACTACAGCTCATAGTTCTTCTACCAGGTCACTCTACGATGACAAGTGGAAAAGTTTTGAAGCATATTGCAGGAAGAAGGGCATCTTGTCTCCTACTACGGCATCCCCGCAGATGGTGGCAGAATATCTTCAACATCTCCCGACCTCCAGGAAACTTAAAGGATCAACTTTATCTACCTATCTGGCTGCTCTTAACACAGTTATTGCTACAGCCTCGGGGGTGAAGATTTCCGGGGCGGTGGGGTAGCCTAGTGGTTAAAGCGTTGACTCGTCCCGCCGAAGACCCGGGTTCGATTCCCCACATGGGCACAATGTGTTAAGCCCATTTCTGGTGTCCCCCGCCGTGATGTTGCTGGAATATTGCTAAAAGCGGCGTAAAACCAAACTCAGTCAGTCAGTCAGTGTGAAGATTTCCACTGTTCCTGAACTCCAGTCTCTCCTAAGGTCTTTCAAATTGGCTGATCAATCCCAGAAGTTCCGGCCTCCAGCTTGGAATCTCTCTGTTGTACTTGCTCATCTCAGATTGGCTGAATATGAACCTTTGAAGAATAAAGATTTTGAACATGTCTCCTTCAAGACCTTCTTTCTCTTGGCCTTGGCTACAGCGGCCCGTATCTCTGAGTTGCATGCTCTGGATGTGTCTCGAGTACGATTTGAAAAGACTAGACATGCGAAAGTTTTCCTTGGTCTGCGGTGGGATTTCCTTGCCAATAATCAATTACCAGGACAGCTGGATCGCATCTTTACGATCCCACCATTGTCTACCACCTTGGGCCCAGAAGACACTGAAGATCTTTGCTTCTGCCCAGTTCGAGCATTGAGGATTTATCTAGCTGCCTCGCAGGATCGTCGAAGACTACGTAGCAGACTTAATCATCCCTATATCTACTGCCTCCACTTCGGAAGTCTCCCGTACTACCTTGGCATTTTGGATGAGAACTACAATCCTGCATGCCTATACCTTTGCTGACCTACCTCCACCAGCAACGGCCAAGCCTCATGAGACCCGAGCTCTTGCGTCAACCATGGCTCTTCACAGGAACTGTTCCTTTCAGTCCATCATGGAGGGCTGTTTTTGGAGATCGGATACTGTGTTCTCCTCACACTACCTACGGGACCTCTCAGTGACAGATGTGGAAGGACAACATCAATTCGGCCCTTTGGTTCTGGCACAGCAACTGTCTTCGGCCCGCGTTCGCAGATAAAGCAATCCTTGGTCAGTTCTGCTCTGTACATAATAAAAGATATCGATGTTATCCATATCTTGGTACTTTTTGACCTGGGTCTAGACCCTTCTCACCTAGAGAACTAGGACATGCTGGTACTGTCACACCATGGCGAGAAGACTATGAGGCAAGTCCTGTACTACATGTAGAGATGGTCGACATACAGTTACTGACCTCTGCTCTTTGAGCAATCACGTCAGTGAAGTGTTGATTCTGATTACCTGTGTGGTTTTCGAAGCGTTCTGCTCCTAAGTCCTTTCTCACCTTTGGTAAGTTAGGGAGATTGGTACTTAACGTTAAACTAGTGAGCAACCGGGCTATTCCTTCTTTCATCGCCTTCCAGCGTGTGTCTGTGGGGGATAGTTTCGAAGCAGGGACTGGCCAGATTAAGGTCCTCGACTTTAATTCACTGGGGTCACCTGATAAATCGTGGGGCGGGGCCTACTTGCCATACTGCCTCCTTTTGCTTGTCAAAAGTTACGGCTGAAAACCACATTAACTCGGGAGCGTCCACTCCCAAGAGTTTTTGTGCTGTGTAAGCCAAGGGGTTACCTGAAGAAACCATCTCAAGTTTGGAGTTTGCATATCGGGAGTTGGTGCTTTCTCCTGGCCTCCTTGGGTTATGCATTTTTCCCGGTGGTAGTAGTAACGGGGTAATCTGCAACCCGCCTACCAACCGTGGGATTATGCATACCGTGCATAGGATAAGCTTAAAAATTTGAAAATTTTATAATAAATTGTATATTTATATACTTATCCTATCTCCCGCGATAAGACCCACCCGACCTGCCCCACATCACAGATTACTGGAAGCTTCACGACGAGAATGACAAGTAGAGGTGGTCATGTGATCATTTAGGCGTTTTGGTGGATGATTGACAGACATTGATGTCGGGGTGAGGGCAGAGGTCAGGGCGGGTCAGAGGACAGATTTGACTCAACTTAGCTGACAGCATGTTTCCACACATGGTCGTAGAAGAGAGAGATAGGATAAGTATATAAATATACAATTTATTATAAAATATTAAATTTTGTTTGATGATTAAAATAAGGTTTACTTATTTTCCCTTCATAAGTAAACTTTTCTCGGAAATTCTTCCGTCAAGAACTGGGTCAGACATAGCGCTCGGATGTTATCAACATTCACAAAGTCCGTGTATAAACTTAATTATTTCGTTTCCGCTGGCGGAATTTGACGAAATACTTAAAAATGGTTTTGCTTTGATCTTAAAGTGTTTTATAGTTGGTGTTAGAATTAAGGATTTTAGTATTGTGATACGTATCATATTGCCACCCTTATATCGGGATTCGTATCGTAACGCAGCTTCAGTGAACAATACTTTGGCAATATGTCATCATGACTAAAAATTTATCATCGGGTTATGTATCGTATCGCAGGTTGTATGGCAATACCACTAATAGTTATATCTATGTGATTTGCATCCTTTCATCGATTGATTTTTACGTGAATATAATTGCAGCACATTTACATATAGTAGTTAGTTTTGTGTTGGATGTAGTTATGTAGTTTTGGTATGATTTGTTGTTCTATGTATACTTAGTCACCTCTACACATCACAGCTAACTGTACTTTCCTGGGTCAGGTATGTGCTGTGGAACCACAGTTTTCAAGCCTGGAAATACTTTGTGCAGACCCAAAGAGTGAAGAAAGCAAAGTTCTTCAGAGCGTAAAGACATTGTGAGTAGAACAAAGCCAGTATTAGTTTTATCTAATGAAAAATAGTGGCCCAAGTTAGAATAATCATGTTTAAGGTATTGTGCTGTTCTTTGTTTTATTCATTTTCTTCTTGGGGTCTTAATGACTTTATTTTGATATAAAGTCGTATTGCTGTGCTTGTATTCTGACAGCAGTCGTAATAATGGTTGTGATGAGGTGATGATGAGATAATGAAAATTAACTAGATGAGGAAGTTGATGATGATAATGGTGTTGGTTCGGGATGAGATGATGATTATGCAAATATGATATTGATGAGAAAAAATGATGATGAAGATGAGATGAAACAATGATGAAGATCATGAGGGTGAGGATTGCAGTGATGAGATAATGTTAACTGGGGTGATGAAGATGAGATGGGGATGATGATGGCAGTTGTCGTGATGATGATGATGATGATGGTGGTGGTGGTTCAGAACGAGATGATGATGTTGACTGGGGTGATGAAGATGAGATGGGGATGATGGTGGTGGTGGTCGTGATGATGATGATGATGATGATGATGATGATGGTGGTGGTTCAGAACGAGATGATGATGTTGATTGGGGTGATGAAGATGATGATGGTGGTGGTGGTCGTGATGATGATGATGATGATGATTGTGGTGGTGGTGGGTGTGGTTCAGAACGAGATGATGATGTTGACTGGGGTGATGAAGATGAGATAGAGATGATGATGAAGGTGGTGGTTCAGGATGAGATGATGCTGTTGTAGATGTGCTTCATCGGGAAAGCCAGGTGATGCGCTGCTGGGTGCAGTATGTACATCAGAGAAGGGAGGTCAAGCAAGTACAGGAACAGGCTAACAACTTCCGGAGAGGCTGTCAGTTAAGGTCAAGGATGGCATATCATCATGCATTACTGTTACCAAATTCTTATTTTTCCTTATCCTGACTCATGGTTATTGCTTGTCTTCTTCTTCTTGCGAACATAGTGGAACACGTGTATCTCCCAATTGAAGTTCCCTTCAATTAAAAAATCACTAATTAGTACTCACCACGAGTTACCTCCCTTCCACAAGCGCGTGAACGAGGGCGCCACCTGAACCCATGTGCCTCACTCTCTCCTTCTTCGCCCAGTGAGCTGGACGTGAGAGCGTCTGTGTCTCCCAACACACTATATCCTTTATTTATATTTAGTTTAGTACCTCTTATATTCAGTTATAGAGGTGTAACTAGTATCCTTATTCAACTTGCATTGATTATTAGTCGTGTTTCTGCTGTTTTATTCACGGTTCGCGTGTTTGTTCAGCAGTTTACGCTCATGAGAATCTGCACAGGTTGTAAACTACGCTATTCGCCACCGATCCACATTTAAAATGCCCTAGTTGCATTACTCCATGTTCTATTGTTTCTCGTTGTAAATTATGTATTAATTTACCAATTGCTGCCTTTTGATAAATATTTATGTTCCGCTTTTGAGACGGAAGGCAGATAAATCTCGCAAACAATCTTCAGTCATGGCTAATAGATCGGAAGCTATTATACCCTGTCAACTGTTGACTGACTCGACCGCCACCCATTGGTGCCCTGCCGGAGTCCCTCGGGGATAAGCGTGGGACACAGTCCGCTATGTCCAAGAAGCTTAACTCTGCGCCTCAAGACATTCCGCCTTCTCAGTCTAAGACTAGGACAGCGCCCACATCTTCTCAACGCACGCTTGAACCCCCAGGTCCACAGCTTCAGCCAAAAGGGAAATCTAACGAAAACTATAAATAATTTTGCCTCCGATATTCTACCTGTCTCAGAATTATGTTTATATGATGATGACATTCCGATTATCATTCCAGATGTACGTCATAAGAAACGTCCAGTATCTGCTACCGTCACAACAGCGCAGATAAACACGCAACCAGAGATGCCTACGCTGACGCCTGAGTTTACGATTGAGGGTCCCGTCACTTTCACAGAGAGGCCACCCTCAACGCCAGCGCAGACTGTCCCAGACGACCTGGTTAACCAAATCATGAGACTGATGGAGGACCGTTACGGTTTACAGAGGCCCCAGAGCCACGGGCCCCAGAGCCCAACACTTAATAAGTCATACAGGGCCCCAGAGCCCGCCTTGGCTTCGAGCCTCCGCGAAGGGCAACCCAGCCCGTAGCGATCACTTCGCTAAGGAAGTCCCAGGCCGCCTCCGCGAAGGAGCGAGAGCCTATCCAGTTGCGAGGGACATCGCGGAGAAGGAGCACTTCGACGAGCCCACACCCTGTAGAACACAGAGGTCGTTCTCGAAGCAAGCGCTCATATGTCGATTCGGACACTGACTTGATACATTCGCGAAGGTCGCAAAGGCTAAGTGGCTCCATGTCTACCTCGCCCAGAAGATTTAGAAGAGCTTCGCGAAGTCCCCAACGTTCGCCGAGGATGTCTCCTCCAAGGTCTCCTTACACTAGCCACTCGTCAGTCCGTTCACCACAGTCCTCTCATAGATCTTCCTACAGATCTAGGACTCCGACATGTGACCCTACATCAGAGGAAGAAGGTATCATTTTCTCAGATGCTGAGATCAGATACTGGATGGTGAATGAGTTACAAGTTGCTTCCCCATCAAAGAACGAGAATTCAACTCAGACTTACCTGATGAAGGATGATGATGTAGACAATATCACCTTACCTCCTATTGATCCGATTGCAGCGGTACCAGCTAATTTGGATACAGCCTGTTCCAAATCTTTAAAAGTACAATCTACACAATTCCCGGTCTTCAATGCCAAGAAATTTGCTGGACACAATATGGACCCCTTTTTCAAGGCCCAGGATATTGATGACAACTTTAAATTGATTAGCGATGCCAAGTCCAGAAGTTACAAAGTAGACGATCGCAAATTCGCTCAACTAGATACCATCGCCAGGAGGATGTTCTTTGGATTGAATAGATCTAGAACGATTAATGAAACTCTCATCACCAAGTTCAAGAATTCTACAGAGGAGGAAGATAGAATGATCTACTCAGCTCTACTCATGCAGAAAAGAGACCACCAATTTCTTACAGAGCACCTATCAGCTTACTGAAACTACTACCATGGCTCGTCGGCAAGGCTTACTAGCCTCCTGCTCTTGGGATAAGCAATTTACAGAATCTCTATACACAGCTCCATGGTCATCGCCCTTACTGTTTGGTGGCAACATAGACAAGGTCTCCAAAGAAGTATCTAAAGACTCAAGAGAGGTTCTTATGATCAGATCCATGGATACCTTAGCGAACGTCATTAAACAGTCAACACAGAGATACTCAGGCAAGTCTAAGTTTTCGGGCTACAGAAAGCACGGGACAAGAAATTAGCTGCAGCTAAAGATCCCAAGGATTCTTTTTCAGCCCATACAACAAATTTAGGGAGGATCAGCTAGAGGCAGATCATCCAGAGGTGCCCGTGGATTTAGACGATGAAATTCAGGTTCGGAACGACTGGAGTCTTCCACCCCCAGCCGTTCCAGTACAACCGTCTCAAGTGGGTGGACGCCTTCAGCTACACTGGGAAAACTGGGGAATACTACAAGATCCATATGTATCCAACATCCTACAGCACGGATATCTAATACAACTCAAGGCCAAGCCTCCGTTAACAGTCAACCCCCCAGGGTTCAACGTTCATCCGGCACAACTACCTATGTTAAGAGAAACAGTACTTACTCTACTAAACAAACAGGCCTTAGAAGTTCTGGATCAACGAAACATCGTACCAGGTTGTTACTCCCCAGTTTTCCTAGTGCCGAAGAAAAATTCCAAGGAGAAGTTTCGTCTCATATACAACATGAGCATCTTCAACAGAGAATATCTATGGAAACCTCCAACGTTTCGCATGATACACTTACCGCAACTTCGGCATTTAATTCCTCCCAAAGATTACATGGCCAGCATAGATTTGCAAGACGCATATCTACACATTCCGATTCATCCCAACTCAAGGAAATATCTAAGATTTATCCTAGACGGGAAACATTACCAATGGAAGGTTCTTCCTTCGAATCACATCGCCCCTTGGGTATTCACAAGAGTGACCAAGCCTATTGTCTCATACCTACATCGTCAAGGTCTTCTTGGCGCTTTTACCTAGACAACGGTATACAAGTGGATCCAGATCCACAGCCGCCTCAGACTACAGCTGAAATTTATAATCAAGCTACTAACACAATTAGGATGGTTAGTAAATCTACTCAAGTCGGACTCTAGAACCAACGCAAGATCTGCAATTTCTAGGTATACGATTTCTAACAGCTCAGAATCGTATTGTAGTCCCGGAGGACAGATGGATCAAGATCCAACAACTTATTCCTCAAGCCCTACTCTCTCCGTTACCACTACGACAGTGGCAGAGCCTATTGGGACTACTCACATCAGCTCAAGACTTGACAGTCAGAGGCAGGCTTCAATTACGTCCGTTACAAGTCCTCATCAATGCTCATCTCGAGGACCCTCTACCATGCAGTCTACCAGATTATGTCAAACCACATCTACTCTGGTGGACCAAGAGATTGAATGTTTGCGCAGGCGTCTCCTTAGTAGAGCCGGAATCGAAAACACATCTCTACGTAGACGCGTCACTACAACTTTGGCAGGACAGCGTCAGGCCTATGGAGCAATCAAGAGAGCAAATGTCACATAAATCTGCTAGAGATGCAAGCAGTCATAAACGCCATAAGTCACTGGAGCAACATACTACAGAACGCTCAGTTGATGGTTCACACAGACAATTCAACAGTGGCGTTTTATGTGAACAAACAAGGTTCAACAAGGTCACAGAACCTACTGACTCGATGTTTCAGACTGTTCGATTTAATCGACAATCTAAACATACACGTCAGAGCTTGCCACATTCCAGGAGCAAAGAATGTATTAGCAGACGCGCTCTCTCGGCCACACCTACCGTCGCCGACAGAATGGATGCTCCACACAGAGATATTCAATCAAATAATCATGGAAATAGGATCTCCACTGATAGACCTATTCGCCACTCGATTCAACAAACAACTGACAACATTCGTGTCGCCAGTGCCAGACCCACTAGCATGGGCAACGGACGCTCTAAGGATATCGTGGGAGAGACTCAACACGTACGCCTTCCCGCCTCCAGCGTTGATCCCACAAGTCTTACAGAAAATCAGTCAAATGCAGAGCCTCCATCTGATTTTAGTCGCGCCCTACTGGCCAGCAAGAACTTGGTTTCCAGATCTCATTCAAGTAATGGGAAAACCAATTCTTCAGCTCCCTACAACGCCAATCTATTGATACATCCGCGACACCAAACAAGTGCACGAAACACCTGAAGCATTCCAACTTCACGTATGGATTGTATCAAGGCATGTCTGAATAAGAGAGGTTATTCTGCCAGAGCTGCTAAAGCGGTCACGCTTGCACTTCACGTAACTCAACTCAGAACTTGTACGATGATGACAAATGGCACAGTTTTGTCAATTACGCTGCTAAGAAAGGGTTTACAGCCAGATATGCTACACATCCTCAAGTGGCAGATTCCTTATGTTATCTACGGCAAACTAAGAATCTAAAAGGCTCAACCTTGTCCACTTATCTTGCAGCCATAAGTTCTGTCATAACTATGCGAACGGGCGTCAAGTTAACAAAAAAACCAGAGTTACTCGCTTTGTTACAAGCGTTCCGATTGGAGGATCAGAAAGGGAAGTTTCACGCTCCAGCCTGGGATCTAAATATAGTGCTCCAATACCTCACTAGTGAGGCTTATGAACCATTGCTATCTACATCGTTTGAATCACTGACCCACAAAACCTTATTCCTGCTAGGGCTAGCTACGGCCGCCAGGATGTCAGAGATTCACGGCTTGGATTACGAGAGAATACGCTTTGATGATATTCATAACATCGCTCATCTGGGACTTCGCTGGGATTTTATAGCGAAAAACCAACTGCCAGTTCAACCAGACAGATTATTTCACGTCCCAGCTCTCTCATCCATTCTTGGACCGCATGATACGATGGCTCTATCACAATGCCCAGTGAGGGCACTAAAAATATATCTCCAACGATCCAAACAGAGCAGAGGGAAATTCAAGAGATTATTTATCCCTATATCTACAGCTACGCAGACGGAAGTCTCAACGCATTACTACCATCTCTATCTGGATCAGAACTGTCATACTACGTGCCTACAAGGCTGCAGGACTCGACCCTCCAAGAGCTTCTAATCCTCACCGAAATTAGAGCTAGCCTCAACTCTCGCTCTACATGGGAATTGCTCGTTGAATACCATAATGGAGGGATGTTTCTGGAGATCCGATATGGTGTTTGCCAACCACTATCTGAGAGATATCACCACCGAGGACGTCTCAGGTATCCACCATTTCGTCCCATGGTCCTCGGCCAACAGTTGACAGTTCCACGGAGAAGATAAGCCTATCTTACAGATTTTATACTTATCTGATAACAGTACTAATAGCTACATGCTATCTATATATTTTGCTTAAGTTTAATTTATTATCTTAAGCTCAGTACTATGGTTTTTTATATCATACTATATATAAGCTTACAACTCCTAGGAGTTTTGCTACTATATATGTTCAGCTTAAGTTTCATCAATCCTTAAGCTCAGTCATATGGTCATATGCATAAATGTATTAGTTAACAAACTCTAAGGAGTTGGTTCTATTATACAGCTTAAGTTATAATTATATCTTAAGCACAATACTATACTATTATAGCTTAAATATATGCATATCTTAAGCTTAATACTTTGGTTAATTTATAAAAGTATCCACTATAAACTCACAGAAGTTTATATTATCACATTAATAGCTTCAGCTTACATTAATGTTGTATATACTTTTATCATATTCTATAAATTGTAATAACCTTATATGGCAGCTGATAAGTTATACAGCAGGAATTCATCAGTTCAGTGCCTTTATGAAGTTCCCATAGGGTTATTACAATCATCACAGTTCAAATCACTAATTATTAAAATCCAAAGTATATATATTCCCACCTCCTTTTCCGTCGGATTCTACAAGCAATAAGCATGAGTCAGGATAAGGAAAAATATGAAATTTTTAGAGTAAAATTAATATTTTATACTTATCCTGACTCATGAGGTAAGCCCTCCCGTCCTCCCCACTTAACACTTTGGATTTCTTCAGAAAAATAAAGTGTTGGGTTCGAAACTAAAGGAGAGAGTGAGGCACATGGGTTCAGGTGGCGCCCTCGTTCCCGAGCTTGTGGAAGGGAGGTAACTCGTGGTGAGTACTAATTAGTGATTTTTTAATTGAAGGGAACTTCAATTGGGAGATACACGTGTTCCACTATGTTCGCAAGAAGAAGAAGACAAGCAATAAGCATGAGTCAGGATAAGTATAAAATATTAATTTTACTCTAAAAATTTCATTTTTCAACTATCTGATTTGTTACTTACCTCAGAATATTTTTAACATTCATATAAGAAATAAACTGCTTCATTTCAACAAGGCATTAGTATGCCCTTATCTCTTGTAAATAGAATGTACTGGCTACCGAACAGTTATCGCCATGTTTTAGCGGTATTTACAAATTTACTCATCCGTTCGTTAAATTAATGAAACAGAATTAATTATGATACTTAATTAGCTATTCACCGATGTGTCCAGCCGATTCATTGCTGCCGATCATGTTTTTATATAACGCGGCAGAAGGGAATCACAGCAGTATAAATAGATGTTTTCTCACAGCTAACTGTAACAGTTATCCCCATTTAGAATTTCTCAGGCCATTCGGGAAATAATATATTTATTTATATCATACAGTAACTTCGAATAATTGTTATGTGACTATTTGAGTATTTCTTTCACAGTAGATTGATAGGGAATGAAACAATTAATGACTTGTGAACTTGAACTTGCAATTATGCCCCTCGACTAAGTTGAAAAAGAATTATAGGGTTCATAACTTTTCTTTAATTTTTCTCTTATGTTACTTACTGTGAATAATTTTCTTTTGCTGTCCTTTATTGTTGTCAAATACCGAGGGAAAACCCACGGAATTGTAATTGATCGGAATTGTGCTGATGTACTGATACTGTGATACTGATGTAATGGCGATAACTGTTATGCGGCGATAACTGTTCACTAGCCAGTACAGGAAACACCATATTAATTAATAAATTTCGTGAAAATATTCCTCTCACTTTATGATTTGTTTGAATGATGCATTTAGTTTTTCTAACCTTATTTGGTCAAACATTGCATCATTTTCTCTTCACTGGTGATTATTTTTGCTCAGAACAGTATGTTACTAGAGATAAATGTAATCATCCTATTGTGTTTGTGTACAGATGGGCGTGGCGGCAATGGCAGATCGAGATAGCTCTCTCACATGAGAGACAGGAAATGGATGGCATTGCTCTCCAGTTCTGGGCATACAGGTTACAAGCTCAGGTAAAGATTAAGTCAAAACTCCATGTCTTTGTACATTCTGTGTTTGTAGGTAAACATTCAGAGAGGGAAGGGTGACCTAGTGGTCTAAGGTGCCACAATTCACAGTTGCGGAGTTATGTCCCTTGAGTGCACCAGAAACCTGAGATTGTGGATTGGAATCTGAGTTGTTGTTATGTCTTGGTTTGTTAGCATCATGCTCATGCTAGTTGGTTTCTATCTATTGGTAACCACCTTATTCACTTTGTTGTAATACTGTAATGGTAACACTTGTTACAGCACTGGCTCTTGTGGCACGAGGCGTTCCAGAATCGACAGTTGGACAAGCAGAAGGCCCTCCATGCATATCGGCACCAGAACTCTGTCCTCGCAACCCGCTGCCTCCATGCCTGGATCTTGTACTACAGGACGAGGATGGAGAAGAAGAAGCATTACGGTGAGAAGGGTTTGAAATAAGGGCAGGTCCAGGATCTTGTACTACAGGACGAGGATGGAGAAGAAGAAGCATTACGGTGAGAAGGGTTTGAAATAAGGGCAGGTCCAGGATCTTGTACTACAGGACGAGGATGGAGAAGAAGAAGCATTACGGTGAGAAGGGTTTGAAATAAGGGCAGGTCCAGGATCTTGTACTACAGGACGAGGATGGAGAAGAAGAAGCATTACGGTGAGAAGGGTTTGAAATAAGGGCAGGTCCAGGATCTTGTACTACAGGACGAGGATGGAGAAGAAGAAGCATTACGGTGAGAAGGGTTTGAAATAAGGGCAGGTCCAGGATCTTGTACTACAGGACGAGGATGGAGAAGAAGAAGCATTACGGTGAGAAGGGTTTGAAATAAGGGCAGGTCCAGGATCTTGTACTACAGGACGAGGATGGAGAAGAAGAAGCATTACGGTGAGAAGGGTTTGAAATAAGGGCAGGTCCAGGATCTTGTACTACAGGACGAGGATGGAGAAGAAGAAGCATTATGGTGAGAAGGGTTTGAAATAAGGGCAGGTCCAGGATCTTGTACAGGATGAGGATGGAGAAGAAGAACAGTTGTGATCATGTTCCTGTTGGTGTTGGATGAAATGTCTACATAGCAGTGTGGATCCTGGGCCTGTTATCCCTGATTATTAACACATTTCATTGTCTATGTTCTTGTGTCAATCTTTCTGCATATGTCCATTGTCACAGAAGTGACTTTTACCTGTGATAAAATACTTCATCTTCATGAGGCAAGGCAGTTACCTGATTATAAAGGAATGATGGAGTGTCCCTTTTTGCAATATCAACACGATTCACATGATTATGCCAGATATAAGCAGCTGAATACAAACCAGAAGTCCATTTTAATCAGTCATCTCATTATTTTGCATATCTAACAATGCCAATTCACATCACAAAGCTCTCACAAATAACAATAATACTTTACATTGTGCGACAACAATTACCTGTGTATCAAAACATAATGATTTTACTAACGAATTGATATCTTGATTTGATTTCTGGGTGTTTTCCTGTAAAATCCAAAGGTAGGGCTACTCTCATTTGTTCCATGACAGTTTAGATATGACACATTAATGTCATGATATACTGTATTCATAGTAAGAATCATCAATATTAACACAACTTCTATTTCAGCGTATGCTGCTAGGGTGTACCAGACCATGCTGAAGTCCCGCTACCTTCAGCAGTGGCATCAGCATCTCGCTCTGCGTCAGTCCCTGGCCCGGCACCATGACCACATGCAGCACCTAGCCTACAGGTTCACGCTGCGCAGATCCATGCAGCACTGGAAACGGTGTATCCTTGTCACGTGTTGTAGCTGGTGCGATTGTTGAATGTACACACTGTCCTGTAGTATACATGCTTAACCATCAACACAGTGAGGCAGGGTAAATGGTGGTTATTGCTTGTGTTAGTCCCAGTGACTTTTCCCCCACATAGTACAGTCTGGCGTTGTGATCAGTGAAGTGCAGTTGTATAGTCTCAAATTACTTCCCTTTCCAATTATTTTGAAGTGGACGAGTTAGGTGTATGTAATCTTTCAAGCCCTTTCATCCTAACTGATTCTCTGATCTCACGTCAATACCCCTTGACCAGTGTCAGATGTGTATGGGTGTCGGGCAGCCAGGAAGAAAGAGAAGACAGCTGACCAACACTACAGACACCACCTGCTGGTCAGTTAGACTACACAATCAGCTAATTAAGGAAAATGTTTTTTTCCTAGTGCATGACTTTGTTTTATGGCAGTGCTATGTCTCAGCTGTTTTTCTGTGGGTAGTGTAGTGGTCAAAACATTTGCTTTTGATGCTGAAGACCAGCATTTTATTCCTGTCATGAGGGCCCCATTTTCTGGTGACCGAGCTGTGATGTCGCTGAACGATTGTTCAAACCATACTCATTCACACTCTGCTGCTGTTTCACGAAGACGCCACCTGTGACACTATATATAGTGTTGATTAGAGAATGTATTGTGTGCCATGAGAGAAGTAGTGACAGTTTTTCATGTTACAGGTTGTTGGTCTGAGTGCATTCCGGCTGTATGGGGTACAGCAGAGGCTTCAGGCCATGCGACAACGGATGGCTGAACAGCTCCATCACAGACAGGTAACAACATCCAAGTGGGCAAACATAGCTGCTGTAAACAAGGTGGGGTAGAGGTGGGATAGGCAGGTGGGTGGGGTGAGGGTAGGCAGGTTGGGTAGGGTGGGCAGGTGCGGTAGAGGTGAGGGGTAGGCAGGTGGGATAGGGGTGAGGGGTAATCAGGTGTGTAGGGGTGAGGGATAGGCAGGTGGGTAAGGGGTAGGCAGGTGGGGTAGGGTGTTACTGTTTGTCAGTGATTCATTCAGATTCAACATGTGTTAAACATGTGTTAACATGAACTGTTGTAAAATGAAACAAAAACATGATTTAGGTGAACTACTTGAGCTTAAAATCTCATGTGACCTCCAATAACTAGGGTCCTTGACTAGAATGTCATTATGCAGTCCTACAAAATTGATATGTCTTTGGCCTTTATCATAAATTGATAACATATGTCCCATTATGAAACAAAACAAAAATAACAAAATAATGTGAATTGCGAAATGGTCACTCAGAGCCAGTAGCTCTACTTATAAGTCCGAATAATCTTTGAAGGGCATTTAGAAGTGGAATGCATAAGAAAACAAGATTTATGGATGTCAACTTCTTTGTTGTGAATATTCATGACCTGATGAAGGAGCAAGCATACACTCCGAAACGTTGTGTTATTCACAAGAAGTTGACATCCATAACTCTTGCTTTTCTTAAAAGGTTGGTCCATTTGAGTCCATTAATTCCTCTAAAACCCCAAAACTTAAAGCATTTGGTAGAATATTTGGCACTTTTGGAGCCACTTATAAAGACACTTCCAGTTGTAAAATGTTACATGAAACAGAAAAGAAACAGAAGTATATTTGGCACTTTTAGAGCACATTTTTAGGGCAGATAATTCCAAGGGACCTAACTCTGGATGACCCAATATATTGCGTAATCTGAACCATATCGCGATAATCATATTGAGAGATACTGTACCAGTTTACCGGTAATATTGCACAGCCCTAGTAAGCAGGTGGGGTAGGGGTGAGGGGTAGGCAGGTGGGTAGGGGTAGGCAGGTGGGTGAGGGATAGGCAGGTGGGTAGGGGTGAGGGGTAGGCAGGTGGGTGAGGGGGGGAGGGATAGGCAGGTGGGGTAGGGGTGAGGGATAGGCAGGTGGGGTAGGGGTGAGGGGTAGGGGTGAGGGGGTAGGCAGGTGGGGGTAGGGGAGAGGGATAAGCTGGTGGGTAGGGGTGAGGATAGGCAGGTTGGTAGGGGTGAGGGATAGGCAGGTGGGTAGGGGTGAGGGGTAGGCAGTAGGGAGAGGGGAAGGCAGGTAGGGTAGGGGGGTAGGCAGGTGGGTAGGGGTGAGGGTAGGCAGGTGGGGTAGGGGTGAGGGATAGGCAGGTGGGGTGGGGGAGAGGCAGGTGGGTAGGGGTGAGGGATAGGTAGGTGGGTAGGGGTGGTAGGGGTGAGGGGTAGGCAGGTGGGGTAGGGGTAGGCAGGTGGGTAGGGGTGAGGGGTAATCAGGTAGTGTTGAGATGAGGGGTAGGCAGGTGGGTAGGGTGAGGGGTAATCAGGTAGGTGAGGGGTAGGCAGGTGGGTAGGGGTGAGGGGTAAGCAGGTGGGGTAGGGGTGAGGGGGTAGGCAGTTGGGGTAGTAGTGAGGGGTAGACAGGGGTGTTTGGTGGTTCGAGCTATCTGTAACATTTACAAATACAGCTGGCTCTAGGCAGGGATGGTCAATGGTGGGGTGGACGTCGAGGTAACAGGGATGGTCAATGGTGGGGTGGACGTCAAGGTAACTTTCTGTACATGGACAGATGCAAAGAGAGAGGGGGCTATCTGTGGAATCTGTAGAGTCCTCCCAGGAGAGGTGTGTAGTGTCTGTAGCCTAGCTGTTGTGCTCCAGGTGATGAGGAGGGTGTGGAGTCAGTGGCTGATTCGATGTGAAACACACGAAGAACTGAAAATGATGCCTCAGACACAGAAAGCCAGGAAGCATTACAGGTAGGGAGATACGTGATGTATCATTGTATGTGACATGACCAGTAGCTGAAGGAGCTGTACAGAGTTACACCCCTTTATCTGCCAGGATCCTAGATTCTCTCTAAGCATGAACATAGTTTTATCAGCACAATGTGCTTTATATGTGATTCACCAATACAGTTAATGTATCTTTTGTCATTAATTGTGGTTAAAGCCTTATGGGCAAAACTGAAACAAATCTGATACAAATGCACTTAGAAAATATTGAAAAACTAACCATTTTCTTGTGTATGGGTACCATTGCTCCCCTGACTGGGATACAAGGGCAGATGAATTGGTCCACAGCGTATGTGTCTCCTTCTCCTCTTCTCCATTTTGATATCTTACAACCCTGACAAACTGCCTCCGTGGTGTAGTGGTTAGAGCGTTCGCCCGGAGAGCGGAAGGTCGCAGGTTCGATCCCCGACCGCGTCATACCAAAAGACGTTAAAATATGGTACTTTTTGGTCCCTGCCTGGTGCTCGGCATTTAATGGGTATGTCAAGGACTGGTCGGCTCGGAGTCAGTATAATGTGTCTGAGTGGGGTATTCATGCTTCACTGCGGCATGGTATCTCAGTGGGCTAGCACTATAAAACCTGCTTCAGTCTGGGCTAGTACAAGCAGCCGCACATACACATACACAGGCATGCACGTCGTCATATGAGCGAAATATTCTCAAGAACAACGTTAAACCTAATTTCACCTCACCTCACCTTACAACCCTGACAATGTTGATTGCCGTCAATCACTGGTCTGGTAGCCAAGTATGTATTATATCTGTGACATGTCTGTACTATAGTTAACTGTTTAACTACATGCACTGAGTTCCTGTTGTTCTGGTTGTAGCTGTGTGCTGCTGGGAAAGAGCCTCCAGGCCCTTCAGAACTACGCTCAGTGGAGACACCACAGGAAGGTCAGTCCAGGGAGACAACTCTATACCGCACATGTTTCATCATGACACGAATTAAGAAACTTTTCGAGATTGATGTTTTGGGAAATGAAATATGCCTTGAGAATCATGCTGTGATAAGATGACATCAGTCATGTGAACCCATGGGAGTTCCAGGTTAAAATTGGTGCCAAGCAACCTATGATGGTTGTTTCATATGGATATCGTGGTAAGGCTCACCGATTGGTTGACTGCATGCCATAAATCTCACTGGCTTTAATCAATACTCACAATGTCGCTTTGTGGATTACACCCCGTGTCAGGATGATTACAGTTTCAGTATACTGGCCACAATGGTTGCTAGATGCTCCTGTTGCATGGCTGTCTATCTATCTACCTACAGCAATGACAGATGATCATGTATAGCTGTGACCGTCAGGGTTACTGTAAACGTATTATATTTCGCGCAGGTTTTATTTTTGCGCAAAACATTTTAGCACGAAAATTTATACACCGCGAATATACCTGTCATTCATTCAGTCTAGCCACGCTCGCCCCTGAGTTGTTACCATAACACATCAAGTTTGAAGACAGAAATCTACGGGAATCTTAAAATGACGACTGATAGTAGCATAAAGAATCATACTTAACTGTCGCTGTAATGGATTTCCCGAAACATAATTAAATAATGAGCCAAATCCCATAGCGAATTAGCGAAAACAGCAATGTGTGTTGTGGCGCCATGGAAATTGGTCACATGACAGATGGTTTGATACAAAACAGATAACCATGAAACCACTCGAGGAAAGAAATAATACAGCAGTATTTTATTTATTCACTAAGATTTTATTTACCAGTACATCATGAAGTTTAATAGTCGCTAACACTCAATCATCTCATTCACAACAAACCCGCTTGTTTGAAATCACAAAGAGCTTCATATACAGTAGAAGTTAATTAGTCAGATCGTCAGAATTTTCGAACATAAGACTGATGTGTTTTTCATCTCTTCCGTGAGTAAACGGATTACTGTGTACTAGTATATCGCACAGATAGGGATTTCCTGTGAGTAAGCAATAAACGCCGCCTGACAGGTTAAGCCACTCTGTTTGTTTTCACTGCTATTAGTGGCGGCCAAAGAGACAGCTGGCAGTTCCGGCAATTACTGATTGCGCGAATAATTGACCGTGCGATGTAGTCTAAACTGTCAATTCCGCGAAAATTGCACCACGCGAAAATAAGTACGTTTACAGTATATGGCATGCTGAAATAGTTGTTACATGATCAACTCACATGTGATTGTGTTTGACAGAGCCAGTACAGTCGAGCCGACGCCCACTTCTACCTCCATGTCATGCCCCAGTGTGTGTTCAGGATGAGAGTCTTTGTCCAGATGGAGAAGAACAACCGGGAATATCAGGAGAAGGCTGTCCAGTTCAGACGGTATGGAAGTGAAGCATAATGAGTTCAGACAGTAGGGTAGTTCAGATGGTAGAAGTCAGATGGTTGGGCAGAGAGTTCCAATGGTAGGATAGTGAGTTCTGACAGAAGGGGAATAAGTTCAAATGGTATGGTAGTGAGTTCACATGGTAATGTAGTGAGTTCAGATTGTAGGGTTCGAACAGTAGGCTAGCGAGTTCAAATGCTAAGGTAGTGAGTTCAGACAGAAGGATAAAAAGTTCAGATGATAGAGTAGTGACTTCTGACAGAATGATAAAAAGTTCAGATGATAGAGTAGTGAGTTCTGACAGAATGATAAAAAGTTCGGATGATAGAGTAGTGACTTCTGACAGAATGATAAAAAGTTCAGATGATAGAGTAGTGAGTTCTGACAGAAGCATAATAGCTCGGATGATAGGGTAGTGAGTTGTGACAGAAGCATAAAAAGTTTGGACGATAGGGTACTGAGTTCTGACAGAAGGATAAAAAGTTCAGATGATAGGGTAGTGAGTTCTGAGAGAAGCATAATAGCTCGGATGATAAGGTAGTGAGTTGTGACAGAAGCATAAAAAGTTCAGATGATAGGGTAGTGAGTTCTGACAGAAGAATAAAAAGTTTGGATGATAGGGTAGTGAGTTCTGACAGAAGGATAAAAGTTCGGATGATAGGGTAGTGAGTTCTGACAGAAGGATAAAACGTTCGGATGATAGGGTAGTGAGTTCTGACAGAAGCATAAAAAGTTCAGATGATAGGGTAGTGAGTTCAGATGGTAGGGTGTTGAGGGAAGGGATAATTCTTAATGTATCAGCATGTAATTGATAGGTTTGTAAGTACTAGTTGGATGAATGTTTGTAAGTACCATTCAGATTAATAATTTGATTGTTGGTGGCCTCAGGAAACTGTAACAGTATTGTCATGTTGATTCCAGGGAGAGTTTAGCAGTGAGGTTCTTCACACAGTGGCAAAAGGCACTGGAGAATAGCCGGGAGCACCGCATGCTTGAGAGAATGGTAGGTCAGCCTGCAGGTACATTATAATATGTGACCCATGAAGATCTGGGTTAGAATTGATCTTCAGTAACTCATGCTTGTCATAAGAGACAACTAGCGGGTGGTCAGACTTGCTGACTTGGTTGACACATGTTATCGCCAGTTGCATAGATCGATGCTCATGATGTTGATCACTGTATTGTCTGGTCGAGATTTGATTAGTTACAGACCGACACCATATAGCTGGAATATTGCCAGGGGCGTAGCTACCGTTATAAAACAAAATCTGGGCTTACACATGATTTTGGCTCAAAAGGTTGGGCAAGCCTTCAATACTATCTAAATATAAAGCTTTGCAACCTATCGGGCTTACACGAAAAAATTGGCTTGCTTACATGCCAGATTGCTGAATGAGGCGTAAAACTAAACTCAGTCGCTCACTCATTATAACATGTCCAGCGCCAGATTCCATTCACAGTTAATGCCAAGTTATACCGATAGATTGTGAGAATTTGGATGAAAAGGAATGTTTAAGGATATCTATTTGAGATATCATTGAGTGAATGTTTACGGTTTAAGACTCCACTCATGATATTGTGTATTCCAGGCAATTCTTCATGACGAGGACAACACAGCTCAGAGGTTTTTCCGCATCTGGCGAGGTCGTACAGTGGACAGACTGGAGGAGAATCAGAAAACAGTGAGTTCCCACAGCAGGTGTCCCCCCAACACATGCAGTGTTGTATCTGAAGGGTGTGACTGAAGGGGCGGTGGGGTAGCCTAATGGTTAAAGCGTTGGCTCGTCACGCCGAAGACCCGGGTTCGAATCCCCACATGGGCACAATGTGTGAAGCCAATTTCTGGTGTCCCCCGCCGTGATGTTGCTGGAATATTGCTAAAAGCGGCGTAAAACCAAACTCAGTCAGTCAGTCAGTGTGACTGAACCCTCTGAAGATTGCTTTGTGATTACATGATGGTGTGATTTCAAAAATAAAGTTTAAGAAGTGTACAACATATGCTTACATCTACTTCATTTCTACAGGAGTTAGCTGGGCAGCACTACTGTATCTCACTCTGTGTTCGGCATCTCAGGGCATGGAAGAGGCATATAGATGACCTGAAACACAGGTGAGATATGACATAAAACAATCTGAAGGGCATGAAAGAAGCATTAGATGACCTGGAACACGGTGAGATATGACATTGAACAATCTCAGCGCATAGGACAGGCATTTGATGAGCTGAAACACAGGTGAGATATGACACAAAACATTTCAGGCATGGAAGAAAAATACTGAGCTGAAACACAGGTGAGATATTACACAAAACAATCTGAGGGCATGAAAGAAGCATTAGATGACCTGAAACACAGGTGAGATATGACACAAAAACATTTCAGGCATGGAAGAAGCATTAGATGAGCTGAAACACAGGTGAGATATGACACAAAACAACCTGAGGGCATGAAAGAAGCATTAAATGATCTGGAACATGGTGAGATATGACACATCATCTCAGGGTGTGAAAGAAGCAATAGATGACCTGGAACATGGTGAGATATGACACATCATCTCAGGGTGTGACAGAGGCATATAGATGACCTGAAACACAGGTGAGATATGACCCACAACATCTCAGGGCATGGAAGGATTATATTGACAGTCTGAAAGTTTTGACTATCAAGTTGACAGCCACTGTTTTGAACTCTCCACATATCTGGGTGAGCTCCATTGGAAAAGTCACTGATGTTCCAGAAAGGGATGATATGTATTCATATGGTACTTCTCCTAGGTAATATATTACTTGATATTGTGTCTAACCAGTGTATTGATGACTGTGTCCAGTCACAACCTACCACTGACCTTATTACATGTTGTTACAGTGAGATGAATGAGGTGAAGGCTGTGAGACACGGTTATCTGGCTGTCATGAAGAAGTGCTTTACCAAGTGGAAATCAGTGAGTTGCTTTTACTGTCATGAATATGAAGGCTGTGAGATGTGTGTCGATATGGAGCTGTGTATAGTTCTCACTGCATACTTCCCTTGAAATCCAGGTTAGAATCCATCTTCAGCAACCCATGCTTGTCGTAAGAGGCGACTTTGGGTGGTCAGGCTTGGTGGCTTGGTTGATGCAAGTCATTGTATCCCCGATTGTGAAGATAGATGCTCATGATGACCCTCCATGGATTGTCTGGTCCAGACTATAATACAGGGGTGGAAATAACTTTAAAATTGCTAGTGTACTCCGGTACAGTGGCACATGTAAAATCACTTGCCCTGATAATTTTTCCACTATACCGGTCGTTTTCTTGTTGATATTTTATTAACATTGGAAAGTCAACTGGACACCGGTACAGTGTGATATACAAATTTGCTTGCCCGACAGAAAAAAACACTGGACTCGGACGTCGGGCAATGGGTTATTTCCACCCCTGTAATATTTGACTGCTGGCATTAAACTTGTACCCTTTATGTAAAGAAATGATTGTGCAAGACACAGCAATATTATGTTACTGAGGTTCATTCTTAAAATTTAGGTACCTATTTGTATTGAAATAACTTGCAAGAGATTCCCTAGACTGACTGACTGACCAAATAATTATGTTTGTGTTGATGTTTCCTCTCGAAAACTGCTGTTTCCTGATTGGCTGATGAAGTAGCATGTGTTGAGTTATTGAGGGGGTCAGTGTCACTGATTTTCTATAGTTGTCGGCACTTAAGTCAATGAATAAAAAGCGGTCTGTGAAGATATTGTTTATATATTTTTACAAGAATTTCGAGGCAGCGAAATGGTTTAAGAATCTCCTTATCACTCTGAAGACCTGGGGGTACAAAGTTTGATGCCAATTTATTGTGTACCTTACTTTGTTATTGGTGGAATATTGCTAAAGGTGGCATAAAACCTGACTCACTCACTCACTCCAATAATTGCATTCATGGAGATGTAGATGTAAATCAATGTGCATACTTTGCATAAAATCTACAAGTTTTTGTATACATATGTCTATCTAGAACTTGTGGTGACTATGATTCACCTTAGCTGCTGCTTGCTATCTACATCACTTGCACTTTGAATCATTGAGACAGCCAACCCAAAGGGAACTGGTGCTGTGCAGCTTTCTGATTTAGTTCTTAACACAGTGATTTAGATACATTCATAAATGAAAGACCATAGTACTTTCAAGATCTTAGTGCTATGAGTTTGATACATCAGTCATGTTACACTGAAAGACCTGATCAACAAGCATGGCTTATTTGTTTTTCTATTTCAGTACAATATGCATCGGAAGGAAAAACATTGTCTCAAACTGAGGGCTTCCACCCACCTGAAGGTGAAACTGTTCAGGATGACCATTACACACTGGAAGACCTACGTTGACCAGGCAAAGAAGGTCAAGGTCATAGCTGATGAACGCTATCAACAGAAATGTGTTGAACATTTGAGGTAGGTTACAGACTTTTACTGGGTTGGTGAACAAAAACATAATCACTGTTTCAGTCAAGTCATGATGTTAGTGACATCAGTCTATTTCAGAAATAAATATTATAGGCTTTTGTTATGTTTGTTATAAATTGAGGATTGGAGAATTTCTAGTTGTTGTTCCTTAGATGTATAATACTTTCCATAGAATAAGTCATTGGTGGAAGAATAATTAGACACTTTCCTATAATTCCCCTATAAATAATTTGACCCTTTGAAACAATGTGGGCACTTGGTAACTTTGTCTCTAAAGCATTTGATCATAATGCTGAAGTGTCCATGTTTAATTCCCCACATGGATACAATTAGTGAAGCCTTCACCTCACAAACAATGAATATACTGCAATATTTGTGTTCAGGTGGGCATTTTGCCTGTGGCAGGAGAATGCCGGTCTCCAAGTGGAAGAGAGACATCGAGAGAGCCAAGCAAGTGTCCATCACAACAGATACCTGCTGGTGAAGGTGAGCTAATGTAACGCTTATGTAAGGAGAATGCCAGGAACCACTTCAAGAGTTTTATTTATTTTCAATAACTTTGAGAAAAAAATTGCTGTTTCTTATAACATTGGCAGTTGATTTGGTGTAAATGAAATTTGGATTTCATGGTTGGGAAAGCAGGAATGACAAAAGCACATGCTGTGGACGTGTACATGGTGTAGGAGTGTGTTTCAGGTACTGAGGATCTGGCACAGGTTTGCTGCCATCCATGCATACAAGAAGTCTGAGACCAAACACCTAGAGGAAGACGCCAGGACGGAACTCAATAAAAGTGAGAAGTGTGGATTATACTGATAGTGCAGGATAGGGGAATTAATTCCCTTTTCAAGACACATGCTTGCCACAAAAGGCGACTATGTTTGTCGTAAGAGGCGACTAACAGGATCGGGTGGTCAGGCTCGCTGACTTGATTGACACATGTCATTGGTTCCAAATTGCGCAGATCGATGCTCATGCTGTTGATCACTGGATTGTCTGGTCCAGACTCGATTATTTACAGACCGCCTTTTATAGATGGAATATTGCTGAGTGTGGCGTAAAACTAAACTCACTCACTCACTCATTTCAAGACATGTCACATACTGCTTGTATGAAAGTCACAGAGTGTAGTGCTTCTGTGCCTCTCATAGTGATATGATTTAGAGTATTATATGAACATGATGAATGTGCTTTGGCCTTGTCTAGTTTGCATTATCATTGCCTTGATACTCCACGGGTATTATTGAAGACATTTTTTGTAGGGCCATGAGAGGTAGGAATAAAATGGATAATGACTTGTGTTATGCATTAATGCTACACTGTGATCATTAGAATAGACAACATATGTATCAATGGTCTGATTTCAGGGTATGTAAGAAACAGATTAATTACACATATATCAACTGAATCATGTACCATTTATCTTATGAGATGCTGTTGCTCCTAAGATTCATGTTTAGACAACTTGTAAGGTTAATGGTATCTGTCCCATGAAGGTCCGGGTTAGAATGTGCCTTCAGTAACCCATGCTTGTCGTAAGAGGCAACTAACGGGATCGGTTCCCAATTGCGCAGATTGATGCTCATGCTGATCACTGGATTGTCTGGTCCAGAATCAATTATTTACAGAACGCCTCCATATAGCTGGAATATTGCTGAGTGAAGCGTAAAACTCAACTCACTCACTCACTAATGGTATCTGTCAGGCATGGCTGCAGTTACCTGTACATCTATGTAACTTTAGTGAATACAGCTAACATCCTAAACATTAGGTGCTGTATCTGAAAACATAGGTCCCTCGGGCATGCAAATAAGGTTTGGTCATCATTCTGTGATTTCATAGGAATCAAAGATAAAATCAGTGATCTTTCAGAGATGCCTCGTATTTATGGCGGCTCCTGTGTTTGGTTTCGCTGTCAGTGTCTGTGTTGGTGTCTGCTAGGTAAGCTGCAGCGGTACCTGCGGCGATGGTGTGACGCCAGGGATGCTGCTGTCATTGCACGACTCCGGTGGCAGCAGGCCGTGGAACATCATCAAAACGGTGTGATGAAGGCTGTTGTCTCACAGTGGAGGGAACACACCACACTGAACATCAGGAAAACTGTGAGTGTTGCTGTGTTTGTCACTGTCTGTGTGTGTGTGTGTGTGTGAGTATGAGAGTTATATGTGTGTCTGTCTCTGTGCATCTCAGTGATTGTGTGTGTGTGCGTCTCAGTGAGTGAGTGTGTGTGTGTGTGTGTGTTTCTTTGTGTATGTGTGTCTCAGCATGTTTGTGTATGTGTGTGTGAGTGATGGTTCAGTAAGAATGTATGATATAGTGATGGATCATTGACAGCTGATGTTGCTATAGTGATGGATCATTGACAGCTGATGTTGCTATAGTGATGGATCATTGACAGCTGATGTTGCTATAGTGATGGATCATTTACAGCTGATGTTGCTATAGTGATGAATCATTGACAGCTGATGTTGCTATAGTGATGGATCATTGACAGCTGATGTTGCTATAGTGATGGATCATTGACAGCTGATGTTGCTACAGTGATGGATCATTGAAAGCTGATGTTGCTATAGTGATGGATCATTGACAGCTGATGTTGCTATAGTGATGGATCATTGACAGCTGATGTTGCTATAGTGATGGATCATTGACAGCTGATGTTGCTATAGTGATGGATCATTGACAGCTGATGTTGCTATAGTGATGGGTCATTGACAGCTGATTTTGCTATAGTGATGGATCTTTGACAGCTGATGTTGCTATAGTGATGAATCATTGACAGCTGATGTTGCTATAGTGATGGATCATTGACAGCTGATGTTGCTATAGTGATGGATCATTGACAGCTGATGTTGCTATAGTGATGGATCATTGACAGCTGATGTTGCTATAGTGATGGATCATTGACAGCTGATGTTGCTATAGTGATGGATCATTGACAGCTGGTGTTGCTATAGTGATGGATCATTGACAGCTGGTGTTGCTATAGTGATGGATCATTGACAGCTGGTGTTGCTATAGTGATGGATCATTGACAGCTGATGTTGCTATAGTGATGGATCATTGACAGCTGATGTTGCTATAGTGATGGATCATTGACAGCTGATGTTGCTATAGTGATGGATCATTGACAGCTGATGTTGCTATAGTGATGGATCATTGACAGCTGGTGTTGCTATAGTGATGGATCATTGACAGCTGATGTTGCTATAGTGATGGATCATTGACAGCTGGTGTTGCTATAGTGATGGATCATTGACGGCTGGTGTTGCTATAGTGATGGATCATTGACAGCTGGTGTTGCTATAGTGATGGATCATTGACAGCTGGTGTTGCTATAGTGATGGATCATTGACAGCTGGTGTTGCTATAGTGATGGATCATTGACAGCTGGTGTTGCTATAGTGTCATCCTGACAGATAAATGGCAGCACATGTGTTGTGAGATTAGTTACTACTAACAGGTACTCTTAGTACATTCATTCAAGTGATGAACATTTAATATGATCAAATGTATATATGAGTGACTTGAGCTCAGTCTGCCTATTCCTCCCCTCAGCTTCTCCGGAGACAGAGTACCTGGTTTCTGAATGTCCGTCTGACAGCCAAGTCATTCCTGCTGTGGAAGGAGAGGATGTCGGAGTCCGAGGAGATGAAACAGAAAACAGACCTTGCTCTGTGGCACTGGTGCCTTGTGCTTCTCAAGAAGGTATGTGTATGGCTGTAGAAGTGCTTGCATATCTTGACAGTTTGTTCTGTCATGTACCCTACAAACTAGATGTCTTGTTTAAAAGGGTGACTTTTGAGGTCATTGTCAAGTCAAAAGTCAAAAGATGTTTATTGTATGAAAGGCCTCTGGCCCATATACATGAGAGTTACTAATACTCATTATCTTACCTCACACATAAATGTCGCTTTCTGATTGGCTGAGCGCTCTTCTATTATTTTCAATGTACCCCGCTTACAAGCGAGTAACATTTCAATGTACCCCGCTGTCAATGGCAACTCATTTGGTACTTCGTGGTAGTAATTCTTTATCTCGAATAACATTGAATCACGTACCCCGGTATGATGTACGGAAATTACCGATGTTTTGCGAATGCAAATCGATGGAAGGGAGATAACTCTTAATCTGTTTTTCTTGTCAGCAAAATCTAGCGATGGCTACAAAAAGATAATAACCTGTGCTTCAAACAATTCAAAATTAACATTAAGGTGTTCGGTAAGATAAATATGTTGTTTACTGGTCCCTCGGGGCCCATGGGTTGATGTACCCTCGATGTAATTCCAAACATTGAGGGTACATCAACCCATGCCCCCCCTCGTGACCAGTGAACAACTTATATTATTACACAGATCATAGGGGTTCCACGTTAGGGTTGATCACAAGCAACCTGTACTAGTTGTAAGAGTCATTCAAATGGATTTGGTGGTCAGGCTCAGTGGATTAGTTGGTCATTCTACACTGATAGTATGAATCATTGCTCACAATATCGATCACTGGATTGTTTGTTCCAGATGTGCTAATCTATAGGCTGTTGTCATATGGCTGAAATATTACAGTATGCAGCGTTAAACAAATCTTATTACACTGATCTACTGACTTCCTGTGTGCAGAGTGTGGTGTCATGGTACGTGTACAGTCAGGAGAGACGTAGGAAGAAGAAAAGGGTTGCAGAGGAGCTAGAGGGGAGACGACTCCGTCTGCTGCGTAGTGGTGCTGCGCAGTGGTTGCGGGTCTCAAATGACCTGGCAGGGATGAGAGCCAAGTTTGCAGCACAACAACAAGCTAAGGTAGGTTCAGCTGATACATGTGCATCATCATTTTGTTTTCAGTTGTTGTGCCCCGCCGAAACGCGGAACAGGGGACTATGCATTCAGCGGCGTCCGTCTGTACGTCCCGATTTTTGTTAACGTGATATCTCATGAAATGTTGTACCCAATGTCTTGAAATTCGGTGACAGCCTACATTGGGGGATTACGCAGACATCAATATATTTGGGTGACCTTGACCTTATTTTCAAGGTCACCACAACACTGACCACTTTTTAAACTGTTGTTAACGTGGTATCTCATGCACTGTTGTACCCAGTTTCTTCAAATTTGGTGACAGCCTACATTTGGGGATTACGCAGACACCAGTTTATTTGGGTGACCTTGACCTTATCTTCAAGGTCACCATGACACTTTGCACGCTTTTAACTCTTGTTAACGCGATATTTCATGGACTGTTGTACCCAATGTCTTCAAATTTGGTGACAGCCTACATTGGGGGATTACGCAGACACCAGTTGATTTGGGTGACCTTGACCTTATTTTCAAGGTCACCACGACACTGACCACTTTTCAAACTCTTGTTAACGCGATATCTCATGAAATGTTGTACCCAATGTCTTCAAATTTGGTGACAGCATACATTGGGGGATTACGCAGACACCAGTTTATTTTGGTGACCTTGACCTTATCTTCAAGGTCACCACGATACTTTGACCGCTTTTTAAAGGCGATATCTCATAAAACAGTGCACCCAATGTTTTCAAGTATGTTGACAGCCTACAGTGGGTGATTATGCAGACACCAGTCATTTCAGGCATCTTGTATGTGACCAAAAAATAAAAAGTAGTAAATTGTAGATATTCCATTCTTTAGCGGCGGGGGACATTGCCATATCAGTGGCAAACACTTGTTATAGCATGTGATTATGACAAGTGATATTGTGGATAACGACTTCTTTCTTATAAAAATATGAATAAACAATTACTGAGAAAGTGTAATCCCAAACCATTACATGTGTTTCTCTATTATACTTACACAACATTTTAGGGCTACCTTTTGCAAAACAGAAGATGATACAGTGCAAGAAGTAGCTTTGAAACATGTTTTTGTAATCCATGAGATTTCTTGGTACAGTTGAATAAATGACAATATCTAAAAAAATGTCAGGAAAGTAGCAAATTCTTCTGTGTTCAGAGTATCAATAGCTTTTGTTGTAATTGAAATATTCCTTGTTTCAGAGTGTATTTGACACATTCCAAGTTGTGCAGAAATGTGCCTTGCACTGGAAATACATGACAGCTCGTAGACGGGAAGTGAGGGGTGGCCCCCTGCCCCTCGACCCCTACCCCCTGTCAACCCCACCAACCTCAACCTCCTGACCAGCTTTCCTCTATAAAGACCAGCTTCGCACAACACCCTCCAGACTTCCATTCCTACCCTTTACAGCCCAATGCCCTACCCCCAGAGGCTTTAGTACCCCACCCTCAGAGAGCAGGTGCCCCTCTACCACACCTGACACAGACCATGTCCCCATGTAGAGCTCATCACAGACTGGAGATCGGACAAGGTGATGGGTATGTAAAACTTCCACAATTTAAAGATTTTTAAGTCAGTCTGTTGAAAATATATGATCGGATATGTTTCAAATATATAAAGGATATTAGTGAAATAGTAGGGTAATGTCTAGTCAGGTGTTCATCTGTGGATGTTGATGTATGTTTTGTTGTGCAGGCCTGCACCAATATCGCGGAGGGAGAGAGCTCGGCCAAGAAAACCTGCATTCCTCATTGAGTCTCTGAAGAGAGCAGGACTGTATGCTTCAGTGTATGAAATGTAAGTATTGTTCATACATAGCTTTAAGTATAGGCTATGCATGCCTAATGTCTAACTGACTTCACTGTAAAAGAGTAATGTTTTACCATGACAAAGTTGATGTGATGATATGAGCCCCTAAAGCCAAAGCTGTCTGAGGTGGGACCATGCTGGTGACTATACATGCTTGTAATTGAAGTAGGTTCAGGAAAATGTGATTTTATGGCTAGAATACAGAATACTGCCCGAGCACAATGTTTTCATCATTACTTTTAGCTGCCTCAATGAAAACATAGTGTTGCCTCCCCCACAATGACTGGAAACAAATGTTATTGAAAGTAAATGTAATTTAAAATCCCGAAGTTAATGAAAAAAGGGTCAGATAAAGTGATGGATGCCATTGATGAGGTTTCCACAGGCCATTATGAAACTTCTATTTCCATGTGATATCTTAATGGTGATGTATGATTTTCGATATTTATGAATTGCTTTGATATTAAAAATGAGTTTAATTTTACTGGACCATACAAATGGAAGCAGAGTATGTTTATTTGTTCTTATTTTCAGCTTCTTTTTTATTTTTTAAAATAGTCAGCTATCGCATACTGCTGTGTTAATAGAATCAAACATGCATGGCGTAAGTTGATAACTGTGTCATCATGCTTTTTATATCATGGTTTCATGTACATCTGTCCCCAGGTCTGATGTGGCTGAGCAGGGAGAACCATCTGCTGTATCACCCCTTCGTCAACTCCACACACCCCAGCTACCGACCTCAAATACCTCAACTGTGCCAAATCTGACAGTATTGGGTACACACACATCGCCACCACACACCACAATGCTGCCCCAGGACAAGATGTCCATCCCAAGTCATCACTCACACAGGCCTAAGGTAGTGCTGGAGATGCAGGGTCAAGGGCACAGCCCCAGGGAAGTGCCAGAGATGCAGGGTCCAGGCCCCAGCCCCAGGGTAGTGCCAGAGATGCAGGGTCCAGGCCCCAGCCCCAGGGAGATGCACCAGAGGGAGGTGCAACGACACAGCCCTAGGGTGAGGCCCCATGATCAGGGCCCAGACCATAACCTTCACCTCTCCAGCACCTCAGACACAGAATTTGCTCCTCCTGCCAACTTTGTGTCCCCCTCGTGCAGTACACAAAGGTCACAGCCGTCAGGTACGCCATGCCACCATCTTACACGGCACTGTTTGGTAGCACAATGTAGGTGTTCTGTATTAATCTGTTAGCTAACTGACGGCCTCCGTGGTGTAGTGGTTAGAGCGTCTCCCCTCGAGAGCGGAAGGTCGCGGGTTCGATCCCCGACCGCGTCATACCAAAAGACGTTAAAATATGGTACTTGTTGGTCCCTGCCTGGCGCTCAGCTTTAATGGGTACAACAAGGACTGGTCGGCTTGGAGTCAGTATAATGTGTCTGAGTGGGGTATTCATGCTTCACTGCGGCATGGTATCTCAGTGGGCTAGCACTATAAAACCAGCTTCAGTCTGGGCTAGTACAAGCAGCCGCACATACACACACACGTATGCACATCGTCATATGAGCGAAATAATCTCCAGCGCGACGTTAAACCCAATTTCACCTGACCTGTTAGCTTACTTGGAATCCCTGAATTCACGATGATGATGGGAATGAATGATCCAAACAGTGATGTCTCTGAAGAGTGTTCTTCCCATCATTTCTCTTTTAATCTTTTCTCCCGAGCTGACATTCTGATGCATAGTTAAATCCTGTTCTGATCAGGCTAAATGCAACACACTTTCTATTATTTGATGGTATCGATTTTCCCCTGACAGGTAACCCTCTCCTGTACTCCTCCCCAAAAGCCGAGGCCAGCAAGCGCCATGAGCACTACACAGACCAATCTTGGAGACCAGAGAGGAACATCATCAGCGGCAATCTCGACGACAAGGGTCCCGGAAGAACCATGCTCCTCACCCCAGATGATTTCATCAAAAGGTCAGACAGACCGGAAGAGTTCACACCCAGGAATGGGGACAGAGTGTCATTTGACTCCTCCCAGAGCAGGTGTCACGAGCAGAAGGGGACCAACATGTACCTTGACCTCTCCACTGTTAGAGATGTAAAGCAGTCAGAGGTCAAGGTCAGTCTGTCTCCAGCAGAAGAGATTGTTCAGATCCGTGATCAGTTGAAATCTTTTGATGAGATGAAGAAGAGGCTAAGGTTGGTTATTAGGATAATTTTCTGTTCTTTACATAGAACTACAGGCTCTTCTTAATAATGGTCACTACTTGATTGAATAAAGACTGTTCGTACTATATTGTTGCTGATTTTACCCAATGTTGATTGCTACATAAAGCTTACTCATACTTCAAAGTACTTCTTGCAATACTACTGAGCCCAAAGACATCTTTCTCATCTACTCATGTTGTTTTACAGGAGGCTGACAAAGCAACACCGGCAGCTGGCTGGCTTGTTGAAGGACCAGGAGGCTGGAGATGAAGCTGATGAGGATGTGGTCAATGCAAGACGTGAACTACACGATGTAAGTGACCTTTCCCTGTAACGGGATAGAACAGATGGTGCAACTGGGGGCCTTAGATAACTGGACTCGATGGAAGCTATACATTGTGGTTTTAGGTGTACAGTTGACTCTACTGGGCGGTCTTAGGTTACTGAACTTGTACTGAACAGACAGTTTTACTGTATTGTCTATACTTGTAGTAATTAGACAGGATGTCAGGGTGGTAAAAATGTGGACTGAACAGAGTAGTCTTAAAAGATGGTGCTACAGTGTGGCCTGGTCATTTGCTGCAGGTGTGCTGTTTAAATCATGTGGTGGTGTGTGGTCCTGTGCATAGAGCGCAGGTCACTAATCAGTTGAAGTTAGGCAACATTGGGTGCTGAGAGTCCTTGGTGACTGTGTTGGCAGCTTGACTCCTGAAAGTTTCTAGGACTTCAGTCCTGCTCCACAACAAAGCACATGTGATACATGTGGTATCACCTGAGTTTTTTCAAACTTGCCTCTTTTCCCTCAGCAGAAAATGGGTACCTGGTGGGATAGATAATGTGACCATTAACCTAGCGCCTCACAGGCAGCTTGGGTTATTCGGGGTAATAATATTCAGATTGTAGCTCTTTGAGCGTGCCCCTCTGTGGTGCAGAATTCAGCACATTACAAATGCCCTTATTATTTATTTTTATGTGTAGCAGGTATTATATAAGTGTCATGCGTTGCAGCTGTCATGTGAGATGGAGGAACTGAGAGTGGCAGTAGAGAGGCAGAAGGGGCATGTCAACAGCTGGTGGGGAGAGCCAAGCAGTTGGTGCAGCAACTGGACAACAGCACATAGCTAGTCACCAGCGACTAACATGACTCCTAAACACAGAGCAAAGAACAGAGAGAACTCTCTATACTTTAATAATTGCCACATCTAAATAAAGTATTCACGTCTTCTTGTATACTGTAGGTGACATTACACTGACAAGGGTAGTAACCAGAATGTATGTTATTTGGTCTTCCATGTACAGTACACACTGCATAGGGAGGTGCTATAAATATGACCATATTTGTATATCGATTCTCTGTAGATACTTGTACATCAATAAACATATAAACCACAAATTGAAGCCTCTGTCGCATCCCTTGGGACATTCATGTGAGAATATTGGTGTTATTCCTTTCAAACTTCTGTCTGCACGGTGTTGATTCTGGGGCAGAAAGGTCTGCATTATCCAGTGTGCTTTTTGGACAGTGGAGAAGAACGTGCCTTATCCTGGGTGAATTATTGTCAGTCACAGGTTTGTCTGGTTTGAACATTTACAGACTGCCAGAATTCCTCCAGACAACATGGTAGCTGGAATATGTTGCCAACTATAGACTAGCATCTAGTCTGAGAAACATATTTTACAGAAAAAGGTTCCTAAATTATAATCATAAAATATCATGAAAAGGAGCACAGAGACTTTTTATTTGAAACTGTGGTAATCTAAAACTGAAACACACAACTTTATGGACGACAATTTCTTATTTATTGCATAGAGCGACGTTTTGATGTAGATTCTTACATCGTTATCAAGCTAAAAACTTCAATTTTAGATTTCCTTGAAGGAATCTTCTGATTGCAAGTCTTAATCCCAGGTCATATTGCTTTCCTTCCAAGAGTAACGCAGCATGCTGTGAAATCCTGTTCAGAGCAGTGTCAACTAAACTCTCTCAGCTGCCTTTCAACCATCATACGTGATTAATGAAACAATAAGGGTAAATATGCTGGACAGTTCACTGCCAAAGGTGTGGTCTCCATCTGTCCTATTGCATTCTTAGCACACGACTTTGTTTGGCTGCACAGTATCAGTAAATATTGTCTCTGACTACGTTGCTATTATGATCTAAAATAAATGAGAGTTTAGCCTGTGAGTCTTTCCTTTCATTGAAGAAAAATGCTGATTGTGGTGGGTGGCAGCATGGAACTGTATTGACAAGGAAAGCACGTAAATAATGGTTCGGCAACATTAAAAAAATCTGACAAAAGAGTGAAAAGACAAAACGCTTATTGTATTAATAGAAGCTTTACTTTCCATTTGATGTAGACATAGTGTGGTGGCTCGCACTCAGGTTAGGAAGATGTGTGCTTCCACGAGTAAGTAACCATGGTAACACACTGAAGAAACTGCAGGTTTAATCATGATGACTTGACATGCTGTATGTGTAATACAGAGTCATGAATATGTATACAAAATGGTCATGAGTTATGAATTGAAATTTCTACCTCAGTCTCAAATTGCAATTTTGAAGACTGACATTAAATAACAAGACATCTAGATAGGAGAGATAATTTGATAAAACATCAATATAAAAAAGAAAACGTAAACCTGCTGATAAATGTTGGAATCTGTCCCATAGAGTGATGTAACACTAAATTATGGGATGTAACTTGTCTTGGGACAGTCACCCTCCAAGACGATCTCACCTTCAAGGGACATGTCTCATTGTACAAACGTGCACACATTCACTGTAAAGATCAAAGTTTAACATTGAAACAGACAAAACCTCATAGTTGTCCAAATTGTGAAGTGGACACGTGCTAACCTGGTCAACTGGGTATGGGACAACAGGAAATATCTGACATGTGACAAAACATCAAGATGAATGGTGTTGGACGCCAACATAGGGTACAGATTGTACACTAGGACAACCAAACCTGGTTCTATGACAGGACAAGCCTCTATAGGCGACTCTACAACATGTCAACACTTAAATATCAACAGAATTCTGTAGAGACAATCTGTGCCCATATGGAAAATTATACATGGTTCTAAGATCTGAGAAATCAGTGCATTAATTAACAGGCTAATCTACCCATACAACGGTTGTATGTTGACAATACAAGTGTGTTGGTACTTACATACCAAGTGAGTTCTGCATCATAATCTCTTCAATTAAGGGGAGGTAATTACAGCTGTGAAAAAATATATTTTAGTTGTGTCTCAACTCGCCAGCTAAATGTAGAAATGTACAAGCACCTTTTCCAGTTGAGTTAAATCTCGTCAGCACAAGTAGGACCAAAGTTTGTATTCCGGGTGAATATGAGATTCTGTGATTTCAAACCTATGACCCTGGCTCATCAACTCATCTTGTGGTGCCTTAGTTCACTAACTTCCTTATGTTGATAGTTTGCAGGAGTTCAAGGGGATGAGAACCCTATTATTGAAGTGAGTGAGTTTAGTTTTACGCCACACTCAGCAATATTCCAGCTATATGGCAGCGGTCTGTAAATAATCGAGTCTGGACCAGACAATCCAGTGATCAATAGCATGAGCATCGATCTGCACAATTGGGAACCGATGACATCCTATTATTGAAGCTGCAAGTTAACAAGTATCGTTGTGTTCGATTAAAAGTAACATATTTTTCTACATATTGTTAAAAAATCTGGGTCAGCAAGTTTCCATCTTCCATTGAATTTTGGTTAGGCAAACATAGGGTTACTAGCATGAGCAACAATCCATCCTCCATTGAACCATGCCATCAAGAACAACTCATTCTCGTCATCTTGTCTAACAATCGTGGGTACAGGTATATTCAGCCCTGACACTCCAACATTGAAACATTCATTTTTATACAATACGAGAATCTAATTATGCAATACTTTTCATATTATGTCATAATGGAAACTTTCACACCAACAAAACAAGGATGGACTTAAAAAGTACAAGCCATTATACAGAAACATATACAACAGCACACTTTACCCTTTCATCGACTCGAAAACATGCAGTCAACATTCAAGTTCTACAATGTTAAAGTGAGCTTCACATGCTACTATACTAATGCAATAGGAACTGGGTGGTCCTTAACTTCTGTTGAGTTGTATGTGGTACAGAGTGACATTGAGAACATATAAACAAAGTACAGTGGAAACCTGATAAGTAAAATTTCAAGGGACTCGCCAAAATTGTTTACTTATCAGGTATTTTACTTATCCAAACTTATAAAAACCTGCAAATGACAACCATAGGCATGTATAAGTATGCATATGTAACAATGAACAACTTATCAGGGCTGGCCTCCAGTTGTCAGTGTATTGTCAACTGCTTGACGGCAGCGAGCTGTAAGTAGGATGTTTGTTTGACTGGAGACTGACACGACTGCCCCTCATGTCGGATTATGTGGTGATTGCTAATTTAGTTATCCAGTCTCTTTTGTTAAGTAATTTACTTCCAGGGACCGTGAGAAGACGTTTACTTAAGCGGTATTGTTTACTTATCCGAGTTTAGTTAACAGGACTCTAATAGTGATAATTAATGAAGAAATTTGCCGGGACCAAAGAATAGTGTTTACTTATCCGGTCCGTTTAGTTAAGCGGTCTTTACTTAGGCGGTTTCCACTGTATACCATATGTTTTCACTACAAGATGATAAACTTGAAGGTGCCCCAGTTCGGTGATGTGTCTCTGAAGCTGCTTCTACAGGACAGACACAATCAATGCAGACATCTTTTGAAATATGTCTGATTCTAGAAGAAGCGGTGAGTGAATCAGATGGTTTTAGACTGCTTCTGCCATTTCAGCGATAGGATTAGGGGATCAACAGACATGGGCTTCATTCAATATATGTGTGGGGAATTGAACCCATGTCTCCTGTATGATGAGCAAACACATAACCACAAGGCTACCCCACTGCACCAGAAACAGAGATAAATTGTACTTGCCATGAAGATAAACTTAGAAAATAGTGTGTTCAAGTGGAGCATCTCTGAATTCCCAAACCTAATGATTAAAAGTTTGGGATTTTGTTTCATAACACAGTTTACAAGACATTCTCCATGTTTTACCAAGGAGATGATCACATAGAGATAGTGGTGCACATGACCTCTTAGGAAACATTACAAGCATCTTGAAATGTGCTGGGGCAGCGCGGGGTAGTGTTTTGGTTAAAGCTTTGTCTGCCATGCCGAAGACCCAGGTTCAGTCTGTGATATTCCCAATTCGATGCTTCTTTATTATTATTCTCGATTCCATACAGTGTATTACTGTCGTCGCTCGCACACACGATACATGCCACAAGCTTGGTTAGTTAAATAGTTTGAGTGATTTTTACAGAGGTCTTATTTTCAAATGTTCACACAAACCGATGAACAGTATCATGATCTTTTTAAGTGTTGGCGGAACATACAGATACAGTTAAGTCCTGTAAAATAGGTGTAGTCTTGACTGACAAGGAACATCTTGAACCTAAGGGAGGCAACTCTCAACAAATAAATGAGCCGCTAGACCTGCCAGCAGAGGGCAGCATCAGTTTCCTTTCGTAACATCGTCCATACTCTTCAGCTGAACAGAGTTGCCCACTGCTGAAATCTGAGGACTAAAAACTTAATCAGAAACTCAACAAAGATAATTAGTAAATCTAAGTACCAATAAACAATAACATTCAAATCTGGAACTACAGCCTGGAGTCTTTGATGGAGATGGTATTTGTTGCTACAGGTTTTCTATAGATATACATGTACATGATACATGTTTCTGTACAACTGCTGAATAGTTGTGACTGGTTTCTACATAATGGCAGCACAAACTTGTTTGCAAACTAGACTACACTTTAATAGGTTTTAGCCTCATTTGTTCTGAAATTTGGGTACAGATACATTCACAATTACAAATTTGGCTGTTTGTAAATCGAGAAAAAAACATGACAGCTGCATGAATAAAGTAAAAATACCATTCTTTAACACTGGCATGAGATTGATAACATTAATACCGGTATCAGAAAATGCCAAACACCATCGCTCTAATCCATGCAACAGAGACAATGTCGTAATCTCAGTGTAACCACCTCCAGGGTTGCCAAGTAACAGTTATGCATCAAACAAACTAACCACACTGTTAACCTTTGATTAATCTGTAGCTCCAGGTCATGGCATAATAACCCTGGAGCAAGTATTCCATAATCTGTCCTTCTCTGTATCTGAGTAGGTATAGCTTTATACTGCCTCAAGCTATATTCCAGCAATATCATTGTGGCATCCACCAGAAGTGGACATCACACATTGTACCAATATGAAGAATCGAACCTGAGTTTTTGCTGAGTGAACACTTTAGCCACTAGGCTACCCACTGCCCCTTAAACCCCCTGTATCAGACGGGACCTGGTGTGGCTCACTGGGAAAGGCAGCCTTACTCAATGTGTTCTCAGTTTCAGGGGTAGTGGGGTAGACTACTTTTGTAAAGCGTCTGCTTGTCATGCCAAAGATCCGGGTCCAATTCCCCATATGGGTACAATGTGTGAAGCCCATTTCTGGTGTACCCCACTTTGATATTGATGGCATATTGCAAAAAAAGTGGCGTAAAAGTATACTCACTCACTCTGACAATGCCAGGAGAAAGTGAGTGAGTGAGTGTAGTTATACGCCGCACTCAGCAATATTCCAGCTATATGGCGGCGATCTGGACCAGACAATCCAGTGATCAACAGCATGAGCATCGATCTTCGCAATTGGGAACCGATGACATGTGTCAACAAAGTCAGCGAGCCTGACCACCTGATCCCGTTAGTCGCCTCTTACGACAAGCATGGGTTACTGAAGATCAATATTCAAACCCGGACTGTCACGGGTTTCCAGGAGAAAGAAATTGGTGTCAAACTTCTGAATATACCATAGCACAGTGGGTCTTTGTGTCACAGCAGCTCTTGTCAATAAAGGTTTTATTTAATGTACATCAAAAACCACTCTATTCTCCTGCAGCCTAATCAGGTGAATAATTTTATAATAACTGAATCTCTGATATCTGCTTGATGTATTAATGAAGAGAAAAACATAATCTAGAGTCCACCTATGTAGTTAGAGAAACTGGTGGACTGGTACGTAGAGAGGATGTTATGAGGAAACAACAATATATAAGTGTGGATAACACAATGAAAAATGTATGTATGCTCAGTATTAATAAACATGACAATGTTGGTTTCACAAAAGCACATGAAACATGTTTTGAGTCGACAATAAGTGAATGGTTTTGATTTTAGAAATATTTGTGTGCATGGATGTAAAAAATAATATATCTATTCAATATGCCATAATACTAGCCCTGACTGTTGTAATACATTCATCAATATACAATCCACATAAGAACTATAATTAGAGATTGAATATCTAACACAAAATGCATTGCACATTTTGATTGCTCTATCAGAAAACTGATTGGAAAAAAGTTGATTTTTTTCTTCCCAATAAACTGACCGAACAAAGCATCACTATATAGAGGAGGTGACTATGTCACTTTCCTCATGCACAAAACACATAAATGGGATTATACTGACACAACAAAATAAGGGACCACAGGAAGGATTGCTGGACGATGCATATTGCCGTTTCAATATGAACGATATTTTATAGTAAAATCCTTCGCTGAAATATTGGTGTGGATATCCTTTTGACTACTGAAAGAATGAAAGGAAAAAAGAAGATAAAATAGCCTCCCTTGATTGTTCCCTTATTTTTCCCCATCAGTATATCAGTGGTGTATGTATTAGAAAAAAAATGAAAATACAAATTTATTAATGCTTATAATAAAACTATTTCTCGCAACTACTGTAAACAACTGAAATACTGATCATTCAATATATTACCTTAGGTTAAATGCCTGTTGTTTCATCAACCCTCTAAAATTCCATAAAAAGGTTTGCCATTAATTATCTGGTACCTCCACAACTACATCCATGTTTTGGACAACAGTCTGAATCAGGCAGCAATACACAACGATCTTTAACAGCATATATACAAACAACAACAACAACAACATGAACAACACAGCTGGTTAAACAACTAATATATATATATATATAGATATATGTACATACTTATATATATGACCTGAGCTGGTTTATACAAACAATAGAGTATAAGATAAGTTTTTACACAAGGAGTATTACAGGCTGGTGTAGGTCGTGGAGAGTTACACATGGCCTCTCTAACACTGTACAATAATCAACTGTAATTTAAAGAACATGATAATGACAGCTACAAGCCATAGTACTAACTATTAGCAAGGCTAGTACAAACATGTTTACAGATAGGCAGGATTAATACAACAAGTGTAGCTAAACTGACACAAGAATTAATTATTTAAAGTTAATTTCCTTGAGGCAGCTTTCAATCAAACAAAGAATTTGAGTAACATTTAGGGACTTATCATCCATAATCCAAAATATAAGTTGGTCTAGATTTAAATCAAATCAAGAGATAGATCGGCTTATACAACCTACAAAGTTTCTATGAGTTTGGGTGAATGAGTACGCAACACATAACACTGATATAAACAGTATTCAAGTTAAATCATGGCATGTCAGAGTGAATACCAGAAGAGATGTAGGATCAGACATTTACAACATTGTTGAAACCGAAGAGCATGGGTTTGGTGCTGATAAAAACATTGCAACATAATAGGGCCAAACAGGGACTGGATCACACAACCTCTGTTTCCTGGTAATCTAAGGGGAAGTAACTCTGTACAGCAAATTCCAGAGCCTTAACATATGAGGACAAGGATTTGAAAAGGACTTGTTTTTCTGACACTGAATATGTGAGCTTATTAGAAGATGCAATTAATGCAATTCTGTCATTTTAAGAAAATATCTTATAAAAACAAAGTGGGAATTTCTAATTAAAAGGGTAACTATGGCAACAGAATGCAGCATCAGCATGAGATATAATCTCTGTACATGCTAGAGATCGTGTTTCTGTACATCACATCCATGGCACTATTACACCAAGGAATCAGGTAGAGTCAAACCTCGAACCTTTAAACCCAAGATAACTGGTTAGTAGCTTCTACACAATTGTGCTATATTGATCAAGTTAAAACAACATTGTGAACCCATGCATGCCATATTCAAAGAAACAAATCTGGAGTTAATCTGACACAGGTCAACAATGTTTACCACTTTTAATAAGCTTACAAACATGGTTGTGGTTCTCACAGATGAAAGAGAATAATTGTGTGAGTGAATGAGTTTGGTTAAACCCACTTTGATGCATTCCACTTATATCATAGTGCATCAACTTAATGTGGAAAGACAGCGATGCTGGTACCATTGGCACAGGTTTCTGGCTTGTACAGAGGCTGCAACTCTGGCAGAGAATTACACCACTTTAGATGAACGCCACCTGTGCCCTGGGCGGCTTGTATCTCTGGGAGTGAGTGCCATGAAAGTGTAATATCAAAGTCATAATATTTTAATAACATTTTGTTTATGCATAAGAGAGATGGGCGAATTTGCACCTGTTTAGGGACAGTCTTTTTAAGAGAAACATTGGGCTTTAGACTGTATCATATTCTGCTGCTCTGCACTTTGTGTAACATTCTTTCATGTCCCCAGCTATTCCATCCCAAACTTTATGTAAAAGTATTCCCATGTCCCTGCTACCTGATAATAATGACCTTTTCTTATAAAACACAATGGGAAGTATAAATCCCCTGCTATAAGGTGGACTACGTAAACATTTCCATCAACAACAATTACTCATGGTTCTTCTCACAAGAACCTGTTCAAGCTGTAGTGGGAGTCTTCAGGCGTGAGTTGGGTTTTGATTGTAGTAACTGACAATGAACATTGCCTGACCAGACATCCCCTGTGCCCCTGTGGAGTTGCTTGACTTGTCCTGACTGATCAAATATGTTGCCTACGGTTGAAGGTTAATATAGAAATAATGTCTCTACCGTTTGTACAGATCGCTGACTGGTCACACCATGCTAGACCCTTCTAACAAACACAGCAGGTGCTCTTACAGACAACTACGTTTGACCATTACTATACACATGATCAATAATTCTCATTACCTTCAGGACTACAAATACACAAGACCACATTCTGTACAATACTCATAAAATTTTCCAGTGACATGATTGCACAATTAACAAAAGTTCCTATATGGCACTATGTATGGTAGAAAAACAACCAGGGTTGACCTTAAACTGCCTTCAAGGTCACGTCCAAGTCTGTCAACAGATGGCCTTCAGCTGCCAACTTGCAATCACACTGTGTGTACTTGAAGGGTTTTCAACGGTTTTATGAGATGTGGGTAGAACTGTTCCATCCTTACAGTTACAGTAACCTTCTGCAGGTCAGTTGTCCAGCTGACCACATGCCCATCAGTGGACTCACCACATTGGTTGTTCTATTCTGAATTTTTCTTACATGACCTGGAGTCAATCTCACAATCTGCATGATCTGGACGCCATAGTATTTGCCCCGAAAGGCTCCAACACCAACAGCTCCAACAACACTAACATATACAATGTCCACACAATCTTCAACAGCCCAATAGCAGATGACATATCAACTGTGACATCCCAGGATGTCCTGCACGTCTTCTGTTGGCTGACCCACTCTACAATGTCATACAGGTCCATGCTGACCCTACTACAGGTGTCCCTTCTGGATCAGCCAATGACCTTGTTCAACTCAATGTCACTGCATGGTCCAACACCAAAACTGTTATGTCAACTCACTGAAGGTGCTCCATTTTGGACAGTCCAGCTTGGCTGGCCTCTAATGAGTAAGTCAAACCAAGGCCTTTCTCTACTGTCAATGTGAGAAGGTCATCTCTACTGCAGCTGACAGAACTCCATATCAACTTCATCACGACAATGCTGTTGATGTTGAGGACAGTCATGAATACATCCATCTAGAGATCTGCCAAGTTGATTGACTTGAATGGTAAATACAGACATCAAACCTGACATCTGTAAGTTGACTGGCAGTTGTATAACACCAAGAGATCGACATACTGTCATACAGACATTATTCCAAAGATCTTCCAACAATTGTGTGACACCAAGAGACATTGCCGTCATACAGATGTTTCCCTGAACACGCGAGTTGAGCTGTCCCCCTGCCTGATGTGGATGTAGCGTGTTGTGTCCACCTCTGAGATCTTCACCTGCGTGCTGGGAATGATGATGTCCCCCGCCCCGGGGAGCTGCACCAACTCCGCCTTCGGTGTCGGCACTGAAACATACATTATCTTGGGATAACATTGGTCTCAATGAAAATCACAAACTTACATTCCAGAAAATATATTCACTTTAATTTTTGCATGCATGAAATCATTGCCCAAAACATGTGGAATTGATTCTAAGCATTATTCAGCCATTTTTTCTGCTGTACTAGAGTTAGAGTGAGTGCATCACATGTTGAAGTCAGCAAGATGCCATCTGCATGATGGAGATCAGCCATCAGGTTAGGGCTGCTGACCATCAGACAACTACAAGTAGTAAGACGGGTCTCATACCCCTTCATGTAAACTGCCAGTAGGGAGTAGAGGTTTGCGCTCCCAGAAAGAGTGTCAACCAGTAAAGTTTGTTGAAACAAGGGCTAGCATACAGAATCGGCAATTTGATATTCTTGGGATGTAGAGGAGGAGAGGGGATGGAAAAGAAGGATGTGATTTGATCGAAACACAATGTTATTTTCTTGAATGATTCTCGAAAACATAATCATGCACACCAAATGTTCGGTCTCTTAGGCAAACCAGCTCAGTTAACCACAAGTCATACAAAAAATTGGATTCTGGATTATACAAAAATATAACTGCATAATACAAATAGAACTGGTTTCAGGAAATACAATAGGAAATAGTTTGTTTGCTGAACATACTGGTTGCCCTGAAATATACTATGTTGTAAGAAACGTGGTTGTCCTGTTAGATATATATGAGCTGGATTTAGATGGAATTTGTGGGTGTGCTAGGTCTACCACAAACCTGACAACCAACAAAATTTTGAAAAAAGTTCAAAATGACATAGGTCAAATATATTTGCTTTTTGAGTAAACTTTAGACAGTGGATATGGTGCTGATAGAATAAGGATCATCACTAGGGTACACAAGAAGATCCTTGCAGATATAAGGGACACAACTCTGCATGGCAAACAGCAATGCCCCTGACCACTTGGCTACCCATAATACATAGAGAATATAGTGAAGTCTCACCTGTAGCTGGTGTGCCTGCCGAATCTCACTTTCAGTGCCGGCCACGACAATCACATTACACTGTCACTTCACCAGCAATTATGTGAAATTTTCAAAAGAATTGCAAAGCTTCATGCCAAAGAACCCAGCCAAACTAAGAGCAGATTACGCTCATCCCATTCATTAGTACCAAAAGAATCAATAAGCAGAATCGTGTGCAACTGCCAGTTCAAGGGAGATAATACATACCATGGAACCAGATTCAAGATTCATGGACAGAGAAACCTAGCAGGAACTTTCCCACATCAAAATTGGAAAAGTTAGTGAAACCCCACACCACTTTTGTCAATATTCCAGCATAAGGGTGAAAAACTAGACTTCATGCTTTGCATCCAAGTAAGAATGAGTAAGTGAGTTGGCGCTGTTTCAAACAGTATTCCAGTTAATATGTCATGGCGTGTCAGACTGACGTGGCAGGAAAGGCTACTGTGATGGAGGACATTTACAAGTTTGGTGGAAAACAACAATGAGCATGGGAATGATGCTGAGAAACTTTTAAACAAATCTAAGTAGAGCACTCGGATTGGAATTCAGGATCCAGGGTTTCTGGCAAGCTCAAGGGATGCAACTCTGCACAGCAAAATGCCTTCTACAACATTGAGCAATATGTGCCACTGCTTCCATGTAGGAATTACAACAAAGGTCTCTTGTGCAATGATTAAATGCTTAAGTCAAGATTTTCAATCTACATGAATTTGGGACGGAGTGTCAAACGTCATGTCCAGTCAGGTGTCGACCGTCAACCTGGGCATAATGGGAGGGAGACAAAATGAAAAATCACAACACAAATCAGTAAACATGGCACACAGTCCCTATGGAAGTCTGGACATTGTACCATATTGTTTACCTCATGCAAAAGGTTAGCGAAAAAATACAGAATCTACTTCAGAATCACAACAGTTATTGATACATAATCTTAATCCTTTCAATTTGAGTCCAAATTAAAACTGTTTTAAAACTACAGATTTCTTATTGATAAAGGGATGGCATCTGTACTGAAATATTACAATGAACGAATACAGTTGAAATCCATTATTAAATTCTATCTTAACTGAGACTAAAGCTTCTAGGATGCCACTTAGTCTGTATCAAGGCTATAATTTCATGTTTGTTCCAGATGCTAGTATGTTGTATTCCAAATGAGACCGAGGTAACCTTACACTATGTATGTGGGGAATAGAACCCAGGACGTAAGAAGTGACCACAATGCCTGCTGTACCACCACACCTTCTGACAGCCAAGACATCAGACATGCTCTGTGAATAACCACTTCAACCATATGTATAGTTACATATGTCAACTGGAATTCAACATGCTACGATATATATACATATATATATATAGTAGTAAGCTATAAAATAAAAAGTAACATAAGAAAAAATGATCAATACAAACATACATACTTGTATAAATATATAAAAGCAGTACAACAGCAGGAAATAAACATACACAGAAAGTTGAGCAAATATAAGATTTGAATCGTAAATCAAAGTCAGGCAGAATATTGTCTGGCCAAGAACTGTACAAATATCAAGTGTCTAAAAACTCAGGCGATTTAGCAGAGATTTCCACAGTTCTTGTACCTTAAGGAAGATACATGGACTTGTATAGCTATTTTGAAAATTCGACTTTGCTTCATACTGGAAGCTTTATCTCAAAGTTGTTTGGTCAACCAACACATCAGCAGGTTCAGGTAAAATAGGAGATATACCTCTCAACTATAAATAGGGACATTCTTATTCACTGATACATCAAACCGTATAACACAGTGTAACACTACATAATGAACTGGCAGTATCCCTATCATATCTTGAACAGTATACATTCGTCATGTATCTTCCTGGTGATTGGCCACACTGCTACACACTGTCCATACAAAACATGCTCAGGTATGTGGAGGGTATCCATACTACTCAACAGAAGTTAAGGACAGCACCCCTTTGTTTTAGCATGACTGATTAACAACAGTAACATAAAAAAATGAGGCATTCTTAATTTCTTTAGAATAGTATTCATCCAGCTGTTAATAATTACTCAATCTAAAAATAATGTCCAGTTTCTGTATTTTGATAATCAGAACTGAGAATGGAAATTTTTCCAAGCTGACGAGATAGTTTCCTTTAAAACTATTCAGAGTATCAAAGCAAGGGAATCCAAGAATTTAAAATTGTTCCTAGATGGAATTAAACCCAGACTTCGGTATGACATTCATACACACCTACTTGGCTGATGGAGATTTCCTAATATTACATGAAGATGGACAGTATGTAGCATTGTGAAAGTTGTTCGTAAGGAATAAGTATAGGAGTGAGTAACTCACGATAACAACAGAAGAGGCACCAACAACAATCAGATCACAACAACACACAGGCAGGACAGCAGGAGTCCGACTTCGATTTGACAACAAGGTTTGAGCGCTCATTTGCTGGCGAAGTTGGGCTACCAGTTGATTGGCTGGGAGGGAAGCTGGGCCGAGCATGCTCATTAACACTCACAGGACCATGCAACAGGTGTTTGTTAGCATTGTCACTACTGGGCGAAGCTGTCGGGGTGGAGATGGGTGTCATGTTGACTGAGTCATCAACTTCTAGGGACACATGAGATATGTCAGTTGTAATAGATTTGATGTCGTTGTCAGGGCTTTTGTCTTCATCAGCGTTATTGTTCTCCTCATGGTCATCAGTGAAATCCTCTGAGGATGAACTATGATGACGCACGCGAATCCTCGGCCACTGCCGTAATATTTTTTGGCAAGTCCGAACTTGCATAGCTATTTCCTGAAAAGACTTCCTGCGTACCTTAGTTGGTACGGGTTCTAAGGAATCAGGAATTAATGTCCCAGATTCTGTCCGGGTTCGAATACTGGTCCGGAATTCAGGAACGAGATCATTTTCTTTCTCAAATACAGCATAGTCATGTATATTGATGTCAGTAATGTCATCACTCTCAAAATGTTCCCCATTTATCGATAGCACCTTTTTGCGTGGAGATTTAGTGGAGGATGAGCGGGACTCATTGAGATTACCTTTTCCTGGTTTCAGATGCAAGGACAGGTACACTGGCTGCGATAACAGAGAGATACATACACATTATTACATATTTACACGCATAAAACACACACAGTTATTTCATTTTACTTGTCTTGAAAGATTAGTCAGCAGTACAATGAACCATTTCTTTTCATGAACCATTCCCCAAAGAGATCTTAAAGATAGATTAATTTGAGTGAGTGAGTGAGTGAGTTTAGTTTTATGCCGCACTCAGCAATATTCCAGCTATATGGCGGCGGTCTGTAAATATTCGAGTCTGGACCAGACAATCCAATGATAAACAACATGAGCATCGATCTGCACAATTGGGAACCAATGACATGTGTCAACAAAGTCAGCGAAACTGACCACCCGATCCCACAAGTTGCCTCTTACGACAAGCATGGGTTACTGAAGATCAATATTCTAACCTGGACCTTAGCGGGTCTAGATTAATTTGTAGTGAAGAATTGCAAAGTATAAGTATTGTAAGTATAACATATGGCTGAAACCCCCCCCCAAAATAACAGGACGGTGATAAAGCGAACATTTTTCACACACTGGCTAAAGTGAAGATCTGCAATCTTCAATCAAAACACGGACATCATGGTGTAAGTGAGTGAACACTGCATTACCCATGTCTGCAATTTTTCAGCTATATCACTACTCCCTGTAAATGTTATTGTCCGGACCAAACAATATGAAAACATAGAACTATCCATGTAACATATGTTATATTTGGGATTTCACTTTCTTAGTAAAGTACAGTTTCTAGTACTTTTGTTGGGTTGAGTTCCATCTGGGATTCGAACCCCCACCCTCAGAGTCAGGCACCTAATCGCCAGCACACAATATCACATTCCTAACCCACTTCTGTGTGCTGGCGATTAGGTGCCTGACTCTGAGGGTGGGGGTTCGAATCCCGGTTTGGATCATTTTGACAAATATGCGAAACTAGGTCCTGTTGAACCCTGCACACAGCTACGCTACAGCTACTGATCACCCACACCTGAAGACACCACTTGGATGTGATAGGTTTCCTAGGATACAATACTACAATGCAACAACAGCACAACGCTCTTACATCACAATCAAATAACATCACTCATCTCTCTCTGCCACAGCAGCAGAGCATGTGTGCATTTTACACACAATTGAAATTGCTGAAGAATGATCTCGTTGTTAAATTTATTGAATCTCAAACAAGAGTAAAGTTTCAAGCTTGTACTGGCTCATGTTCATTACATAGTACATAAAAACAAAAAACAAAATAATCTTTAAACCATCCACCCCTAAAAACAGTTTAAAACTTTCAGCAACCCATGGTATTTTGTAAATAAAAACAAACAAGGATGAGATTCTTGATACACCAATGACTTGTCATGTTAATACACCTGGCCTAGACAAACAAATACTTTACACCAATATGGAAAATATTATCACTGACATTATTTACTGTTAGTTAAAAGTAGTCACAAATACATCTCAGTCATACAGAATATATTAATCATGAAATAATTTGATAAAACTAATGCAACAAAAAGTAGCGTACATTCTTATTACCAATCAATATGAACGTCACCAACCTTGTGATCACCCATACAAACTTCCTTCCCTATTAAGCTGTACTGGGGCCGGTGAAACTTCTCATCCTGAAAGCACACAATATAATCAGTGAGGGATCTGGGATTAACAGTGCCTTGTCAGCATGTCACATTGGTGGGTTGTGTCCCTTGGATGCCAAACAAATTCTCCGACACAATTTAGTAACTAACTGACTGACTGACTGAATATGGTTTTATGCCAGTTTTAGCAATATTCCAGCAATATCACGGCTGGGGAAACCAGAAATAGGCTTCACACATTGTACCCATGTGGGGAATTGAACCCGAGTCTTCGGCATGATGAGCGAATGCTTTAATGTTATGATTTGGAATGTATTTTTTCTCTTGCCACCATTCTGTTCAAGAATCCAGGAAAAGACATATTTTGGTGCTGTAGTTCACCTGGAAGATGATGTCTTTGGCGCTGAGAAATGAGTATCCGGTCACACCAGGAGGGGCAGCGCGTCTTCATGTATGACGTCCCATCATTTACATCCTCACTGAAAGGGTAGCTGACAAAACAGAAACAAGACACATTGTCTGGAGCACCCATTACTGTTGATTTAAACAAGAAACATAGATCCTCAACATGTTGGACATAATGTATTATTTGTTAACAGTGACAAGACATTTCATTGTACATCATTTATTTTAAAAAATGCATTCTGTTTCGATTCATTTGTTTTCATGTGGGATTCATAGGAAGCAGTGAATCTGGATGTTTGGTAGTGGGTCTGGACATTTGGCAGTGAGGCATAATGCTTGGAGGCCGAAGGGGACAAAAGATCCAATAATTACTTGCCTGGCCTGATATTGTTGGCTTTCTTACCTTGGAGGGAAGTTGATCTCATATTCAGACAACCTGTCTTTGAATGGAGTCATCTCAGTGTCATACTGCTTCAACTAAACAAAATACAACAACACAGACCATTACAGGAGAACTAACTCTGTGGTAAACACTATCATATGTTCCTCAACTCAATACATACAGCACGTTTAAATCATAACACTGACAAGTAAACTTTTATTGAGAAAAGTACAGAAATAAGTCATGGTTATATCCATTAAGTGGACACACTGCAAACTGTGTGTTGTAAAATGAAGCAAATTTGACAGTATGCAAATCATGTTACAGAGAAACAGGTATACCTTTACCATAAAGTAACACCCTTGGCAACAAACAAGGATACTACTAATCCCTATCAAAATTTGAGCGCGCTATATTTTCACTTTACCTTGCTATCTGATTGTCACTATTACCTACCTCTAAATTCTTTGAGTAACAATACCATGAAATTCATAGAACAAAAATATTGGCATCCTGTAGAACACAACTAGGCACCTGTAGCCTGCCAAACATTATACATATGATGTCTGATATACAGTTTTCAGCCTGACTGACTGACTGACTGAGTTTGGTTTTACGCCGCTTTTAGCAATATTCCAGCAACATCACAGCGGGGGACACCAGAAATGGGCTTCTCACATTGTACCCATGTGGGGATTCGAACCCGGGTCTTCGGCGTGACGAGACAACGCTTTAACCACTAGGCTACCCCACCGCCCCTTTCAGCCTGACTGTGTCTTGTAGTGTTCCTTGGAGGACAGAGTGGCACCTACCCACTTGATTGTGTTGAAGAACAGATCTTCATGTTTGTCATGATAGTCAAATCCCTTGGCCTCTACTGTCAGCACAACCTGAAACAACCAACGATGAACTGATGGGTTCAGTAAACTCCCAGCTCTTATACAACAGTGATGAGGACTCCAGACACTGTTTAAAATCATTGAGTCTTTACAAAATTACTCACATTATTATTGACTTTGAACATCTTTGGGTTTTCAATACAGACTATTAGGTATTGTCTAGCCACTGAGTAGATATTTCTAGGCAACAATAATTCTGTTTCAGATAGGTTCCAATTTGAATGATTGAGCCACCCTTAACAGTGTGAATGTGCATAAGATCACAACAGTGGTGCATGTCTTAGTTACAAAAGGGAGATGTAGCCACTTTGTGCATTATTCACTGCAGTAGAGCTTATGAACGGGTGAAGCCTTGCATTTGATCAGTAAATAAATGAAACCCAGCCTTTAGTGTAACAAGTTTAACACTGTTGTGACTTGGCTACCATGCTGGCCCTCTCAAAACAGCCTTCAGTGTAACAAGTTCAACACCGTTGTGACTTGGCTACCATGCTGGCCCTCTCAAAACAGCCTTCAGTGTAACAAGTTCAACACCGTTGTGACTTGGCTACAATGCTGGCCCTCTCAAAACAGCCTTCGGTGTAACAAGTTCAACACCATTGTGACTTGGCTACCATGCTGGCCCTCTCAAAACAGCCTTCAATGTAACAAGTTCAACACCGTTGTGACTTGGCTACAATGCTGCCCTCTCAAAACAGCCTTCGATATAACAAGTTTAACACCGTTGTGACTTGGCTACCATGCTGGCCCTCTCAAAACAGCCTTCGGTGTAACAAGTTCAACACCATTGTGACTTGGCTACCATGCTGCCCCCTCTCAAAACAGCCTTCAGTGTAATGAGACAAACACCAATGTAACTTGGCTAGCCTACTGCCCCCTCTCAAAACAGCCTTCAGTGTAATGAGACAAACACCAATGTAACTTGGCTAGCCTACTGCCCTCCTTGACCACCACCACCATTATCCTCCCCTACTTCCTCCTCTACTTCCTCCTCACCTTCTCATTGCCCTCCTCGGTGTAAACGATCTTACTGATCTGGTCCTTCTTTCCTAGTGTCTGTTCCGACGTTGTTTTGGCTGTGAGGGCCTACAAAGACACACCATCAGTGAACATGATATGCAGTGAAAAGATTTGGTATTGTCTTTCAGTCATTCACAGATGCAATGGTTAACAGTAATGTTGTTGTCAGCATCACAAGTAACATCCATTGAGCTTGATATTCACTTGGAACATAAAATCACTGCAAACCAAACCCCATGAGCATATCACACTTGTATGAAAACAATTACATTGGGTCCCAGTCCAGCAAAGGGTGGTGTACAAAGTTTTGTCACTGACATATGCTGTTCTGCACAAAGATAACTCCACCTCTCTACCTAAAGGATCTGACCCAGATGTAAATACCTGGGCCCTTATTCTCGAAACGTTCGTAGCCCTAAGAATTCTTAACTTTGATCGTAGACAATGTGTTATGACTGACTGACTGACTGAGTTTGGTTTTACACCGCTTTTAGTAATATTCCAGCAACATCACGGCGGGGGACACCAGAAATGGGCTTCACACATTGTACACATGTGGGGATTCGAACCCGGGTCTTCGGCGTGACGAGCCAACGCTTTAACCATTAGGCTACCCCACCCTCAATGTGTTAAGAATGGGTTAGGGCTAGGGCTGAACGTTTCGAGAATAGCTAGCCTGGACGATATCTCCGATCTTAGAATATGTAGAATCTCTCGGTTCCCTCAACATCCACTAAACTTGCTGATCATGCCATCTCCAAAATAAACCCCACCTTGTGGAACAATCTACCGTTTGAACTCAAAGTTGGAAAATAGGCCTATATAAATTAATTATTATCATTATTATTATTAAATGTTAAAATGTCCAGGCATCAAGTATTTGGTAATATCTGACAACCTGACAACATAAGTTACTGATAACTTCCATCATATTTACACTGACACCATAGCTTTTATTGCACAGTGACAAGTGTTTGTTCATCTGTACCTATACAACAAAATCAATCGGGAGTCACATGTTCTCTACTTATCGCCATGATTACACAGCAAGTTATTGATACAGACATAAGAATGGCAAAGCACAAAACATACTGAACATCTAGCCGGGCATCTTGGGGGTCTTTATTGCAGAGTTACATCGATCTCAAAAACGTTCAAAATGAAACAAAAATCCTGGAAATCTGCGGATCCACAGGAAATTCTCATGCCTGTTGATAATGTCTGTATCAAAACAAGTTGAATACAGATACCGCCCAAAGACCATCCTTAAAGCAGACATAAAATACTTTTCTACAGGGGTTCCAAATGGCAGAAACATCTCTTAGGTATGACAAGTATCTCACCTTTATTAGAACGTTTGTGTCGAGTCTGAAGTTGAAGTCTCCAAATATCAACATCGGAACCTTTTCATACTGGTCCCCTTCAAACCTGGAAACAACCAAATTCTTATTGTAATATACATTTTCTTCACTTTGTCACTTTGTGTGTTGCTTGTTGTTGTTTAAATCTGCTGCTGTAGGATGGCATTCAATTAATAATTTCAGTCTCCACTTGACAATGCAGTAATAATATAAATGAAGTCTTGGTTCGATGACATGCGATCCACTAAGTCAAGAACATGTCACTCGACTATTTGGTCACCTGGCCCCAGTTTCACAAGTGATGTTAGCGTTAAGGTGATAGTAAAGAATGGGAGTTAAGGTCACCTTAGTGCCAAGATCCCTTTGTGAACAGGTACAGTCGATGTTTACCTGTACAGTGGAAGGTCAGTGGTTCCATGCCCAAGCCAAGTCATACCAAGAGACTGACTGACTGAGTTTTGGCTTTATGCGCTTTTAGCAATATTCCAGCAACATCAGCGGGTAGGGGACACCAGAAATGGGCTTCAGGCATTGTACCCATGTAGGGATTCTAACCAGGTCTTCGCATGACGAGCAGAATAACGCTTTAACCACTAGGCTACCCCACTGCCCCCATACCAAGAGAAACTTTGCAGACAGCATTAAGGGAATAACACAAGGAATTTTAGGCCTGGGGTGAGCATACTGGGTTTGTTTTGAGTGGGTCTGTATGATAAACTGCAGCACACTATCTCCTTGGATAGCACATTATCTTGATATTAAATATCTTTAATGAGATTTGTATCTAAAATATCAATATCAAAATACTGTATCCCCTCCCGTGAGGTGCGAAGTATACTCAAGAAAATATGGTGACTGACTTAGTTCAGACTAGTACAAGCAGCCATACACACACAAGTGCATGTACATCACCACATCAGTGCAAAAATCTTGAACCATTTCACCTCACTCACCTCACCTTGTGCAGACTGAGGGAATGGCTGCTGAAACTGCCTTAATAGCGAGTGCGTTACAATTATCTTCACATCGGCAATACTCTGGCCATATCGTGACGAGTCAACTGCCGATAATCAACACACTATCTAGGTGATTTCCCCATAGTTTTGATGGCTCTAATGACTTCCAATGTTTACATTCTAAAGCATATTGATAACAAATTAGCAGTCAGTTGTTAAAAGTTTCTGCAGGTTGAACCTTCCCTATGCTTATCATTATCATCTTAGCTGTTCAAGAATCCTGGCTGCATGGCCACAGTGCCAATGATTCCCGGTAAATCGAACACCTAATTTCCTCTATTAAAAACTATGCTTTGAATAAAAGCTTGGTACGTTGATAAGCAAGCAATTTGCCGCATCCCTGCAAATAAACACTGAATGAAAAGCATGTCTGAAAGAAATATACACTGTCAAGGCATATGATTGAAGAAATGTGATAAGCTTGCTGTACCTTTTCAATGTGTGCATCAGTGCCTGTTGCCTGTTTCCGTTGTATATTGAAGGGCTCTGAAAACATAACATTCATGCTAGCTTAGGTCACAGGATAGGGTTTTTACATTAATTACTAGTATATTTTCTTAAAGCATGAACCCTTCATATGAAAATACCAATATTTCTGCCAGAGAATTTTCATAGCCTGACTTGTACAAACAATTTACTCGTCTCAGCAGGGGAGTTAATGGTATTAGTGAACACTGTCAGTCTCCCCTGGAATATTTTAAAGTTCCAACCAGGACAATGATGAACATAGAGATTTTTTCTGGGTAACATCTTCTTTTTATTCTTGAGTACAATGTTTCAGGGCTTGTTCTGGCCCCATCATCAGGTAAAACTGAACAGTAACTGTTAACTCTGGCCGTGACGTCACAATGCTTATGACATCACAATGCTATGACGACGCAATACATGTGGTGGTCAATAGATACAATGATGATGAAATCTAAAATATATATAATAAGCCATAGATATATACACTATAAGTGGGGTATTACCTTACTAATAATATACTGATATATCAATATATATATATAAACTAAGTACTCTAACTTAGCTGCTGTAATAAATCGAATAGGACTCAGTATGAGAGCTTGGGTTGAATAACCTTAAGCTAAACATGTACATAGCCCTCTAGAACTCCATGGAGTTATAAGCCAGTGAATATATGTCATATATATCTAATAACTGTCATGGGGGTGAATATTAATTTATTCGGACTTACACTTCTGTTGTCAATTGCTGAGTCGATCAATGCTCAAAGGACCGATCAAAATGATGAATGCCAGAGACGCCCTCGTGGTGATATCTCTGAGATAGTGATTAGCAAACACCATGTTAGATTTCCAAAAGCATCCTTCCATAATTGTATTCAATGAACAGTTACCATGAAGGGCGCAGGGTGGATACGCCAATGCCCTGATTTGCTGAGGATTTGATGCTGTTGGAGGGTCCAGTCCTTGCTGCCTTATAGGCCAAGTAGAAATGACAGCCCTTATCCATAATGATATGGTGGGTACGAGACTTCTTCGTCTGATTTGTAGGCTTATAACGGGATGAATAATCTTCTGAGCCGCATCTCGCCTTGTTTTGGAACGACGTGAAATAGATTATGAGATTCGTGACTTCGGGCATAGAGATAAGTTCAAATGTATCTTGAGATCCAAGAATTGAGGATAGCGAGGGATGTGAAATAACCTGTCTGGCTGGACCTTGGTAGTTGATTTTTAGCCGCATGCAAAATCCCATCTTTTAATCCTAGGTGCGCTGCCTTTTGATTTTCATCAAACTGTATCTCTCCTCATAATCTAGGAGCATGAATTTCAGGGATATTCTGGCTGCCGTGGCTAGCTTACATAACAGGAAGACTCGTTTTCTGTGAGAGAAATTCAAACGCTATTTCCATTCCAATGGTCTTCGTGAATCCTCACTCTTGTGAGGGTGTCGCGAAACTACATTCAGATCCCAAGCTGGGCGTGGAATTTCCGCTTTGGTCCTCCAATCGGAGCCACGTGAGTAAGGCCAGTAACTCTGGTGTTCTTTGTTAATTTTAACACCCGCCTTCATAGAAATCACAGAACTAAGCCGCAAGATATGTTGACAAATGTCGAAAGCCTTTTAAACGTTTGTTTTATCGCGTAAGTAACACAAAATAGTTCTGCCACTCTGATGAGCGATGCAGTCTAATTCTCGTAAAACCCTTTGTTTGCTGCATAATTTTCAAACTTTGCCACTTTGTCAATCGGCGACAAGCTACGCTGCTGAGTATCAGAAGCGCAAGTTGACCGCTTTGGTCACTCTGGTAGAACATCCTCTCTTGTTTAAACATACTTTTAATACAGTCCATAATGGAAGTTTGAATACTCTGGGTTTCTGCACCACCTGTTTTGGTGTGAGGATGTATTAACAGGCCTGCTACTTTGGGTAGTTCTAGTGCCGGGTTGACCGAAGATCTTGTATTGCTATGGAAACTGACGCTCTGGCCGGCCAATAGGGCGTAACTCAAAGTGAAAGCTGTGTAGGCTCTGGCGCTTATTGGATTTTCTGTAATTACCTAGAGGTATTATTGCTGGGGGCGGAAACGCTGCGATGCATTGAGGCCTTCCCATGAAATGCTTTAGAGCCGCCTTTGCTGCCCATGCTAGTGGGTCTGGCACTGGTGACACTCAATGTCGCAGAAGTTGATTGTTGAACCTTTGTGGCCAACAGGATCACTAGCCTCCTATTTGCTTCTTGATTATCTGCAGCAACATCTCTGCATTGAGCATCCATTCTGGTCGCATTAATGCAGATGTGGGCCTACGAGTGAGGCCTGGCTAGGCATATTCCCGGCCCGGAATGTGGCATACTTTGGACATGTAGATTTTAGATCTTGGATTAATCTCTCAATTCCAGCCGGGGAAAGGTTAAATTCTAAAAGGTCTCGGGCGACCCCGCTGGAGCCTTGTCTGTTCACTAGCAAAACTTCACCGTCTAGCTAAGTTGTCGGTATGTGCATCATCAGGTGCATGCATTCTTGGGTGAATGTTGCTCCAATGTCTTATGAGCGCTGATTACAGCTTTCATCTCGTAATGCGCTTATGTGGAGCTTCATTTAGCTGAGTCCATAAACCCTCGATACCGGCCCCGTTGAGAGATGAGCTCCCCTAACCCTTGATTAATGCCATTCAAGCATATAGATGGGTCTTGAATTCCCGCCTGCTAAACAAATCCCTTCAGACATTCTGGATTTCTTTGTCCACCATAATAGATGAGGTCTGAGAGGTATCGTAGACTGGAATGGCTGTAGGTCGTCGAGATGCGTGTATTGACGAAGACCTGCAAACGACGCGAACTGTAATCTGCCTATACCGTCGGGTCTTGGCTGATGCTAGAAGACCTAGTAAAGCTTCTTTAGGCCATTGTCGGCGGTAGCGGTATTGTAGAGCTGGTGGAATGATCTGCTGGATCTTGAGCCAACCCGCCCTGGTACCGCATCTATACGGTTGAGATTGGTGATAAATCGGACTTAGGAATTGCAGATCTTTATGGCGGTACTAGGTCCGACTTCTGTGTAAGTTTACTAACCATCCCAGCTGTGTTAGTAGCTTTATGGATGTAGTTTTAACCGTAGTTCTGAGATGCTGTGATCTTGATCTACTTGTAATCCTGGCTGCCGAGGGAAGAACGCACTGGCGAGCTCCCTTTGACGGTATGTAGATAGATAACAATCGCTTCCTCTGCTATCCCTCGTGGAATAACCATGGGGCTGATGCTATCTCGAATGGGAGCACTTCCGATTGGTAATGTAAACTGGGCTCAGCCGTGAAACCGGGTTGCATTTCCTGGATTCGGGATGTACTGGGATGCAGTAGATAAGCATCTTGTAGATCTATACTCGCCCATGTAGAACCATGGGCGAATCATCTGCCGTCAGAGCTGGGCGGTAGATGTAGAAGCATAGTGAACCTGGGTGGGTTTGTTTAAGTAAGTCTCCTAGTTGAAGAAGCCTATGTTGTAAATGAGTCTGCATTTCTCCCTTGGAGTTCTTTCCTTGGGTACTAGGAAAACTGGGGAGCAGTGTCCCGGGTCTGGATGTTTCCTTGCTCTATTACTTCTATGGCCTGGGCGCTAGGTATAATGTAACCGGCCTCTTTAATCCCTTGGTATTAAGTTGTGCCTCTACCTCTAACTTCTGGAGGGTTGATCGTTAGGTGGAGGCTTGGCCTGTAGTGGATAATGAACTGCTGCTTGAAAAATGTTGCTGAGACATAGGTGTCTTAAGTATTCCCCAGCTTTTCCTTAGTGTGAAGTTGAAGATCGCCCACTCCACTTTGTGACGGCGTTGTATCAAAACGCCGGGGTGGGAAGAGACTCCAGTCGCTCCTCGAACCTGTCTTCAGCGCTTATAGTTAAGTGGAACCTCTGGGTGTCCTGCCCTCGGCCCCTGACCTCCTATAGTTGCCATAGCGGCTTAACCTAAAAGAATCTCTTCCCCTGAACCTGGCAAATCTTCCTGTCTCCTAGCTCCTTTGTAGGTCTTGAATTTAGATCTCTCCCGGAGTATCTTTGTGGAAGTCTGTCGAATGACACTGGCTAGCTGCGGTTCCATCGATTTAATCATCAGGACTCCCCTCTAGAATCCTTTTGGTGATTTCTTTGAGACTGTGTCTATTCCTCCGGCCAAATATGGATGGGGAAGACCACGGGCCAAAGCATAGTGGAGCTGTGTGCTCTCACCTTTGAAGTTGCAGGAAGCTAGGAGGCCTCCTGGACGACGAAGCTAAGGTCAGTGGCTGCTGAGACAGACGCGTCAGATGATTCTATTAAAACTGGCTGGTCCTTCTTTGCATCAGTAGGGCCGAAAGTAAATCATTCTTGGGTCATCTTCAGAGGTCGGTTCCGGAATCTGAGATAAGTGTCCTATTCATTGTTCTAGATCTATTTAGGACCGGAAGAATACATACTCTGGCCATGGTTTCATATCTTTGAACCAATTTCCATCATCAATCTTGTAGGTAATTTGTTCTTGGCATCGGAGATCAGCTTATAGTTCCCCATCGATGTCTTATGCTTTGAAGAAGGGTCCTATATTATGCGCGGAGAACTTCTTTGAAGCTGAAATTTGGTGGCAGATGTGGCGCTGGAACCTTTGTGGCTTTGTTAAATGCTGTATCTAGGTTCTTGAGGTAACCGCGAATCGGGTCGACATTGGGGGTAGCGTAATAGCATCTAAGGCCATCTTCTTTTCATCAGATAAGTCTGGGCGCTCTCTTTATTGCCAATTTAAAGAAGGTGATGAGAGATCTAGATTATTGACCATCCAATATCTTATATCTCTGCATCTGAGAGAAAATAATAATTCCTCCATCATCTTCCATTCCATCATCATCATCATGATAAGAGGTTGTTGCTCTTCTCTGATGTAGGGCTGTGTGTGGCTCTATCTCTATATCTACGGACGCTTTGTGGAGATCTAGTTGTAGGTTTATGTGCAGACTCTGTGAGGTGATCGACGCAGTGACGGCGCAGGGTGATCAGCCTTTGGCGGATCTATATCGATAGGTTGGACCTTCTTGGCGATCTATAGATGGGACTGATAGCTTCGCTGGTCCTGTGTAGTCCCTTGCTGATCTTTTAGATGAAGCGACGACTTCCGAACTTCAGGTAACTTCAACTTCGCTAGTCTCTCTCAGATAGCGGTCCGTCCTGGGGAACGATGATATGACCTTCATGTAAGGCTATTTTGCGGTAGTGGTCTGGTGATCAGATTCCACATCTGGAGTATGACTGCCGGCGAAGGTGATGATTCTTCCCGCTTTCGCTAAGGCCTTCGCTAAGGTTGTACATCTGGGTCCTTCTGTCGGTGGTCTGTGAATTCTTCCTTCGGTCGCTTTACCGTCAGCGCCATTGCGATGTCAGATGGTGCCCATTGGGGTGTCGGTCAAAATGAGAGCCTTCTCGCGAAGGCTCGACCCGGATGGCTGCTTCTCCAGTCGGGATTTTCTTCCACCAGAATCTTGATTTATTTCGGTAGATTCGCTTGGGATGGATCGGCAATGAGTAGATGGTAGCCCTTCGCGTGTTACGGGGCCTCAGCGATCTCTTTCGGGAAAGCGATCAGTAGAGGCATCGCAGCAGCTTTGTTGATCTCTGCTGACGCCTCCGTCGATAGCACTGGTCAGCTTGTTATCATCGGTTCCTTTTGCATTATCGAATTCGCCAACGTAGTTCAATTCCGCCGCTGAAATCCATCCTCGCCTTCGGTAAGTGTTCTACGGACTTTGATTTCCCTTTGAGGGTTATCGCTGCCCGAAAATACGGCCCTCTAAGCGTGAGAAGACGCGAGCCTCTCGGACTTTGTTCTGGACGCGACTGGATACGTCTGGAGGCCGGTCACGCCTCTGAGGTGATCGACTGCATCCTTTATCGCTTCCGATGGGGCCCCAAGCAGAATACCAGACGGGAGGGATCACTGGCTGAGCTGACTGATGGGCAACCACGACGGGCTTTGTTCATACCAGCCTATGGACCTAGTTGCAACACGCCTCAAGATTCAATGATGGTATTCATCAAAGGCAGAATTGGTTAAATTTGCGTAACCGGCCCAGTCCGCGTCCGCCCGCGATCCGCAGTTTGAAACGAATCAGCCTTTCACTTCCACCAGTCGTAACCATCGGCCTGCACCCAGTCGAATGATATCAGTTGCCGTCCTTCATAAAACCGACCAAAGTTCCGCGATGAGACACATCCCGTTCAACAAGCGCCTACGAAATGAAAGGTTACACCCGCCAGCAGGCACCACCAGCGGATTCGGCGCGACGAAGGGAGCTTCACTATGGAGAGGATATGGGCGGTTCTCACGGTGGTTCTGATATGGGGTGGCGCCTGAAGCGCCGAGTCAGAGCAAGCGAAAACAAGGAAGTTGCAATGGGTCGGTCGGTCGGATATTCGATATGAATTCAGAATCCGCCATGGCTCAAAAAGCTCATGATCCCGACCGACCGGCTTCCGGTTCACGCCTTTGCGAATTGGTTCAAACAGTTCCGCCTGACACCGAAAACCGTCAGCTACCGTGGATCTAACTCTTTTTCTGGCTCTTTTGCAAGGATTTGAGCTTAATCAAACAGCTTTTGAACGGTTTTAGGGTTTATCCCACCACTTCGGTAGTGGTTTTGCTTTTGAAATTGAGGATTTATAAAGACTTCTGGATGCAGGGCCGAGAACAGGTTTTGACTTCTAAAATGAGGAAATCGCATTTTAGGTTGCTTAAATTGAGAATCTTTTGAGCCAGAGAGGATCTTGGCTTTGAAGAAGATCTGAAATTGATTTCGTGGAAAGGAAGGGATCGAAACGGATGCTGTTCCGCGCGTCCCTCGCCCGAGCCTGACGCTACTCGCGTTCTGTTCAACGATTGGCAAAATAAAACCCATCGTTTATTTTATCGCGTTCCGCCCAGCCCATAATTTAACGCCTTAACGCAATGCAACTGAAGCCGCGCATGTTCACGCATAATGCCATGAAGCGCGATGGTTGTCGGCCCATTTGTTTCACGCAACAAATCAAATATAATATCATTATGAATAGGTCGGCACCTGGCATGGATATCGTTCCAACGGTAGCCATCGCTTTCGGCAACTTCCATCGATGGTGATCGTTATACCGCCATCTATCGACGTATGATATCAATGATTCAATTCCGGAACTCAAGATGTTTTACCGGTAACCTGGATCAACCGGTGAGCGCATTAATTTAAGCGGCTGTCCACGGAAGCGATCTCATCATTGCTGGTTCTTCTGCGTTCGAGATCCCCAACGCAGCATCGGGTTCAATCTGGCGAAGAAAATCGGAATGGAAATGAAGCGACCGTATGTTCGGCAAAGTCGCATACGCTGATAGTTCCGGTGCGACGGTGGAAGTGAAGCAGATGCCCGCGCGACTGCGCCGCATGCCGGTATTTATTATTTCATCGTCTCGGCTGCTGCGATAACGGAACAAGTGAGTTATAGTGTTGGAATATCCATATTCAGCAACATCAAGGCTGGGGACATCTGAAATGGAATTCACACTTTGTACCAATATTATGAATCGAACCGCTGGCCTTTGGTTTGATGATTGAATGCCATAAGCTAGATATAATCAGACACAAAATACTGTAGGCACCAGGGTCTCATTCACATAGTCTTCTGTAAGAAATTATCCAAGTGAAGAAGTGAAAACTCTGGATTATTGGATGGATGGATGGATGGGTGGATGGATTAATCGGTGTACTAATGGATGGATGGATGAGTGGATGGATGGATGAGTGGATGGATGGACAGACAAATGGATGGAGAAAGCAACAAACATTTTAAGCATTGTAACAATGTCCCATTAATATCACAGACAGGAGCACCAACTACAGCAGAGACTTGAAGGGAGGTCATCAGCCTGCATTGGTCACATGGCTACCCTGAAACAATCAAGTAAGATCAAGCCAACCATTATTTTCCCATGC